ACTCTGGTGGTGGTTGTGGAGATGAGCTTGCGAGGTATAAGACTTGTAGTCCCAGCCTCGGCCGTTGTTGAGCTTCATCCAATCGTACTCTCCATCTTCCACCTCGCCGGCATTCTTGAGGGCTTGCGTCAAGAGATCACGCAGGTAATCGTAGTCAGGGGTATCCTCGAAACCAAGGTTGCGCACATAGCTCAGATATTTGTTGAATTCTTCTGTGACATTCTGGTTAGGGAGATGTATTCATGGCGGAGGGCTGGCGAAACCAGTGACCGTGTAGGGGCAATGGTGGAATAAACGTACCTGGGTATCCATCGCAGAGATCCTTGATCGCAGTGGTCTGCTTCTTCTCGCCGATCTTCTCGTATTTTTGCTTGTTGGTCGCGGCCTTCAGTCCCTGCCAGGGGAGTCCACCGCGCAAGAAGTACATAAAGACGTGGCCCAGGGCCTCCAAATCGTCTCTTCGTGATTGCTCACGACCAAGATGTGTGTTGATACTCATATAACGAGCAGTGCCAGAGAGAGATTTGCGTTCGCGGTAAGGAATGTGCTGCTTGGTCTTGGGGTCGCGATATTGCTTGGCCATGCCGAAATCAACAACATGGATGACGTTGGCTGCCTTGGTGCCGGGGCGACCGATGAGGAAGTTGTCCGGCTTGATGTCACGGTAGATGAGGTTCTTCTCGTGGATTGTTTGAACGCGCGACAACTGTCGGACTGATTAGCTAGAAACTCACACGGGTTGCTCGAGATAGACTCACCATCTGCTTAGCCACCATCACCACGGTCTTGGTGGAGAACCGGCGGTTGCAATGGTCGAAAAGGTCCTCCAAACTGGGACCGAGAAGGTCAATGACCAGGATGTTGTGCAGGCCCTCTTGACCGAAGTAATACACATTGGGGATGCCAGCTAAGGGGCAAAGTCAGCAAAACAAGCAGACACAATTTCACCTGTTTGGGGGTACTCACGGCATCCGACCAGGATCTTGTAGGTCCGGTACTCATCACGCAATTGGGGAGCATCGCTCTTGCGGGGTTCCTGCAGTTGCTGTTAGTACGGAGGATGTTTCCGACGAGGTCGGGCAGGGCAGGTCAGGACAGGGCAGAACGTACGAATTTGATCGCAACCTGCTGGTTGTTGAGAAGGTTGGTGCCCTCGAAAATGACACCAAAGGATCCTTCACCAATTTTCTTGCCCACTCGGTAGTGAACTCCCACCACGTTTGAAGAAGACGAAGCCATGGCGACAGGGTGTGGCGAGGCCAGGAACAGAAGTTTCGATCACGGGGGCAATGGCTTCAGGGACGCAGGGCACGTGATTTGGCACTGTCTGAGTCGGGCGAAAGTCAGCAAAGTCGACTGGAACAGGTGAAAAGGGTGAAAAGAGGTCAACCTACACCACAGGGACGCCTGCTATTCAACCAATGCAATCCCGAAAGGGGGACAGTGAATGCACGATCTCGAAGTACCGGGTACCGGGAGGGAATCGGAAGAGTCGATCGGGGGTTGACGCGGGAGGTGTGATGAGATGACGGGTTGGTTTGGCTGCGGTGAGAGCTAGCACATCGATTCGAAAGGAATTGAGTGTGCTGTATAAGAATTGAGGAACTCCAGTGCTGTCGGGGAGTCACGGGCGAGGGTGAAGGTCCAGCCGAAACGGTCTCAGGTAGAGCTGCGGTCGGGGGAGAGGAGAAGCCGAACGGGGGGGGAGTTGAAGACCGGAGAAAAAGGAGCAAAAAGGGAAAGGGAGAGAATAAAAAGATAAAGAGCCGGAGTACTCGAAGAGTACGAGCCGCACTGAGCAGTGGGTTCCGTAGAAGAGGAGGGAGAAGGGGAGTGGTTAAGGGAGAGAGACGAACAGGGCGAAGTTGCGAGAATCAATCATACAGGGAGGTGTATTGGAGGTGTATTGGTGGTTGGTGCTTGTGGGTAATCTATGTAATCTATGTAATCCATGTAATTGGTGTATAATACAGCCAACCTGACTTCACGACCAGGTCATTTACCCAGTCTAACCTCAACAACTTCCCACTTGACCAACTTCAGGTCACTAACCACACACTAACACTCCCTACTCGGTCAACGAATCATTTGATGGAACCTGCCCCCGTCCTTGGACATTACCGAGTATGGCCTTTGTGCCTTCTCCGTACTCCGTACTGCTGCACCTAAAGAGAGCTAGTGTGTGCCCAGGCCCATTTTCGGCTCCGATCAATCTGACTGCTGCAGGCACCAAGGAGATTCCATTTGACATTCTTTGATTGCGATCTGTACGAGTATCTGTACGGAGTACGGATACTCTGCACCCTGCACTCTGCTCTGCTCTGCTCTGCACTGCACTCCGCACGGAGTACAAAGTACTCCATACAGTCCACCGCCACAAAGGGATGAGCCCCATGTCCGTTCTGCACTACCGAAATTTCCCACCTTTTGGCTCCATATTTTCTTTACCGCCTCAGGGGAAAACCGTTGGCTGGACTCGCTGGAATGCGCTTAATTCGGCGGTAACTTTGTCTGGCATTCAAGTTGTACTTTGTTGCCTTCAACGTTTCCAACCCTAAGACTACTCCGGGGGTATACTCGTACAGATACCTGGATACTCGGTGTGTCTTTACTACTTACCTAGGTAGTTAATGCACGCCCTGGCCTGACAGTTGCTTAATATTGCTGTGGCCGAGGGATTCACCCTGCCTCGCATTTGACACGTCTCTGACCCACCGGCCGATCGTTCAACTCAATCCGAGTCCCAGAGATACGGTGTAGAAGCAGTGGGGTAGGGTAGGACCTCAGCATTGGAAACTTTGAACATTCGGGCATGGAGTACAAAGTACAGAGTACTAGTAGTATGGAGTACGGTACCTTAAGTACCTAGGTACCTAGGTAGTAGTAGTAGTAGTAGTAGTAGTAGTAGTAGTAGATCGTTCAATTACTCAGGGCGTGATATATTTCACACCCAAAGCCACCTGGGAATCCGATTATTCTACAGCCCAACCTGGGCAACAGTACCAGCACCATCATACAAAAGTCGATCCGAAAACTGAACAATCCCCAGCCACCTGGGCACCTATTCGGCATCAGGAAGGTCTTCATCGTCATTACCAGGGTCTTTGAGAAGATTCTCGATGCCAACATCATCGTCCTCATCGTCCTCTTCATCTTCATCATCATCATCGTCATCATCATCATCACTATCATCCTCATCTGACCCACTGCCCTCACTATCCCCAGAGCTACCAGGATCGTAGTCCTCCTCATCTTCCTCTTCTTGGTCTTCCAGCTCTCGCTGCGCCTTTTGGAGCTCACTCTCCTCCTCTTCGGCACCGGCCTCGGGATCAGCATTGGGGTCCTTCTTGCCGCTATTCACATTGTACACCTTGGCACGCCGGGCATCGGCCAAACTGGCATCCTGCAGACCATGTCGCTTGATATACTCGTCAATACCATCGTAATCAGCCTGGTCGATCATGGAAAATTCCAACTCCATTTGATCTTCCTCGGTACCGCCGCGAGGCCGGGCTAGAACATTAAGGTTGAACGTCCGTTGCAGAACAGATGTATATGAGACGGAATCAATGGTGTCGAATGAGAAAAAGAGAAGGGGTTTCTTGAATGCAAACAAGATTCCAGTCGAGAGAAGGAAAAGGTATCCTATCAGCAAGAAAAAAAAAAAACAAGGTTAGTAAGTATTCGGGGCAGAGGAAGGGTCATCCCTAGATTGCGTTGCCATACCTTCTTTGCTGCCTCGGAAGGCTTTGACGTGGTATGCTTTCTCGCCCTTGCGGTGCGCCTCTGGCATTGCGCTCACGAATTGTCGCTCGTCTGGTCGGACGATGTTCGTGTTGGGCATATAGTCGTTTAAGATCTTTCGCAGGAAACTTTCTGCTGTCTCGCCGGTTCCATTACCGACTTGTTGTCCGGTTCCTGTAAATGCAGCCTTGGCTGGTCCGTCGGCTATAGTGAAGACCATCGCTTCGAAGCCGGTCGTGCCTTCAGGGGGCGGCGTAATACCATCGGCGAACTCGGGAATGATACAAAAGTTGAATTGTTTTTGGTTCTTCTCTGGAACGGGGAGACAAAGGGCATGACCTGGTTGCGAGGAATTGAATTGATTAGTTCTTCACATTTCCAATGAGGCAGCCCAAAGAGAAAAGAACTCACGGATCCGGTCCATTGGCACGCCAAAATCAATCTCCTTTGTAGCTTGGTTCCTTGCACGAAGAACGCTTTGCCCAGCTGTCACTTCCAGCGTGAACTTTTTGCGCTGAGGAATGGCAAAGGAGACATCCTGGATATAGAATTGCACAGTAGCATCATTGCTCTTCACATCCACAGGCGCCAGCACAGCAGGTGCCGAGTCCCCATTTTGTATCTTGCGTTTCTTCGCTGCTGGGGCGTCGGGCGGAGGTACGATAGGAAGGGTGGTCGCAGTCCTGGCCAGCAGGCTGGAGGTATATCGAGCAAGATCCTCAAATAGAGGAGTATGCTGGGGTGTAGTTCCTAAACGAAATCGAATCGGTCGATAGTCAGTGGGTTGGGTCGAGTAGGAGGTGGTTTTTGTTGTCGGGCGTAGATGCGCCGTGGGCTACGCACCGATCGCATCGTAAACTCGTTTCTTGAGGGATGGGTCCGTCGCAAACGCTTCTTCAATAGTGGCGATCGGAGCACCGGCTGATGGGGCGTTGTTTATCGCGGCAAATGCCATTTTGTGTTCATGCGACTGCCCGTTAGAGTGTGAAAGGGAGTGTAGTGGGTGAGTTGAAAACTGAGAAATTCAAGGGCGATGCGGAACTTCGGTCTCGTCTCGGGGAGGATTTGGCAGAACATCAACCATTGGATTTAATTTGGTACAGCAAGCATTGGTGATTTAATTGATATTTGCAATTGAAAGTTAACACACAGGTTCACAGAAAAGAATTGGATGTAAATTTGCAAACTAGAATACATTGGGGAAGTTTATACACGCTATCTTAAAACAGTGCTTCTTTCAGATCACCCCTTTCAACTCAAGCAGTTTGAGTCTGAGCCTGAGTCTTAGCTTCAGCCTTGGCCTGAGCCTTAGCCAGAGCCCTCTTGGATTTCTTCTTCGGCTGTTCACTGATACTTGTCTTCATAAAGCGATCAATGAAGTTGTTCGTTTCAGTATCAAGAAGCATGTTGCCATCAGCATCCATCTTGGCCAGCTTAGCCGCCTTGCTCTTCGCAATCTCCATCTCCTTGCGCTCAATCGCAGGAGTAAACAGAGACTGGCTGGCCAGGTATTCCTTCCGGTATTCCTCCAAAACCTTCTCCCTCACGTACTCCGGGTCGTGGCGCTTACGGAATCGGGAGTACTTGTTTCGCAATTCGTCGAGAACGCTGGATGGGAAAGGCGAGTTATCCAAAGATGGGACCCATGTCTCTTGGTCGACTTCGAATCGCAATGTGTCGTATTCGCCGTCCTTGTAGTTTGGGTTCTCTTCCACGGGCCAGGGGATCTCGATGTCAAGACCGGTGATGTAGCGGGTGTAGCGAGGGATTTTGCTGTATTCGGCACGCTCTAAGTAGGGAGCTCCGGCGTAGGCGTGTTTAACAATGTGGTCGCGTGTAACCGAGCTGCCTTCGGCTCCGGTCTCGAGCGCGATGACATGTCGAACGTCATCCATCGGTACTGGCAGTGCCTGTGCGAGAACGTCGGACTTGATGCCCATCGAGGCCTTAGCCCAGTCGGGGACTTTGAGATCGACCTGAAAAAGAGAAGAGACCCGGTTTAGTGATGGTGATCGCAATGGAAGGTGGAAGGTGGAGGTGGAAGGGGCACAAGCTCACGGTATTGATGTCCTTTATCGTAACAGTCTCGCTCTCCTCGTTGACTTGTGTGATCTCATTGATCTTTCCTTGGTCCCGACCGCGAATCACACAGACTCGGTCTCCCGCGGCGAAAAGGATGTGCTTGCGACGTTGGGGTTTAGGAATAGTCGGGGGGTGAAGCAGAGCGGCGTCAATGGCACCAAAGGTTGTGGCTTCCAGTCCGGAGTCTCGCTTGGGAGCAATGTCTCCCTTTCTGTAGTCCTCCCAGCGAGAAGTGCGTGCAAGCTTGATTGAATCGATAATGGCCTTGTTGTAGTCCCTTCGCATCCGAATGTTGTCTTTGCGGTTCGCCAGATCATCCTTCTTCTGGGCTCGGAAAAGCTTCTTCTGGGCCTGCTTTCTGGCCGTGGCCGTCCGTTGAATGACCTTCTGCATTGTAGTGGTGGTGGCCCAGCAATTGCTCGACTGATGCTGCTCGTCAACTTGAACATTCACGATCGCCAGGAAAATTGCGGCCGCATCTCGGAGCACGTGACATGGCGCCAATCTGCTGACTAACCATTTACACCATTAACCTACCTAGGTACCTACTAGTAGCGTATTTTCCTTCAATACTATCGAGAACTGGATTCATATGGTTCTGAAGCCCATGAATGCGCAGGTCATTGATCAAATTCAAGTTCCAAGGTTAAATCGCGTGCACCTGAGTTGCTGCCAGCTCAGAGCGGAAGTATCATCGGTTTATCACCGGTCGCCACGATCTACCATTTTACTACAAAGAGGAGGTTGAGATACAAAGGAGTTTCCTTGATGCTTTCCTGAAGGGTGAAGATCGCGATGGATGGAGTACTGTCGAAGCCCCCAAGGTTGACCTTCTCAGAAAGGTAACGTGGGACACAACAACCCTGAAGCTGAGCGATGCTTCGGCCGCCGTGAGGAGAAGGAGTGGCCAATAGCCCGCACACAATACACCAGGTTTTTTCTTTCTCCCAACTTGGAACTCAAGGATTCCTCGCTAGCGCCACGAACCAGCTTGGTTGAGCTTGGATACCGCGCTCGAGGCACTCTAGATTGCCCGTCTTTTCTTCAATTCGCAACTCAGCCATTCTTGCAAGAGACAGAGATCACCGGACATATCACTGCACACCTGAATGTGTCAGTCACACCTGATAAGGGTGTTCCTTTGCCGTCAGATATCGACCTTTTCGTCACAATTCACTATATCTCTCCGTCTGGCAAAGAAGTCCACTACACTGGTACTGCTGGTGATCCTGTACCTCTTACCATGGTAAAAGGCTGGCTCCGAGTGAGCTTGCGTAAGGTGAATACCCAGCACTTGCGGCACCGCGAGTATCTACCATACTGTGATTACTTTGAATCCGATCTGATGCCTGTCATCCCTGGGGAAGTCTATCCGGTTGACATTGAGATCTGGTCTACCAATGTTGTGGTTGAAAAGGGCGGGAAGTTGATCTTCGAAGTTTCTTCAGGTGACAGTCAGGGCTCCGGCATTTTCCAGCATACTGACTCTACTGACCGATACTGACACTTTCTTTTCCTCTTTGATACGTGGAGATTATCTCACTAACTTTATGGTTACATCCAGGTCGGCTGAGAAATTACAAGGCACTAACCATATCCACTTCGGTTCAGCCTACGACAATTACGTGGTCCTTCCTGTGATCCCCAACTAGATGGATGAAACGCCCCAAAGCCTTAACCAAGACGTGGTCATTTACAGACAATACGCGGAATGAATATTCCCCGGGCTCACCATAAGGTCTTTGAAACTCTTCTTAGAGTGTTGCAGAGCAGTTGATAGATGGTTGACAATGATCTGAGTGGCATTCCATGCACGAGGCCTGGCCACACAATAAATGGTGTTGGGGGATCCGATCAAGGGTTGTATCTAGAGGATGGTGAAGATCACAGGGCGTTAAAAAGATAGATATGAAATGGATAGGTAGAAAGTAAACCTTGTGATATTGACTACCTATGTATCTTAAGTACCTTCCAAAGACTTATCCTTATATCAGATTCCCGAGTACTATAAGATGCAAAAAGATACACAAATCTGTCAATTTAGATACTTAGATAGTAGCCTTATTTATTCTACTAAGACCGTAGTCTTAACCGCGAGCCCTGGAGCAGCTTAGGGTTTTCTCTCCTGTATGTATCACACTGGAGTTCATGTTTTGACGCTAATATGTAGTCGAGAATACGGACTCCTATAGCCTCCATGTCTGATTTTTTTAATCCAGTTTCAAGTGGACCTATTATGATGCCCACTGACCCTCATAATGGCTTGACTGTACAGCCCTCGAAACATAACAGTTGCTATCTATGTGCGACAGGGAATTTTAAACCACCCCGTACTTCGATTGCGATCAGGCAGGCAATTATAAGGTTGCTGATGGTGGGCTTTTAACCGACTAAATATTACGGTACACCCCCTACACTGAGGGGCCTCCGCCTCTTCTGACCACCCAATACAGCCAAAATGTGATGCAAGGCCCTCATTTGTTGATGAGAGCAGCCCCCGCGGTGTTTCGACTCAAGCACTTCTTGGAAGACACGCATCACCCCTGCTCGATCATTCAAAGGCACGTTTTTGCTAAGGCTTGTGAAAGTGGGCAAACCTTGACCGGAAATAATGAATCTTTGTAGCGCAGCGCCATCAGATTCGCCAGGCTCGACATCCAATAAGAAAACCGTTTCAGTTTGATTGAGTCCCACGTCTTGAACCAAGTACCTTGTCGAAAGCAAAGTGCTTAGGGTCCATGATGTCAGTGCAGCGAGGTATAGGCAGGTAGTACAAAATGTAGAAAATGAAGAAGTCGGCATAGATCTCGCAATGCGTAGAACCTGGCCGGCATGCCAGCCTGCCCTTCGCAGATTCGCAGGGCTGATATGTTGAAGAACGGACTGATATGTATCGGTAGACCGTTTCTGACCATCCCTTCCAGCAAAGATCTTAGTAGCTTCAGGTGGCATGTACAATGACAAGGAAACCATCCGGTAGATGAGTGCAATGGCCGGGGTCTTTTCCTGTAAAGGTTCCACCGCAAAGATATCGAACTCTTCAAGAACTTTTTGCAGCTCTTGTTGCCAGATCTTCATTACTACCTCACGCCATTGGCCAGATGGTCCGCGAAGTGGTTGGTTGCAGTCTGTTATCATCGTCGATATTGCGTGAACTGTTGATAATGCGGCTAACTGGCAGTCTCCTTGAACGGGGAACCGGCTCAAGATGGATAGATCCTGTGTAGTGGTGACCAAAGAAGGTATAGGAACGGACGCTGTGGGTATTTGGTGAAGATAAATGGATTTCCATTCTGTAGCCGTTTTTGCAGCCCAAAGTTTCCTCGAAAAGGGGATGGGCAAATCCAGCTCCGAATATGAAATTAGTGGGTTAGTTGATCGCAGAAGAGATGCTTGAACATCGTGATGAAAAACATGATAGACGAGTCTGCGGTTTAATGTGAGCGTCGTGGAATTTCGGATAGAATATAATTCTTTTTACCTCTTAAATGATTCATGCTCCACCCATTCATGCCATTTCCGATTGATAATATTGTCATCATCTGCCGCATCGGGGGTGATGGTAGGATATGCTTCATGTTTAAACCGCGAGCCTCGCCGTAGCATCTATCATCGAATTAGAACGTGACACTACCCGTGAGGGATAGTACATAGCTGAACTAACGGTCACAATTGGCTGCGCAAAGCTCTCAGCGATTTCGACACGACGCTTGTCACCACTCCAAAGCCCGATCTGAAGGATCAGGATATATTGTTGTTGTTGCTTTAAATCTCGAGTTAAGACATTGTTATCTTCATACTGCTTGAAATCAGAAAATTTGATGTGTTGCCTTATCGACCAAAAAATACCTTGCTGTTCACTAGAAGTCGGGCGATGTCCATGAGAGCATAGCCCAGCTTCTGGATTGGTTCCGCGCTAGACAGAACTGCCCCTGCAGCAGCAAGCGTCAAAATCATCTCTGGACTTTCTTGATTAAGCTGCATGGTCGAATCATGGATAAAAGCGTCAACTTCAGATCTCTGATGCTTGAAACAGTCTTGAATCAGACTATCCAAGAGCTCTGCACCCGGGAAGCATTTCATGATACGAGGTGGGCCCTTTCCCTGGCAAGTCGCGACAACAACGGCGAATACTGCATCTCGGCTCTCTTTCGACAGGCGTTCTGTAAAGCTGCGATCTCTCACAACATGTGGGGATATCGGAGTGTCAAGATGTGCAGGTATGGACAGATATTGTTGATCCATATAGGCATTATCATCTGCACATGGGGTCCAATTAGACAATGGCGATTGATCCAGATCATCTGTATTCTCTTCATTCGGGGCTTTCGAGCTAGCATTGAGATCCAGCTGATTGGTTTGGTTTGAAGCGTGCAAATATGGGCTGGGCCTGGTCAAAGAGTCCTGCAGCTCGAGATCTGCGCCAATGAAGCCGAAGTCGAAGTCCAACTCCTCGATAATATTCCAATCATCTGGGTTCTGTATCAACTATTATCAGTATAGATCCTTCATTCCCTGGCTGGGAGACCATGGAATTTCACATACCGTCAGGAAGAAAGTACTCGGGTCAGCCATACCTTGGCCATAGTCTCCATACTCGAGTAAGCGGGATATCTCCTCTAGTAATGACTTAGTATCTAGGTACAGTCATGTATGGAAGAATCGCGATACCACCGGTTGCGTTGGCAATGGCCATCTCTTCAGGTGGAGCCTCGGGTGCAGCATTACTCGGAGCGGAAGCTCCCTCACCGAGCTCCCTCGCAGACTGTGACGGTATTGTCTTTGGTGAAGTTTCTGATTTGAAAGTGAGAATCTGTAATACGGTTGTAAGTCGGCTATTTTAGAAACTAACCTTTTTGTTCCCGTTCTGGACCGTGGCCAGCCAAAACTTCTGATTCTGGAGTTGCCATTATAGTCAGCAAAGTTGAAAGTCTTACAAATCTACCAAGACAGGTGCTTTACCGGTTGCTTGCATTTCCCCTAAGGAACAATCCATTGGAATCCATTGGCATAATTGATTTCGCTGCACGCATCGCTGGCATGGCTTTTCATCGTCACACTTGAGCTTGGACGAGGCACAGCTCTTGCATGCCTGTGATACACGCCCTCTAATACCGGATGATAGAGTCTTCCCGTCACTATCATTTTTGGATCTGTGGCCTTGAGCATGTCGTCGGAGAAGATCACTAAAAAGAATTAGAAACAACAGGCTGGATCATCTTAGACATAACAGACATTCTTGCAAATCCCTTCTGACAGTCTCGGCATCTGAACGGTTTATCCGCAGTGTCTGCAACACGATATCAGTTTTCTGCGGGTGCAGACTTAAACAAACGAGGTCTGCTTCTCTGCTAAAGAACTCACGAGATCTGACATGTCTGATTAGATGATCCGCTCGAGTATATTCTTTTTTTGCAGACGCCACATTGGTAGAAGCCTCTGGGTTGAACTTGCGGCCTTTCCGACCGTATGCGCACATCAGACTGGCTAGAGCTTTCCATTATCACTTCGGAAACAGGGGTCTTCGATGATCACCGGTGGTCCAAGGGATTGAGGAAGGGAAAGTGGTCCACACTTCCGAAAACCCCGAAATTGGTCAAAACTGCTGATTAAGCGGCTGGCAAAGTCGTTCCGACAACTATAATCTCATAGTTAGTTAGGTACTTGGGTGGAACTTCGGGAGAAATTTTCATCGATGGATTTAATGGAATAAAGACAAAAAGAAATAGTGGGTTTATACCTAGGAAGGTACTACTAGTATATACTAGCGGCAAATCCAGACTCGGAGTGGACTAGATTTTCAAATTTGGATACTTTAAGCCCACCTGGGCAGATGGTGGAAATACGCCCTAAGTTCCAGGGTTCTAACTTGAAGGCTATATAAGATCTGGAGACCCCCGGCCATCGTCGTACCCGCACACCTGGTAGTGGGCAGCATCATCCGAGTCATTGACCCGTCCAATCTCGGGGTCATCGCCAAATCTTCGGACCTACGTCAATTCAAATTTCTTTTAAATTTTTTTCTTTCCATAAATTGATTATTCCCCTCTTCCAAGAATAATCAACTGGGCACTCGAAGAATAATCCTTACTCGCGGTTCAGAATATGACCAACGAGCCAAGAACACCCTCTCCCAGTGGAGGGGCATGGAAAGAGCTGCGGTACGGATTCGTTAAGGCCGTCGCAGCGAGTTTAGTGCTCCTGCAGCTCCTTTTTCTAGGAAACATGTGTTACTTGTACGCAACGCAATTCAACAACTCTGCTCGTGTTCATAGTATGAAGTTGCTCTATGTCGATTACGACGGCGGAGTCATTGGTGACTCTGTGACAGAGGCATACCAGTCGTTGAAAGGGGACTCCTTTCCAACTATGGATACGAAGCCCATTGGTCAATATTCTACTCCAGAAGATGTCAGGGGCGCTGTCTGCAGTGGTGATTACTGGGGCGCTATATACAGCACGCCAAATGCATCAACCAGCCTCGAGACCACACTCATGAATGGCACCGCTTCCTCAACTGCCGCTTTGACCTATATTTGGAATGGCGCGCGATATCCCGCTATTTCCCAAAGCGAGATTTATTCAAACATTCTAACCCTAGTGCAAGGCGCACGTGGGAGTTACTATACCAGCAGCGCATCCAAAATACTCGATTCAGCCAATCTATCTAATACTGTCGCACTTGAAAAACTTCTCGATCCCATACAAGCTGCCGAGATTGATATCAAGACAACAAATCAAGGCACAAGAGTTCTTTACAACACTGTTTCCCTCGTCATGCCAATCATTCAGCAGTTCTTCTTCATGATGGCTCTCAACGGAATATCCTCCCAGTTCCACCTCCTCACAAAGCTGGGGGTTGTGGCAAATGGACTCATTCGAATGGTCACATCCCTTGTTTATACCTTTATTGGTGCGCTGTGTATGGCTGGCTACATTTGGGGTTTCAAAGAATCCTGGGCGGTGAATGGCAATCAGTTCGTTCTTACATGGATGATTGTTTGGCTTTATATGCATATCAACTTTTTAATTGTGGATACCCTCACTGCTTTCATACCGATGCAATTTTTACCCTTCTGCATCCTTACCTGGGTCATCTTCAATGTTGCAAGTACAATCAGTCCCTTTGAATTGAATCCTGGTTTCTTTCGCTGGGGCTATGCACTTCCTGGCCATGAGGTGTATCAAGTGCTCATTCAAATATGGAGCGACGGATGCCAAGATCAATCCTATCTGGCGCTTCCAATTCTGTTTGCATGGTGGATCTTGGGGCTGGTGGCTGTGATATACGCCAATTATCACCGGTGTCAAGTGGCATTGAAGGCTCAAAGTGAACTGGAAGCAGCGAAGAACGACCTAAAGGCGTCATCCAGCACTGATGACATCTTAGAGCGCGAGAGACGTTATACCGGCGACTCAATTCGTCTCGAGCGTGTTTACGGCCCCAGCTACCCTACCCCAGGCGTACATGGCGCCGCTTGAGTAGACTCGCTACAGTAGTCGAGATCATGGACTTGCCTTTGCATAGACGGAACTGTTATTGCCTTTGGATTTCACATAATATTCTATACTAAGTTTAATTTTGATATAATTTGAAAAATTAAGATCAGAAACAGGATTAGCCAGTGGCTTTTCCAAGGTTCAAGATATTAAAAAAAAAGACACGGAGATGGTTGAAAACCGAGATTTCTTCGACTGAAACCTTAGAGAATCCGAATAAAAGTCCGCATAGCGGAAAAATTGCCATAGCCTACCTAGGTACTAGGTACTTATGACTCATACCCGGAGGCCATTGAATTGAATAAAAAAGCATTGAATGATAAATATTTCTCCATCAGCCCCACCCCTCTACAGCCTCGCCGAGATCTCCCAACTTTAGCACTTTAACGTGGTGCCAGTGACAGCCCTAGAAGGAGCAAGTACATACTAGTAAAAAATTCTCGTATTTCCACCATCAGGCTCTTCCAACTTGAAGCATGGCTTGTGGCTTGCTGAATGGCAACGTCGCGCCTCTTAAGAACTCTTTTTTCTTCGCCATCCAGAGAAAGCTGTACCTCGCCCTCCAATACGATCCCGTAATCCAAAGAAACCGTGTAGTGTAAGGGGCTTTCAGCTGCAGGTGGTAAATTGACAATTCGACAGACTGACCCGGTGCATATGATGAGACTGGGGGATCAGATCGGCAGTATACTGTGCAATATCGGCATCTGCGGACACCTGGGCGGGAAATTCACGGGAAGTGCATGCCAAGTCATGAAGGAAGTTGTTGACCATTTGCATCGTGAAAGGGGCTGGTATTTGAGTCGAGAACACGCCTTTTCTCTTTTCGCCACATGCTGTAATATACTGGCTCAGCGAGATAGAGTTGGGTGATTCACCCGGGCAGCGTTCATTGTAGGCGAGAACAAGCGGGGCAATCTGGTGCAGCAATAGCGCGAGAGACTATTTGAAAATAGTTACTGGAAACCTGATATGTGATAAAAAGTTGGCTTAGTTAATAGTTTGACTGTCTACTACTGCATTCGGTCGGTCACCTTCGACTATCCCCGTCGGCCCGTAGGATGTTCGGCTCCACATTCCCGAAGCTCATACTATGTACCGGCTCCCGAAGTGGTCATGCCGAGAACCACGGCATGCCGGGGATTTTTTATGGTGCCTTTCCAGAGGCACAGCCCGCAGAAGAGGTTGCAATTAGACCCGTGTACCCATCTATTGACCCCCGTGTTTCTATTTTGTCCACTAGGTACCCGAACGATCACTAAGAGCCCATAGGTTTTTTTTTTTTCCAAATGGGTCTTGTGAGCTATGAACTTCACCCTACCTAGGTATTGTGGTATAAAAGTTAATAATTTCTTATGGATTTTGCTTAGACCTACAGATAATCAGTATTCTTTGATTTGCGCCTATGCACGCTGATTTCCTTTGGCAGGTCGGTGTGCCCTGTTTGTCTGATAGAAACTTTATTCACAAATATTCACAGAGCCGGAAAGCAAAGTTGCTGGATACGTGGAGCCGGCCGGCCTCGGGATAATGGGTTTATTGAGATGATTGGGGTCATCGAGAAGGATGTTTGGTCGATCAAATAGCACTGTAGATCATTTCCCGCTGAATTTATATCGCAAGAAGAATAAATTGTTTCGTTCAATCATTTTCCTTCTCTCATTTCTATCACCTTATTACCATTGTCAAGAAAATGAGCGATGAAAGCAAAGCGGTTGTAACGGCTCCTGCCAAGGGCTTGAAAATTCTCATCATCGGAGCCGGAATTGGCGGACTGGCGGCAGCGATTGCTTTGAGAAGACAGGGTCATGAGGTTGAGGTAATGTCTTCCTAGGGGTTTTTTAGAATTTTATCATGGCGTTGTGATATGTACGGATGTGGCTAATAAGCTGAGGGCAGTTGTTCGAAAGATCCCGATTCGCAAACGAAGTTGGCGCAGCCATTCACCTCACCCCTAATGCAAATGGTCTGCTGAAACGAATCGGGGTGGATGCTGCTCAGTATGGTGCTGTGCAAACGGAACAGGTATTTATGCAACTGTTTTAAACCAACGCGCCACCTTATTCTAACCAAAAAAAAAAAAGATCCAAGACTTTGACTCAGACGGTGAACTAAAATTCATTGGAAAATTCAGAGAATATTCCGATACATGGCAGCATGTGAGAAGTCCTCTGCCATACATCTATGTCTGCTCACGAACTGACTGAGAAATAGGAATGGTTTCTCATTCACCGTGCCCATCTCCATGAGGCTTTGAAAGACAAGGCCAAGGCCCCAGGCAAGGGAAAACCGGTCGTGCTGCATACTTCTTGTAAGGTGATTGGAGTTGATGCACAAAATGGAACGGTCCATCTTGCCGATGATACGCAAGTTCATGGAGATCTTGTTATTGGTGCTGATGGAGTGCATTCCGTTGCACGACGCCATGTCAAAGGCTCGAATAAACAGGCTTTCAGCTCAGGCAAGAACGCCTTTCGTTTCATGGTCTCACGGAAAGATGTAACAAATGATCCAGAAACTGCCCACATGGCACAGGAACTTGGCTCTGTAGACATGTGGCATGGTCCTGACAGCAAAGTCGTGATATACCCCTGTGTGAACAATGAAATGCTAAACTTTGTCTGCATTCACTCTGATCACCTTACCCAAACTGGAGTATCGCATGGCTGGGATCAGGCTGTTGGTAAAGACACATTGCTAGAGGTATACAAAGATTACGAACCTGGAGTCCGTAAGCTTCTAGCAAAGGCGGATCCGGAAACACTCAAAATTTGGCCTCTCTTGGACATGGAGACTCTCCCAACGTGGTTTGATGGCCGTTTGGCATTATTGGGAGATGCAGCACATCCATTTTTGCCTTATCGCGCATCTGGCGGTGCTATGGCAATCGAAGATGGTTTTGCTCTGGCGGTCCTACTACCAGGCGACCTATCCAGTGAAGAGATCCCTGAGCGGCTGAAGCTTTATCAAAAGGCTCGCCACGAACGTGTCACTCGTATCCAGGAGTATACACGGGAGTCCGGAAGAACACATCTACCTATGGACAAAGGTATGCTCTTCTCTCTCCATCTTCTGCAGCAACATAATCTGGTGTGCCCAAGTCACCATTGCCCAGACTCGGACAAGGCACCAAGAAAGTATAGCTGAGTTAACTGACAATCCTTCAACAGCCATGAAAATTATATCCGAGATATACGACCATGATGAATGGGATTCTGCTACTGAGATTTTGCGGCAACATCAGCGTTCTCAAAACCCACAGGTTTATTACCGACAGCCCAGTGTCTTTGGTCCAATGCCTGGGCCCCGTCAAGATTTCTGGGGTCACAGCCGAGCTCTAGCATCTACAAAGGCGAATTTTACCACGGCATCCATCAAGATAAAAACTAGCCGAACACTTCTCAAAGCTTTGTTGCCTAACTCGGCCTATGCATTCTCCGGAACCGGCAGCGTCGCCTACGCCACCTTCTCCCAGACTACCATAGATGGACTGGACTGGCTTGCAGGAGGTGGCTATAACCACTTTGGAATCTATGTGCACGGAATCGAGTATAGACATATTTCCGGGCAAATTACGCGGGGCAGTTACCTCCCTGTCATGTTTGAGGACCTCACCGATTCTATTATCTCAGGGAGAGAAGAACTTGGATTCCCAAAGCTGTTCAGCGACATTGACGTGCAGAGGCAAGAGCAGTCTTACTCTGCCACCACCAGGTGGAGAGACACCGTTTGGGGAAAATTTACTTTGACTGGCCTAGAAGAGCAGAAAGACAACCCAACCAAGAACTTAGAGTCTATCGACCAAGGTCTTCTCGTGCACCGCTACATGCCATCTGTTGGTAAAGATGCGAAAGGAACCCCAGGAGCGGAGTACGCTGTATTCGTTGATTTGGTGGAGGAATCGCAAATTGTTCCAACCAAAATCAAACGAGTACTTAAGGCGACCCAGGGAGACATTCAAATTGTTGAGAAAGGATGGAAGGAGCTTCCTACTTTGCATCATATCGTTTCCCGCCTGGCCGAGATTCCGGTGTACGATGTGATCGAGGCCAAGGTTGTGGAAGGTGAGGGAGTCATGGATATGTCCACTGCGAGAAGAATTGATTAGGATATGGTGAACTTGCACTCGCATTCCACTCGGAAATGTATTCGTAACCTTGGGAAAATCTTGAAAAATATGACGTCTCTACTCATTAACCACATAAATTGAATATGCTCAACCTTCTTGAGTTGACTACTTAATCTAGTGAAAGTAGATTAAGTGTCACCGACCCCTGAGATGGTTAGTCAACACCCAAGCGTAGTTTCTAGTATTAATTTCCGGCAATCGGAGAGCCTTTCGAAAGTTCCCGCTTCCGTGCCATGGCGACATTATTCGGAACTTGAAGACATCGGCATGCCGTTCGTGAGAGGGGTGCGGGCCGCTGTTATTCGCACACGAGCCGAGCAAATCTAAGGGGGCTATACCTAGGTATGCATTGGCCACCCGTCTTCTGGGAGAAAGACTCGGAATTCTAACCTACTACCTAGGTAGGCAGTAACCCTGGAACATATATACAATAGTACTAGTAGAGCTCCATCAGAGTTACTACCCCCGTCACTGGCACGCCCCCGTCACTGGCACGATAACCATGAAAACCTCCTAACAGCCTGAGCTCTATATAGAGGCAGATAAACCATACAACCTACTGCAGCAAATAGTATATCTAACTGGCATATAAACTATACTATTACCTAGGTAGTAGAGTATCCCGTGGTTTGTGCCCCCGCAGTTCAAAGCGACCGCCCCCGCCCCCGCACAACTTGGAAACTTCACTCCAATCATGCCGAACATCAAATGTTGGTTAGTACCTACCTAGGTACTAGTAGTATGGGTACTGATGAAATAATGCTTTATTGCTAACACAATCCAGTGACCCCTGCCGCCTACTCCATCACAAATGTGAGTCTCCTCTCCGCATTGCCCGTCTGTATCATTTTTTCTGAAGCCTTTTCTCCAAGGCGATGGTATTCTTCCCCAATGCGGACGATGCACTCGCACGGGGCGAACATGCGTACGAGGTAAAAAAGAGACTCAATTCAGGCAGGTCAAGGGACAAGGGCCAAGAACGAGATTCCCACGCAACCAGGTGTGGCTCCGACCGCCGCCGCGAGGTGAGACTCGATCCGTAGACCGGAACCACGACGACACCAACAACTGACTCGATGCGCTTGACCTAAGTGGATTTCGTCTTGGAATCAGGCAATGGGGAACCAGACGATGAAACCCAGCCATCAATTGATACCGAGCGAGTCACCGATGCAGAGCTAAGCCAGACGGACAACAGGCCGTCCCCGAGCAGCCAGAGCCATCTCTCCCAGCCAGCCCGACCAGGAGAGGAATCACGACTGCACACAGACCAGACCAGTCGAGATGAAAAGCTTCATCACCCGCCTTTCTATCCAAGCGGTGTGCGCCGTGAATTGCGACCGGGTCGACGGTCCTGGCCTTTGAGAGACCCGGAAGAGGCCTACCTATTGAAACATTTTGTGGATCGCATCGCCTCCTTTGTGAGTCTATCCTTGCGCTGGTGAGGAAGCTCGTCGGATTCTAATCGAATCGACTTTAGTTTGACTGCACGGATCGACAGCAGCATTTCGCAGTACACATCCCTCACCGGGCACGATATTGCGACACGTTATTCAACGCCCTCATGGCCCTATCGGCTCGTCACTTGAGTTGTACTACGACTTTTGATCCCTATGTATCAGATCAATACTACCAGGCCTGTTTAGAAACGCTTATTCCTGCCTTGAGCAACCACGCCGTCACGATGGATGACGACCTACTGGCCGCGACTGTGATTCTTCGCCTGCTGGAAGAATTCGATGGTGAGTGGTGCATTGCGGCTGAAACCCCCCACACACTCCATAAACATGGTGAGGTCGGCGCTGACGGCGATCCTAGTCCCACTGGCAGGATCGGATCTTCGTGGCCATTCCTTCGGGACTAAAGCATTTATTCAGGGTCCGCCGCCCTCCACGACGACAACGCCTAGTCTACGACAGGCGGTTTATTGGAGTGGACTTCGACAAGAGATCTACAATGCCCTGAGTCTACAGCAAGCACCGGATATCGACTTGAGCTCCCTGCACTCCCTGTTCACGGCTCTGGGCCCCAATGCTGGCGATTGCGCGTGGGCAAACCAGGCGATTGCACATTGCGCTGATGTTCTTCTATTTTCGTTTGGGGAGGGGCCTCGCTCGGTGGCGGTGCATGAAAGCTTGTTGAAGAAGACTGACCGGTGGAGTGAGACGAGACCGGCTTCTTTTGACCCCTATTTTGTGGGCGATGAGGTGGAGATTGGTGCGAACTTTCCGGATATTCGTTTCAGTTGTCCCTGGCATGGTAGGTGATCTGCTTCCTATCCTAGGCATCAGCATTCGAGGTCGCCGATTGCGAATCGGATGGATGAGACTGATTGTGAACTGTTTCTTGCAGCGATTGGCAATCAATATAACGAGCTGGCCCGGATTTTGCTTTCGGTGCATAACCCTGGGCATCCTACAGTGGGACCCTTGCGACGACGGTTTGTTCAGGAAGCTGATGTAAGTTGAGCCCCGACCCCAATTTTAGGATTGTACATAGGATCATCGATGACGGATGCTGATATTCTCCGGTTATAGTACCAGATCCGCAAGGGGGTCTGGACCGTCTGTGGTGTGGCGTTGGCTAATGACGCCGTGCCTCCAGCGATGGTAGTGGGGTGTATGGCAATCCATCTATGTAAGGACGATCGACAAAATGAATACGGAGTACGGAGTATTTGAGAAGAGGATGGAAGCTGAACGTTGACAGGTGGCGATCGATTCACGGATCGGCAGGAACAAGAAAGGCTGATCCAAATCCTGATCCGCACCGACTCATCGCACGGATGGCCAACCCATGCGTTGCAGCGCCAATTGCGGGAGACCTGGGGAATGTCTTGAAGAGCATGTAATGGACGGGGAGAGATAGACGGTCAGAAATGGACAGTCAGAGACTACCAACCTCTCGAAGAGCACACAACTCCCACTGTGATTGAGCCCTGACTGTGACCCTACTGTGGCCCCCTCATCATGATGACAGTTCGCATTGACAAGACGGCAGCAAGGAGGGGGCCACGAGACGGCAAACGAACAAGCGAAGCCAGGAATCAAGACAAAAAAAGAAACGGCCCCAAAGCCAAAGCCGAATGGGCCAGCTTGATATTTCCGAAGTCAAAGCATGAAATTGAACGAACGGAAACCGCCGTAGGAACTGCAGGAACCACAACAAATTGTTAGGAATGCCGATCTGCGCGCCTTGTTACGCCCCCAAAGTGTGACGAGAGGGAGCGGTGGGGAAGTACCAAAGCAGAGCGTATCGAATGACAGGGCAGAGCAGTGATGCACAACAACTTTTGGCCGGTGCAATGTCCATATCCAGATCCAGATCCAGATCGAGGGCCCCCCCTGCAACAAGAGGATTCGCCCCCGAGCGCGCACGGTGGTATCCAAAAGTGGAGAGTGGAATTGTCAAATCTCCCGTCGAGGACCCTTGGTCGCGTCCAGACATTCAGTCAGAATGCACTGCGGTTGGATGGTGAGGGATCCACCTAGGATGATCGGCTCGGCGCGGGAGACGAGCAGGTCGTGATCCGTGTGTAAAGTGTGTACGAAGTAATGGGGGGGAGAGCTTCATTTAGGAAGTTCCAAAGGTCTATAGACCATAGATCCTCTCAATCATGCCGTATAGCATGATATTGATCTGCAGAGGGAGAAGTGTGGTGTATAACAGAAGGGGTGGATGTCCAAGAGGGCCAAAGTGCGGGAGGATTGGATTGTTTCCTCTCTACCCCTGAATGACAATGCACTTACGACGACGCTACTTTTAGCGTGTCACCTCTCCAGGTTCAAAGGTTCCACCTAGGCCCTTTCGTTCTGTCTCTTCCAGAACACTCACTTACTTCCTTTCCACCCCCCGCAGTTCTTGACGACTTGCGCGAAACTTTGGAAGCCCCGGGCTGTCTGCCCCAATCCCTTCAATGATCTTAATCGACTGAAGATAGAATGGCAATGGAATCGGGCTTTTTGCCCACGATAAAATGCTCCAACTGTGGATGCAATGTCGAGATCTCCGCCATGGGGGACCATATCTGCACGAGCACGAGCATGGAACATGGTGAGTTCCTTTTGGACCAGACAACTACACACACACACACACACACACACACACACACACACAACTTCATTGGAGTATACTGACTCCCTTTCGAATACAGCAACGACGGCAATCCCTTCACCACCCCCCTCTGCGGGGCTCGATGAACCAGATCGGTTGACAACGGCCATGGCTACCAAGTTTGGACGCGGTGCACCCCCGCGCATCGATCCTACTGTCGCAAGTACGTGAAGGAGGAGTTGAATGGAATGGGAGAGCCCTGGAGAAAGCAATGAAAGCGCGAAAATTAGCAACATGTATTAACGGCTCACAGACAATGCATTCCTTCAACCGAATATTCCAACGCCGGCCAGCAGCGTTGGATCGCATATGCCATCTCCTCTCTCAGTCTCGGCGCCTCGATCCCCCATCCAACCCTACCCACGCCATATATCCCCCGATGACGATTCAGTCCTGAATCTAGACAATGTCTTCTCATTTCCCATGCCTGGCAATCGATCTCCTACTCGTGTGAGCACGCAGGCATTTTCGTCACCAGAGCCCCCAGCACGCTCCCCAGCACGTTCGCCGGCACCCATCCCATCCCCACGATATGGTCTGGGCCTGGATTTGGTCCCGGAGGAGATACAATTGCCCCCAAGTCCACTTCCTCCGGCCCAGGCCCATCAGCGGAATGAATCGATGTTCAGCCAGAGTAGTTACCGCACCTCACTGGCCAGCACACGGCATGGTAGCTCTACGGCGAGATCATCAACCAATAGCTTCTCCCGTGGCTTCAACCAGTTTATCGATGAGACTCCGCCGTTACCACCAGCACCGCTACGAACACCAAACAAGTCTTCTTTCTCACGAAATTCGGAACTTTTCCTGGGTTCGTCTCATCAGAATGAGGGGACAGAACCATTTGGAGGGTTTGATTTTGGAATTCCAACCAATCCTAGTCCGACTGGTTTACATGACCTCCCTGAAGAGCGTTCCCCCGAGGAACTAAAAGCCAACCCAGACCAAGACTTCCCTCTGCCATCTCAGAACCATCTTCATCCTGCAGCTGCAGCCTCGGAGCCTGTTGCTGAGATTCCACGCAAAAACTCCGATGCCTCGACTCACAGCGCTGTCTCAGTGACAAGTTTTGCGCGCGCTTTGGGATTAGAAGATCAAATGAAGAAAAAAACCGAGAGTTCAGTGTCGTCCGAATCATCCCCGTCAGAAGCCAACAGTGGCAGTTCAATGTCAAGCCTCCCCTCCGATACCAGTCTCAGCCGGTTCAAGGCCAATGATCCCCTAAACCTCAGTCCTCTGGTGGAGGAATTGCCCGCACGCACACGACAAACCATTCTGGAACTACCGGGCCGCATTCGAAACACCATGGATGAAGTTCCGCCTATCCCAGCTGCTTTCTTTAGTCCCGATTCGCCCACCGACCCGGCCATCAACCAGGGCAGCCTGTCATTGATTGTGGAAAAGCACGAGAAGCCCTCCTCCCCACAACCACCACTACCACCACCATCAGAGTCCCCTTCGCCGCCACGACAATTGCAGCGAGCCGCCACAGCTCCGATTCCCCGTCCACCAACTCGTTCCACGACTCGTCCCAAGGGAAATTGCAAAGGATGCGGAGAGGAAATCACCGGCAAGTCCATCTCCTCGTCGGATGGCCGCTTAACGGGAAAATACCACCGGGGCTGCTTCGTCTGCTTTGAGTGTTCCTCTCCATTCCAAACTGCCGATTTTTATGTGCTCAACAACAAACCCTATTGTGCCCAACATTATCATGAGCGGAATGGCTCTTTGTGCTCCACCTGTCACCATGGTATCGAAGGCGAATACCTAGAGACCGTTGAGCGTACTGGCGCCCAACCAAACCGTCGTCGATTTCACCTCAATTGTCTGCAATGTCGAACTTGCCACATCTCGCTGAAAGGCGATTACTTTGAGTGGAATGGCGGGGTGTACTGCGAACGAGACGCACAGCGCGCTTCAAATGCCTATTACCGACCACCACCAGGAGCTGGGGGACCGGGACCTCCTGGTCCACCAGGCAGACGACGACCTACAGTTGGTGCATCGCCGCTATCCCAAATACAAACTCGTGGATATCCTCCCTCTGGAGGGTACCGTCCACCTCCTTCTCCTGCACCATCTCAGGGAGGACTCCGTCCCGGCCCACGTTTCTCTTCGGGCGGTGCGAGACGATTCCCTGAGCGACGAACGACAAAACTCATGATGATCTGATAAATAATGGGTCCTGCACATTCACACCCAACCTTTCTCAACCCTGTGAGCCTCTAGAGAGCTCCAGGCTTTCTTCTTTCTATTCCCATTCCCCTTTTCGTTCCCCCGATGTTCCGATATCCCCGTCAGATCATCTGGACTGCCACTCGCTTTATAGACTGCATTATACCCTTCACACCTTGCTTTCATTCATTTGGCTGGTGCCACCTGGCGTTGATCGTTACCCTGCTTTTTGCCTTGTTCCACATTTTCGGACTGGTCTGCTGTTCGCTTGTATTTTCTTCTTATCTTCCCGCTCTGTACAAGTTTTTTTTTTATACATTTGCTCGTTCCAAGGTTCTGGGCGGATATCCGGACTGGTGCCCATGGTTTCTTCCGAGGTTTTCATGTTATTTTGCCTTCTTTCCTCTTGCCAGTGGACACGGTCATGCCGACATGTATTAATGTCTAATCCGTTTTGGTGTTGGATGGCGGCGCTCCTCAATTTTGTGTGTACAAATTTTCTTGAACGAGTACCAATATAGGACAAAACCGAAATTATATTATGTATCATGACAGCGTTAAATGGAGTGTAAGTGTAAGGGTAAATATACCGAAGATAGACATACGTTCAAAGAGAACCTTGGAGTTGGCTGAAAGGCCCCCCCCCTACAGCCTTCGAGTAAAAGCCCACCCAAAAACCATGACGAAACTCGTGGCGAGAAAGCATTGCAAACGCTGGGAGAAAGTAAGTCTATCCAGATCCGGATCCTGACCCTTCAACGCCGGATCACTCCGCTCTTTCTCCCACCTTTCGCAAATCTCTTGGTAATGCGCCGGCTCGTCCGTGATGACGCCGTCGACCTTGTGTCGAATACACCAGCGCATCAGATTGGGAGCATTGACGGTCCAGACAAAGACTCGCCGACGAGCAGCGCGCGCTTCCTCGAGGAATCCTCGGCCGAGAGGGCCCATGAGAACTTTTTGGTTGACGTTGAAGGATATCCGGGGTACTTGCATGAATTGGCGCGCGTAGCGTAGGTCGAAGCAGATTAGGCTCATCGCGTATCGGGGGAGGTACTTGGTGCTTGCGTCAAAGTATCGGGCTGACCAGCTGCCGATGACGACTCGTCGGTGCCAGTCTGGTCCGATGGTGGGGATTGGTACAGATTCGACTGCCTCGGCGATCTTTTTCATGATGGTGTCTGGATCGTTGGAGCGCTGGGGTCGTTGTTAGTGAAACTTCAAGTGTGCGTTGGGACTAACGCGGTGCGGTCTGCATACCTTGATGTCTAGTAGAATCCAGACATGCTCGCGACCTGGCTGTCGTAGGAATTCCAAGACATCGACCAGACGGGGCATTGGGTCGTGTGGTGCCATCAGCGTGCGGAGGGATTTCAACTCGGCCCAGTCGCATTCTGCTACTTTCTTCTTGACTCCGAAGCATCGCTTTGTATTGGCATCCTGTGGAGATGAGCTATACTTCTTTTCATTCTCCGCCAGGCGAGAGCACGCTCACATGGGACAACACGACGACTCCATCCCGTGAGAGATGTAGATCTAGCTCCAGCGCCTGTGTGCCGGCCTTGATGGCTTCGTCGATGGCACAGATGGTATTTTCGGGAAATTTCCCCTTGTAGCCGCGGTGGCTTATGGTTTGTGGGAGATCGGAGTCCGAGTGGAGGAAGTGTGCTGGTACGGAATGAGATTAACGCGAGCACTTGAGGGGGAGGCTCGAACAAGAGGACTAACCTGGGGTAGTTGGATCGCCCTCTTGGAGGGGTGGGCAGTCTGACATGGTGGATAGGGGTGGTATGCAATGTGTGTGAGAGAGAGAAAAAGAAAGAGAAAGAGCAGAGTTGTTATGTTGATGTGAAGACGGTGAGAGGCGGAGATAACCACTTTTAACCCCGCCATGACATCGCCATGATTTTGGGCAAACTCCGTGTCTCCTTCCTCTCTCTCTCTCTCTCTCTCTCTTTCTCTTAAATTTCCTCATTGCCACAACTCACCAACAGTACTCACCCTCACCATGGAATCCGTCATTCAACCCCAAAAGACCGCCCTCATCACTGGTGCCGCCTCAGGTGTGGGGTATGCCATTGCCAAGCTCTGCCGAAGCAAGGACATGCACCTGGTGTTACTCGACATTGACCAAGAGAATCTCGCCAAAGCAAAGGCGGTATTGACGGATCTCAATCCATGTTTGAAGACCGAGGCCTTTGTTCTCGATGTGGCCGATGCCGCCCTATGGAAAGAAACCACTCGCCAGATCGTTGATATCGTTCAAGATATTGACCTCGTGGTGTTGAATGCCGGAAAGGGATACAGAGCTCAGGGAACCGATACTGGGCGTCTCAAGCCATGGCTGGATGGCAGTTACTGGGATAAGGTTAGAGATATTTGATTATCTGCTCCGGATTGCTAGACTGGAATTGGCCATGGCTAACCTGATTCTTTTCTCTGCTCCAAGACTTTCGGTACTAATGTTCGAGGCCCGCTGAATGGACTGGAAGCTCTTCTTCCCGTTTTGACGGGATCAAAAAGTAAGACTCCTAAATCTATTGTCATCACCGGTTCCAAGCAAGGCATCACGAACCCTCCTGGAGCCGGCAACCCCGCATACAATGCATCCAAGGCGGCGATCAAGAATCTGGCAGAGCATCTTGCGTTTGACCTGCGTTCTGATCCGGCCACGAAGCATATCTCGGCACATCTATTGATTCCAGGCTGGACCTGGACCGGGATGATGGGCAATATCGGACCTACCGACGAGACGGAGATCAAGAAGCTTGCCGGAGCTTGGTATCCAAGCCAGGTTGCCGAGGAGCTGGTTAAGGGACTGGAAACGGGGGCATTCTACATTGTCTGCCCAGATGGAGAAACTGATCAAGCCCTTGATCAAGCACGGATGAAATGGGGTAGCGAGGATGTTGTTGAAGGGCGACCGGCACTCTCTCGCTGGGAGGAGAATTGGAAGAGTCGGGCCGAGGAGGCCATTCAAGCCGATGCGAAGAACCGGAGAGCTTAAATCGGTTAGCTTAGAGTATATACAGAACACAATCAACAGCCTCATGAGCAAACACAACATTCACATATCTTCAAGTTGAACTAATGTGGATGATCGGCTTGTGCCGCGGCTTGGCTTGATGTCGAGTGCCCGATTGGGATAAGAAGGGCGTCCCCGCAGTCGCGGAATACGAGGAATCTTTGTCATGAGTCAAATTGAGTCAAGAAGTGTCAAGAGGAGTCAAGACGAGCCTGTGTAACCCGGCCGCATTGGATATGATCGGGGAATCACTTCAAGGTGAATATACCTAGGTACTAGAAGCTCTATAAAGGTGGTGCTTTGCCAGCTCAAATCTTCAAACAATCAATCAATTCAATTGTTCCAATTTGAGCTATTTAGCTATCTTCTATACACCTGGACGATATCCATGGGTACAGAGTAAGTGATTGTCTATCTACCATCTCCCCACCACTATGTCCTCTATGATGATACCTATCACTCGCCGATATGAGCCTGCTGGATTGCTTAAGCCGACAGGCGCTTGATTCCAACTGGTTCTGAGAAGATGTTTTACTCCACCATTTCAAACAAGCCGAAACTATTTGACCCCAGACAAGACTGATACTCGACTAGGTTGGAGCAATGCTGGTTGGTTAGAGTGGGTCCGGTGGAGAGTTCAAGTACCCACGGCATCTCGAGGTACCCCGACTGGTAGTAGAGAGTTCCCCGTAGATAGATAGGACATAAACGGCTAGATACTAGAGAAATTAGAGATAGGCATGGAATTGCCCGTCAGAATATTCATCCCCTCCGCTCTTCCCACTCTTCTCCACCCTTTTCGTCTGAGCGCCATGAGCATGACGAGGACGAAGGTTGACGGGAACCAGAATGCAACCCTAACGACTTGCCGCAATCGGCATTCCCAGCCATCCTCCATCTTGAAAGACTAACTAACCTTATTTGGTACAGTGGTGTTGTAGAAACCCGCCACTTGAATAGTCTATGTCTCGAGGAAAACAGGGAGAGGGGGTTGTGAAACAAGATAGGCGGTATCTGGCTGACTCGTAGTCCTCCCTCCTCCCTTGAGTTTGAGGCATGCACGTTTATCTTAAGTACTTCGTAAGGAGGACTCCGTATGTACTCCGTACCTGGCCTGATCATCCGTCCCATTACCTTCGAGTCCCCCCCCCTTCTCCCAAATTCCAAGGATCCCTCGGCAAAGACCCAGATAAGGCGCAAGTCCCCGGATGCAACCGTGCGGCGCAAGTCCGATGTGATCGGCGGTGCCCCAGGAGTCTAGAGGACCCTCTTCCTCTCCTCTCCTCTGCTGTCGCCGTCTTCCCCGTTGCCTGTCAATGCGGAGAAGCGTGGGGGTGACATTGAAAGGTGATCGTGATGCAACATCCCTTTGCAGCGCCGCAAGGTGCTCCTGCTCGCATGATAAGGTCCTGATCTGCTGTCTCGCAGAAGCTTAGGCGCGGTCCTTGTTTCCTCCTCTTTCTCTTTCTCTTTTTCTTTTTTCTTCATTTATTTATTTTCTTCTGCTTCTTTCTATAGCAGCTTGTAACGTCAAAGGTACAAGTTGCCCGCCAACCTCGCCAACCTCCCTCCCCTTTCCTTCACAGCGCCATGGGTCACGAACCACAGCCGTCGCTGGATGACACGGCTAAGAAGACGGCCACAACCGGCAGTGCCGATGAGCCCGATAAGCTGCAAGGCATTGCATCGGTGCCAGGTGTTGTGGACGAGGTCACCCGCGTGGTCGATCATAAGGCCGAACGAAGGCTGTGCCGCCGGTTCGATGTTCGACTCTTGCCGATTTTGGCCGTGATGTGTAAGAGCCGATTTCCTTTCTGATATTAAGAGGTAGTCAATGAATTGAGGCGGTCGCTAATTTTTCCATTTGATGCCTCTAGACCTTTTCAATGCCCTCGATAAAGGGAATTTGGGTAACGCCGAGACGGAGGGAATGTCCAAAGATCTCCATTTCAAGGACAACCAGTATAATCTGCTGCTGTCCATCTTCTTCGTCCCTTTCGTCATCTTCGCTCCGCCCTTCTCCATGCTCGGAAAGAAGTTCAGCCCGGCTCGTACGCTGCCCGTGTTGATGTTCTCCTTTGGTTCTTTCACCCTGCTCTCATCGGCCGCCCACAACTTTGGTGGCATCTTCGCGCTGCGTTGGTTTTTGGGTATGTCCGAGGCAGCCTTTTTCCCATTGGTGATCTACTACTTGACCACCTTCTATCGTCGTGGTGAGCTTGCCCGCCGATTGGGTATCTTCTACGCGGCTTCCAACATCGCCAACGCCTTTTCCGGTCTCATTGCATTCGGAGTCTTCCAGATCAAGGGGTCGAGTCTGCCCAACTGGCGGTATCTGTTTATTATCGAGGGTGCCGTGACAGTCATATTTGCCGTCTTTGCTTTCTTCTATTTGCCGCGCAGTGCGGCCGAGGCAAGCTTCTTGAGCGAAGAAGAAAAAGCTCTCGCCTTCCACCGAATCCAAGTCGATTCGTCGGCGGTTGTCAACGAGAAATTCCGACTGCGTGAAGCCCTCGGAATCTTCAAACACTTTTCCACATATGTCTTTCTGTGCATCGAAATCTGCCTGGGTGTCCCATTGCAAGGCGTGGCCCTCTTTATGCCCCAAATTGTTTCTCGACTGGGCTATTCGACCGTGAAGACCAATCTCTACACCGTAGCCCCGAACGTGACAGGCGCGGTGATGCTGCTTATTCTGGCTTTCAGCTCCGATTTCACGAAGCTGCGTTCGCCGTTCATTGTGCTGGGTTTCCTGCTCACTTTCTGCGGGTTCGCAATCTACGCCTCCATCAACGATGTCCAGAATAACCTGCAGCTGGCCTATTTCGCCACATTCATGATGACCTGGGGCACTTCGGCACCTTCTGTCATGTTGAGCACTTGGTATAACAACAACATCGCGCATGAAGGTCGTCGTGTACTGTTGACTAGTATTGGTGTTCCATTGGCCAACCTGATGGGTCTGGTTGGCAGCAATGTATTCCGTCAGCAAGATGCCCCGAAGTATATGCCGGCATTGATCACCGTTATGGCCTTTGGAGCCACCGGTGCCTGCCTGGCTGGTCTACTGGGACTGTATATGTGGATGGACAACAAGCGTCGGGATCGTAACGATGGAGTGACAATCCGCGCACGCGATATTCCAACCGAGCGTATGCGTGATGGCCCAGCATCGGCCGAGTTCCGCTGGTTCCTTTGAGCCGGCCAATGTGATATGAAGAATGTATGTAAATCTGGAATAATGAATTGCCAATTTTGTACAGTCCACCCGAGTCTCACGTCATTTCTTCTTCCCCGGTGTCTTCCCCAGAATCCCCGGATCCATCCCACACTCTTGTCCCCAGTGTCTCCACAGTCGGAGGAACCGCGAGACTTGGTACGGAGCACATACAACGAAAACTGGGAACTTGGCCCTGGTGGAAAAGTCCGTGAGCTCCGGTCGGCTGGAGGATATAAGCGAGTGCCAGATTCCTAATTTCCAGGGTCCACCATTGCTCCACTCGACACGACGTGGGAAAGCGGGCGACCGTCTTAGAAGTGAAAATCGGGATTTGGGGATGTACAATTGCAATTTTGCCTGGCTTCTACGGAGTAGCTTGGAGCAGATGAGGATGATTCGGAGCGAGATTTTGAGACTGGCCGATTGTCAAGTTGTACGATCAACATCCTGCAAATATGCGCGTCTTCACCGCTGTTCGAAAGGGTCCCTGGGTGGGACAGAAATCCTGAAAAGGGGGGGGAAGGTTTTAAATTGAGGAGAACCTGAAAGTCGAGGAAATCCCCTCTAAACAACTCCCCTAAACCGATCAAATAGCCCATCTTCTCCATGTCTAACCCCGGTCAAATCTCGCCGCTGCCACCGGTGACTCGGCATATCACTGGCCATAATGCCGCCGGCAAGGCGATCGTACAATCCTCGACCCCAGGCGACTGGAAGTCATACGAGGAGAGCCAGATGGCATTCAATGTGGTCTACACAACCTCGCAATTCCCAGCCGACCTGAACCAAGACGCAGATATCGCCGCCCACGACCAAGTCCAACAATCCGGCAAATTGGGATTGGTCAATCCCAAAGGTACCGTGTGCCGCATTGTCGATTTCGCTCCGAACAATAAATGTGTTATCCACCGTACGCAGAGCCTTGACTATGGGATTGTTTTGGAAGGCCAGATTGAAATGGTGGTGGAAGAGGGCGAGCCGGTGCGGATGCAGCGTGGAGATGTCGCTGTTCAGAGGGCTACAATGCACGGCTGGCGCAATCCAAGTGAGACGGAGTGGGCACGCATGGTGTTTGTTTTGCAAGATTGCCAACCGCTCACAGTGGCCGGGGTGGAAATGAAAGAGGAGTTGGGAATCGCGACCGGTGTGCTTAATCCGAGTGGGAATGACCAGTAGTGCAGTGTAGCTGGCGTCGTCTAATGCAGAATGCATTCCTCTCTTCCATCTCAGCCTGAGGGGTCGGTGAAACTCGGATAATGACTAGATATATGTTCCGATATCTGCGTTTCTCTTTCACTCTATTGGATTTTGATCACCACCTTGCCGAAGTGACTGCCGCTCTCCACGAACTGGAAGGCCTTTTGGGCTTCAGCGAACGAGAAAACCCGATTAACAACGGGATGAATCTGATGCGCTTCGTAGAATCGGATCATCTCCTCAAAACGGTCCTTAGGTCCATTAATGATACCCTTCAGGGTCACAGTGCGCCGTAGAGCCAGTATGTTCACGTTCAGCCGGTCATCGTCTGCGTCCACCTTGCCAGAAACATAGCCAATGCAGTCGATCAGTCCGCCAAAGGCAACACAGTCGAAGCTTTTGCGCAGAGTTTGTGCTCCGCCAGTCTCTAGAATGATATCCGCCCCGTGATTGTTCGTGTATTGCATCACCTCGGTTTCCCAGCCGGGCGTCGTGCGGTAGTTGATGGTGTGGTCGGCCCCGAGCTGCTTGGCTTGATCGAGTTTCGCATCCGATGAGGAGGTGATGATCACTGCAAAGGTTAGCGGTAGGACACCTTCAGGTCAATATTGTATACAGCGGATGGCATTTGCACTAACCCTTTGCACCTGAAGCCTTCGCGATTTGCAATCCCGAGATGGCAACTCCTCCTGTACCTTGGAGTAGGATATACTCATTCTTGCCACCACTCTCGCCCATGGGCCGCATTCCGTTGATCGACATCCAAGCAGTGACGGCCGCAATGGGCAATGTGCAAGCTTCCTCATCAGACAAATAACTCGGAGCTTTCACCAACCCGTGTGCGGGGAAGACCCGGTGGGTTGTGAGGACGCCATCGAGTGGAAGTCCGATGCTGCCAGCCAATTCCTTCTCAGTCACTTGTCCGGTTTGATGCTCGGGCAAAAATGTAGACAGGACGCGATCCCCCACGGCCCATTGACTCACACCGAAACCAATTTGTGTGACTACTCCGCACATATCCGAACAAGGAACGATGGTGGCATCTTGCTCGGCGCTCTTGTGGTGTTTGTATTCGCCCTTGGTAACTAGGAATTTATGTTTTAGTGCATCTCTTCATCAAATTCATATTCTGGCCTCTGTGTAGTACTCACCTTCCACGTCGCGATAGTTAAGAGATACTGCACGAATCTCCACGAGAACCTCACCAGCTCCGACGGAAGGCATTGGGGCCTCTGTCTGACGAAGACTGTCGATGCCTTGAAGAGGCGATACCCATTGTTGGACTGACATCTTGATAATTGTTTGAGGGTTGAAAGAGAACAAGCTTGCAACGAAAGCTTCCAAAGAGAAAAAGTTGGCCGAGGTTGTTTTGGAGTCAAATTGGAGACGCTTTGTCAGCAACATTCCCAGCTGCAAACATGGAAATTTGGAATGTTCAACTAAGGATGATGGAAATGCAGGAAAATTATTTGAAAGAATCCATGGATCATGATTCATTTTCTATGCCATATTGCGCTTATCTTCTTACATGTGTATAGTATTTAGGTTAGTGACATCGTTGACGGGGGGGTCTTGCTATTACAAACCCCGGCCTATAGTTGCCTTTATTGATTGCATAAGGTTATTGACGAGAATTGGCAAATATGGAGCAACTGAGCACTTATTATCTAAAACCAAGAGATAATGCCGATTGAATTCAATGCATTTTCATGGAGAGGGGTCCCGGCAGGGAATACCCCAGGAAATAATCCGTAGAGAGGGGGTTCCCCGCATACTGATCTACTGAAACACGGCAAAAACACCACGATTTACCCATTTTAGCCGACAAATGGGACATAATTAGGATATAAGTCTTGGTTGTGACGAAGGGAAGGCCAGGAAGAATAATAAGAACAACTATAATATAATAATCAAGCAAAGCCCAAGCCTTCCAAAGTAGCCCGGCCTACTTCTCTATGACGATCACAATGTACTGGAGATACCTGTTGGTGGCTCTTGTGGCCCTGGCCAATAATGTGGACTCATTACCACGGTACAAGCAGAATGGCCGTTCCGATGAGAATGATCATTGGGTTGGAATTTGGGCAACGATGCCTCAACTCGTCGAACCCGCAAACCTTCCACCGGTACCTTTTGTATGTTATGCAGACGATAAAGAACATCATTGTTGACTCTAATGATGTGTATAGAATGGCTCAGACTCGGTATTTTACGATAGTACTCTTCGCCAGACCATTCAAGTTAGCCTAGAGGCAAACACAATTCGTTTGAGATTATCTAATGCGTTTGGAGTCAATAATCTCAACATTACTAGTGCGGCTGTGAGCCGGACATCCAATAGTCAAGCCGGAACCAGTGTACTCCAGCCGGGGTCTACGCAGAAGTTGCAGTTTAGCGGAAAGTCGAGTATTTCTATCCCCAGCGGCGGCCTGGCTATTACGGACCCAATTATATTTCCAGTTCAGGCCCAGTCGGTTCTAATGATCGATCTTTTCTTGGAGCATGGGCAAGAAGGCTTCGCTATCACGGGTCATCCTGGAAGTAGGACCACGTCGTTCATGAGTATAGATGACCAAGTCGGGGAGAAAAACTTGACTGGCTCTGTTCAAAGTAGCGAACATTGGTAAGTGATATGATTCTGGAATCCTTTTGAAAAGGCACTGAACGCTAGTCATAGGTACTTTATCAGTGCAGTCGAAGGGCTTCTGAACAAGCGGGCTAGCTCCTTTGCAATAGTTGGTGATAGTATTACGGATGGTCGAGGAAGTACAACAAATGCCAACAACCGGTAAGTATTGACTCCTTGGATTCTGCTGTCGATACAGAGCCTCGGCGTAACGTGTTGCTTATTTGACGAATCAGGTGGCCGGATCTGTTGCAAAAGAAATTGAATAGGGAGAAGGCTACAGAGAAAATTGCTATTCTCAATCAAGCAGCAGGTGGAAACCGCATCCTACATGATAGCTTGGGCCCGAATGCTTTCAGTCGTATTGACCGAGATGTACTGGCACAGCCGGGGGTCAAATATGCGATGATATTCGAGGGAGTGAATGATATTGGTGTTGCAGGACCAGATGTCAGCTCTCAAGCTGAGATTGGGGATCAACTTATCATGGCCTTCCAGCAAATAGCAGCGAGAATTCAAGCAGTCGGGATATTATTTGGAGGAGCCACAATTACACCCTTTGGGACACCGGCCAGCTCTAATTATACCCAGCCTTACTCGGATTCAGAACGAGAAAAAACTCGCCAAAAGGTCAATTCTTTTATCAGGAATAGTGGGATCTTTGACTTTGTACTCGATTTCGACCATGTGTTGCACGATCCGCAGAACCAGTCTGTGCTTTTGGGGAAATTTGATTCAGGAGACCATCTCCACCCCAACGAAGCGGGATATCAGGCGATTGCTGATTATTTCCCTTCTGATTCCAAGGTTTTCTGTAGTGATCAAAGCTGTGTATGAATATTTATTGGTTAAGAAATATGTATACAAAGGAATCAAGTCGCTGAAGATATGTATATGAGTCCCGGCGGAGGCGATGTCGGAGTTACTAAATATTATACCAACTTGAAACTTGTCTATAATTTCACTTGAAGACATGTTTTTCAAGGTTTTATTGATCAGCGGCGAGCGAGACGGTTCAGACTGCGCTTTTTGTAAGCACCGCTCTCCTCTAGTGACTGGGCAACGCCAGGGCCGAAATCCGGGGTGCCTCCAAGAGTGCCAAAGATGTCTCCAATGTAGTTGCTGGGCTTCACACCGACGGAGAAGGTCGCATTCCATCCCTTTCGAATACCCTGAACGACTTCAATGCCAGCAATATAAAGGTTCTTGAGCGCGGGCTCGAATCCACCCTGGTCTGAGTCAACTAGGTTGTAAAGGGCCGAAGCTCCAGGGTAAGGTCTGTCAAAGTCAGATGCAGTTCGCATGACGATGATACGGGCGAAGTCAGTAAGCTTGTGTGCCGAGGACCGCAAGAGAACCTCGAGGGTGGCGTTGTCCTCCTGGGCACTGGAACAGTACTCTCCAGTACCGTTGGTGAACAACCTGGTGGTATTCTCGAATGCAGTCGACAGAAGATTACCGCTGTAGTACACATCCGAGGTTGCAGTATCGCACTCCACGATGCTCGGGGGCAGAGTCGCCGCCTTGTAAAGCCCGCTTGGAGTCTTATAGTGGGCTCGGTACGCCTTGGCAGTGTCTGAATCTGACAGGTTCGCACGGCGAGCGAAGCCAGCAGCAATTTTGCGGAGGTTGTCGTTCACTTCAAAGACCTCAGTACCGTAGATGGTACTTGGGTACTGATCAGGGCGTTTGGAACCATAGGGAATGTATCCGGTAGAATAGTTGTGGGGCAGCTCCCGAATATCGATCTCGTACTGAAGAGCGACCTGAACTGCATAACGAGCAAAAGTTGCAGAGCCGGTGGTGACCCGTTTGGGGTTCACACCAGCTATGCCGGCGATCAAAAAGTATGTCTCGGTCAGGTCGAATAGAGAAGAGAAGGCGACCGCGGTGACTGTTGCGGCTGCATTGATCTCTGCCTCGCCAGTGATCAGTTGGCAGACTTCGTAGTCATCGGTGCAGTGCACATCGGGGTAAATTGATGACAGGCCAGGAACGGTGATGTTATGGGCCAATAGGTCGAATTCAGGGACATTCCACCAAGCCTCAGCTTCGGGCTCGAACTAAAAAAAAAAGTCAGTAAGAGAACTCCATCGGCATAATTTGAAAAGTAGAACTTTTGTACCATAGAAACGATGAACACCTTGGGCGCAATCTTCTCGGCCTGGGCGCTTGAAGCCGAGGTAGCGGTCGCAAGCGCGCTGGCTCCGAGAAGCGAGGCGATCAGAGTTCGGCAGGATAGCATGATGATGAAGCGAGCAATGTTTGCCAGGGACAATCGCGAAAAACTCAATTGAAGATTTTTGCTCGATGGGAGCCTTTGTAGTTTAAATGCCGTAGCAAGTAGCAGCTAAGCTTCGTTTCATTCGCAGATTCTTCGCCCTTGCCCACGATTTTCACACGATAGCATCCATTATTTTCCCGACGAATGTGGAGATCGAGCCGTATCTAGAAGCGATCAGCAACGATCCTGTTGACGAGATTTAGGGCCCGATGACGCTCCTGGACCTCCGATTGGCGTCGGCCCAGCTCAGTGGACTCGGCCACCCGAGAAAGCGCTTTTCTGATAGGGCCGTGAACTGGATTGGACAAGGACAGTCGTTCACCAGGGGAACCTTTCTAGATGGTCAAATAAGCGTTGCCTATCGCTCCTAAACGGTGGCTTATCGCGCGATAATTAGATTCCGTGGCCCAATGGCAATACCCTGACGGGAGAGTGTTAATTAATGGTTATCGCCTTCAGGGGGAGGACCGGTGCCTGTCATGTTTCCTGTCCCTGTTCTCCTTTCTCATCTGGGAAGAAATTTGGCAGGCTATATTCTATTTCATACTTAATACTACTACTTTGGTCACTGGCAGTGTTGATATCGAGTACAAATCTGTGAAAAATGAAAATCCTGCCGTTAACGCGATGACCCACAGGGAATCTGCAATGGGTAGGCAGCTCGACTGTTTGCTAAAAACACTGATTTCGAGATCTGTGATTGTGCATATTTGCTCCCAATTTTCATGACGAAATTTCCAGGGGAATGGCACTCCTGCGGCACCTTTTTCAGTACTAGTATCTTCGACATTGACCTATTGGAGAAAAAGAACCTTTCGGAAAATCGAACCTCCAGGGCTCGCTAACTACCTTGGGCGCTACATCCTTTATATACAGACAGAATGCTATTTACTAGTAATACTAGTACTAGTATATACTGGGCGGACCAAGCTATCATTTTGGCGCCAAGGAGCTTAATTGAATCGTGTGACCTGAAGATAATGTAATTTTACTAAAGCATGAGCTAAAAAGTCACCCATGAATAGACAGTCACCCTTGACTAAAACTCGAAGACCACGGGGCGTAGAGGCTCTTGCAGTAGTACGGAGTACGGAGAATAGCCTCCAAGTTTCGGCCCTCCCCCACTGGCAATCATATCTATTAGCATCGAGAATTACGACTTCTCACAACCACCCCATTTATTGGTGAGAACGTCTCCACGACTACCGCTAATTTTTTAAGTAACCGATAACACTAGAACGTCGATCGGGTTCGATCAGCACAATCTGGACTCGGAAAGAACGCCTAATTGTGAGTTCAGCAAATAAGAGAACAGAATATGTTCAGGGAATATTCAAGACTTGAGTTTAATCCTTCGAAATACGAGGCCACAGACCGTAGCGAGAACCGGAAGGTATTACTAGTAGTTTGAACAGCTTGCTCTCTGTAGAAATTCAGATTAGTTGAATAGGAGTAATAAACAACTTCATATTTCCACCCCGAGCCACAGATCCGTATGTTTCCTATTACTAGCGGAGAGGAGATACTGAGAGAGGTGATTAGTTAAGGCTCTGCCTGGGGCACCCGCAGCCTCAACACTAACTTGAATAATGTCAATGGTTTCAAGTTCCAGGCCCTAGAGATACCCGTTGAACTTGAGCCAGTACAATACTTTTATTTGATCCCATTCGCATTTTCTCGATGATATTCAGGCCCGACCCAAAATTCACTCTAACGGTAGGATCTGGTCATTCAAGTTGGTTTGCCCCAACAGCACAACCTTCATCCGATGACGCGCGGGCTCAAGCCACCGTGGCACCGTGGTGATTGGCGTGGGGCATGACGCATGTCACGGCTTGGTCTGACAGTCCAACGGTCGAATATGTACTCCGTACTCCAGACTCCATAAATAAATCCAGACAACTTTGACAGGGCGCTGATCAGCGGATTCACCCCAACGTCATCCCCTGACGTCATTTTAATCTATCGCGACGCCGTGGCATGCCAACCCTGGGAAACTTGCTTAGTATTCATTAAAATCATCGTCCGACCCCTCTCACAGAGGGGAGAACGAGAAGAAAATCAACTGCACTCACGGTGGCATCTCGTCTGTTTCATACGGTGAGTATTCTTGTTCGCACGGCTAGTAAAATCATATCGCTTCATCCACTAACGACTATAGATTTCCCGGTTATCTATATACTACTAGTAGTAGAGCACACGCACACACAAACACACTGCCTCTCTTTCTCTCTCTCTCTCACTACCCCCTCATTTCCCGTCGTCAAAATGCCAGGGATCCACGACCGAATCCGCGAGGATCTTTACAACAAGGAGCGTGCGCTCTGGACGGCGCTTACCTCGGCCGACCCCGCCCCGGCCGTTCGAAAGCTATGCAATGAAGACGCCAATTTGATGTTCCCGAAGAAGGGTATCATTACACTTGAGGACGAGGAGGGGTTCAAAGATGCTTTGAAACCACCTTTCCACCGGTTCGACGGATATCAACTGGATGAAGTGCGAACTATCATCATTGATCTCATGGCTGGTGTCGTGACCTGTAAGGTTCACGCCGTTAGGGGACACAAACAATACAACGCCACCTCATCGACGACATGGAGTCAAGCATCAGACGGGGAGTGGCGCATCTCATGCCACCAGGAGACTTTGGCATAACGGAGGATACTTTGGACAAACAATTCTTCTTCAGTCCCGTATGAATCTTAATTCCTGAGCGTGATGATATTTGTGACGATAACATGAGGTTATGCGTCTCAAATTGACGAATTTAATATATTTTCATCTCTTTTTTTTTCTCCCCTGGACAAAGTTGATCTCAAATCGCAATAGACACCGCACTTTGCACCAATCGATGATGCTTAGTCTGCAGAGCCACAACCAAAGCTGGCTGATCGATAGAAATTTCCCTTTTCTCGATTATATCGTCCATGTCTTGGACCATGCAATATGTGAACTTTTCTTCTCCGAGTCTTTCCAAGGTTGGGTACATGGTCAGATTGGTCGTAACCTTCAAGGAAGCCCGACTCGGAGGCACTGAAAATTCAGCCGGTCAACGGCAAAAAGGATCGAGATACTAGATCACCGTGAAGCGTTGAGAATAGAACCTCGAAGATACATGGCTTCAGGTTCTGTGGTTCTCTTTCCAGTCACGAGGTCCGTTCTTGAAGATTGCATGACTCGAGCCATTTAACGGGACATCTCTGGAATTTGAAGAGTTCAGATATATTTGTTCCTCTCGGCCAATATTATTAGTACTAGTAGCTTGGTTCACAACCCTGGAGGTGCCCTGAGGGTTGGAATCATCAGTGGGGTTTGATCGTGTCCGAGTCAGCGACTCGGAGCTTCTAAACGATATTTCCGTTGCGTGTTCGAAGAGGCCTCCATTATGGTCATGTTCCAAGGTTCCCACTGAATATCCTTCTGCCGTGATTCGGCCCCAGCGTAGCTCTAAGCATACTAGCTGTTCATTAGCTGGAAAATCGTACCGCAACCAAATATATGTATGAGAGTGGCCAGCTTCCTTGTACTTTCAGCCATGTTGTGATTTGCGGGGGTCACGGGCGACAAAGGCTTCTCCTAACCAATCAACAAAGGGTGACCAGTTATATATGGAGCTGTGATCGCTGCGATCGAGATTTCGGGGCCCCTTTCGCCCGAATCGGGTCGGGAGGGGGACTCGGACTCGGAGACGGCGCGTATGCGGTGATAAAGGATGCCTAGCATCCACTGCCTCAGGCATCCAAGGCTGCGCCTTCGCTATATCCATGGATAGTTTCACCTTATTCCTCTCTCTCTTCCATCTGCCCATGATCACTTCCGTCCACGGGTGTCTGGCTTCCATCTCCTGGCAGACCTCCGACAGTATGGAAAAGGCCTGACTCTCTGAACATTTTGACAAGCATTGATGACTCCCAGTGATCTCATAGCTTGATCCTGCTCACGAGATGGAAGTGGAATATTCTTCGAGTCGTATCTGAAAAGAGGATGAAGCATGTTATATGGGAGCCGTCCGGATAAGTCGTTTTGAGTTGGACATTTGGCCTGTTTGTAAGTCAAATTGTGACGGGCTTTCTAGCCGAGGGAGTAGGATCCATGGATAATATGAGACGGATTGCAGACCAGTATCCGGTCTGTCAAGAATCTCTGCCTATTATTAAGCAGGCCACTCGCGCTAACGATAAATGGACACTAGAATTTGTGCTGTTTGTGCCTGCATTGCCCAGATGCACTTTTGGAGCCTCGGATCGTCTGTGCCCCAACGGCCCGCAAACCCTTCGCCTAAAGCCTGTGGGGCCGGAGAGTGAGCGTGTTGCACGGCAGGCTACATTTTATATCAAACGGCGGTGTTAGTAGTAGTACCCTCTCTCCAGGGCTAGTATTGGGCTAGACATCATCAGGAAAAGAGCTCCGGGTGCATGCATCTGCCTAGTATAATCAGATCCACCTTGTTTGGTCACCGGGCGAATGGAAAAGAAGAAATTTCATTCTTCCTTGATTCAAGCTGCACGAACCCGGAATTAGCATACTAACTAATAATCGACCTTGTACCGAATACAAATGAAGAAAATATGAGCTCCATAAATCTTCATTCTTTTTCTTGCTTCTCATGATTGCTGGTACATTTTGTGATCCGACCGACCATTCGTCAGCTTTTTTTAGCAAGCAAAAAGAAAGGAAAAAAAAAGGAACGGTCGGTCAAATTTGGCGCTCTACTCATTGAGATTCGTGTTACTTGCTTGTATAAGAAGAGCCTTATCCGATCTGAGCGATTGACACACATACAGTATCAGTCCGTGTTCAATAATCACCACCCACTACCCCATTAATCAATTCACATCGCAGGAGTTTGCCCCTTTTGTTGGGGGCAAATAAGCGGAACTAGCGGGACGGGGAACTGAATATTCACGCTGCGGCAGGTTACGGACCGAGGACGTTAGTTGGTCAGTCATTAGTACGGATTAAATGCACCTCCAGGGGTGGCAAGCCTCGGAACAGCTATCCAGCAAGGTGCTGGCTGCATTAGTGCAACCTAATGATGACCCAGAAAATTCGGCAACTCGGAAGTCTTCCTTCAGGTCCTTTTGTTTCTTTGTTCCTTTTCGAGGCTTCCGCTTCTGTCAAGAGAGTCGCCACCAAAATTCAAACCATTACCATCGACGCCCTAGCCCGTCATGCCCCAGGGTCTGGACGAGGCGAATTGGCGGTCTGATGGCAATGGTTTGTGATTCATCACTTTCTTTGCTTATTTATTTCTGACTGTCACTCATATTTGCGGAGAAACACAAGAAACATGAGAACCCGCACCCTATAGAATTATCCATTCGGAGAGCTCCACAACGGTTCCATGGCTACGTACCCTTCTTATCTGGGAAAATGCCGAAGGATCGCCTAACCCGGCCGAGGGAACCTAGAATCCTTCCGGACATGATGGTTCATTTATTTACTAGTTATACCAACGTCGATCATTGGTCGCGGAAGTCTTCGACCTTTTCCTGCAGAAGAATTTTCAACAACGGCGCTAAATCCCTTGCAAAGCCCGTGTCAGCCGAGTAATCGAAGTGGATCTTGATTTCAAGCTGACATTCCCCAATTAGCCCAGATCATTTTGTGTTCTCAAGAGAGTGGCTCAGGAATCTACGACTGGCGGCGATTTCCCGCTTTTGTCTTGCGATGGATACCATTCACTTGCCCCGAGATATCATTATAGTCGGCGCAGGCATTGCAGGAATCGCTTGTGCCCTCGCGCTCTCCCACGAACTTTCTCCCTATGTGCCCGACCTCAGAATAAAAATTTACGAGCGACATGATATCTTATCCACATCCGGGGGAGCGATTAACCTGACACCCGTCGCGCAACGTCACCTTGCCCAGCTTGGGATTCTCGAGGAGCTGGACCGCATGGGCTCTGAGGGGGGAGCAGAGGTCGATGCTATTTCACTATACTCTATACGATCTGGCCGCTCAATCGGTTCAATTAGCTTTGTCGACCATCATGGAAATGGTTATGGAGGATTCAAAGGTCGCCGGGTGATGCGCATTGTGCTCTCAATGGCGATGCTGACATTGGCGGAACGATCCCCTAACATCGAATTGATATTCGGCAAAAAGGTGGTCGGAGGCGAAGAAACCGAGAGTAACGCCGTTGTTCATTTCAAAGATGGATCCAAGGCTGTCGGCGATTTGGTGATCGGCTGCGATGGAGTTCACTCTGCGGTTCGCACATGCTGGGTCGATCCAGATACCCCATCTGAATATACTGGTATATCGTTTCTGCAGGCTACCGTACCATCAGACAGTATTTCTTCACCCATGCATTTCCGCTCATCGGCCCTCAATATTTCACGACAAGGCTCGATGTTGACCAGCTACTGCGATCGCGACCGTGAGCAAATCTTCGCTGCCGCGACTGTGCAATTTAGCCAAGATGACTTGAGCTATTATCGGATCGAGCCCGGGCAAGACTGGGCAACGCGAAATAGGATAAAGTGTGCGCTTCGTCGGGAGGTTCAAAATCGTTTCGCCAAAACTGCTATACCTTGCATTCGGGAGATAGTCAACAGTGATGCAGACTGGATGCTTTACCCTGTTCATCAAGTACCACCAGGTGGCAGATGGTGCACAAATCGTGTGATTTTGCTTGGCGATGCAGCACATGCGGTATGGTCTATTCTAATCGTTTTTTTCTGTTCAAGTATTAACATTTCCTCCCCAGATGCCTCCTAGAGACGAGTCCGCCGCCTACGCACTAGACGATGCAATTCTCTTTGCTCGTATTCTAGTCCGTTATCGATCGGAACCACTGCCCGAGGTATTTGATGCGTATGAGAGTATGCGCCGCGGAACCATCGAACAAGCTTTCAAAGAATCTCATCGTATGTGGGATCGAAATCGTGATATGGGTATGTTAGAGGGTCGACTTAAGGAGTGGTTGATGCCGTTTTATCTACGCAGCCACCGTGACAAGCGCGAAGCAGCGTGGGAGTTTGACGCGGCTAAGATTACAATTCCTACACCTGCCCCTAGTGAAGATTTAGTGTCTTTGAATTCATTTTTGAAGGAGCAGACGACATGAACAAAAAAACGGAGCATTGCATCTAATGGATCGCTTACGGTGTTCGGACTATATATGATGGCGTGATGGGTGATTTTTCGGTCTGGTATCCTACGGTAACTTATTCTAGTCCTAGTCAAGCGTGACATGGCATGCTTTCTTTATACTGAAATTGGGTACGGATTACAAAAATCTGGTTCCTGTGATGCGTTTCTGGAGACATGAAATAAGTTTCATTTCCCACTAGATAAATCCTCCAACCTATTCAAGTTCACCCTGTCGAGCCGAGTAGAATGGATGATCAGCCAAGCCTCATAATATCCTTCAATTAGAAAGACAGAGTCTGTCCAGCAGTTCCAACAACTGCGCTCTTGACATTGCCAGATCCAACAAGACTGTAGCTGTATGGCACGGATGTGAGTGTTCCTGCTGTGGCAGTGTTCTCGCCAGTGCCAAAGTCATTATCATTGGCTACCGCGTAACCACCATCAGTGGAATACAAGGGCTTCTTGCTTCCAGAGAAGGCGTTCGACTCGACAAGCAGCTGGGCACCCTGACGAGTGTTGATTCCATCATTCACATCCAAGAAGTAGCTGTTGTAGATATGGCCGGTACCAAAGCGGAAAGAAGGGGTGCGGGAGTTGATGTTGTACCAGTAGTTGTTGTTCTGGGTCACACGCAAGTGTCCGGTATCCTCAGCACTGTTGCTGTCGGAGTGGCCGATCAGAGATGCCTTCCAGTGGTCATGGATAAAGGTGTTGGAAACGGTGACGTAGTCCGCTGCGTGGGTAAGCTGGCTAGAGTGAGTGTTTCGCCAATAAATCAAGGTAACTAATTGAGGCTCTTACATCAATAAGACCATCATAGTAGTCTTTGTCGTGGTCCAGGTCAGATGAAACATCGCAGTGGTCAATCCAAACATTGTTTGACAACTCTGCATCAAGTCAGTATGGAAAAGGTGATCTGGTAACGATAATAAATGAATATACTCACGAACGCCAATGGCATCCCCATTGTCGGCAAGAACCTTCTGAACTCCCAAATTACGGATGATCACGTTGGAAGCCGACTTAACCAGTCTGGAATTTGTAAGTTTATATCACCTCGCCCAATGATTGCAGCCTCGAACTTACACTCCGAATCCGACCAGGATAGCATTCGAGTCCTTGCCGATGATGCTGGTGTTGCTGCCTACACGAGCCTGATCCGCGGTCTGGGTGATCTTTCCATTGACAACGACAACCTTCTTGGCGTCTCCAGAGACGGCTGCAGTGAAAGCAGCGTAGGAAGACACAGTAGTGGTGGTACCACCAGCGCCACCAGTGGTACCTCCATTCTGGCTGGCATAGCCGGTAGCGGCCTAAAATTTTGATTAATCAGGATTCTATTGCAGAAAAGAGAGAATAGAATTGGGGCAATTAAAATAATGCATACATCGTTAACGCTTGCCCGCTTTTCAAAGTTGTTGCTTGATGTCGGTACTCCAAGCGCGAGTCCGGACAGACAAAGCACGGCGGCGATCAGCTTGGAAGGAGCCATTTTCGAGGGAAAACTGGTTCAGTTTGATGGTAAAGCTTGAAGATGTTGTTGCAAGATGGAGAGGTATAAAACGATAGAAGGAAATATCTAGGACTTTATAGACCTGGTAAATAGCCATATGGGCCCTTCACCAAGACAGCTCTCTACTAGCTCGGATGGTCATTTCATGCAGCAGATTGGAAATCTTGGCGAATCCAATATACTGTGGAGATGAATTAATGCACGAGTCTAATGGTTTGATTCTCTGACGAATTTTGTGTCAAGTTGTCCCTGTGGAGGCCGCGTCTACCACTGGCATGCAGGGATAGTGTATTTAGTCCCGCTGGGCGCCACAGCTTGGCATGAACATCTCTCCCCGCTTCCGCCACGGAGAGACGCAGGCATCGCGCATATAAAATTGCAGTTGGTGGATTTGTTCGAGCTGTTTCTTCAGTGGCTAGGATGCAAGTTTTGCCGATCTTGCTCGCTGGAGTCCTTCCACGAATAAACTTGAAAGGGTAGGAGGGCCGGTTTGTTTAAAGAGTGCCAAGACCATAAGGGTTTCACCGTCTCGCATACCACTTGGCAGGGTCATATGAAGGAGAAGGGGGCTGTGCTCTGCTGAAACTATTTCCATCAATCCAGAGATCATTCTTCGGTGGTAATTGCACGAGTGTTTCGTTCAGCCGTTCCAGCAGCCCCGGTGCCATTAATAGTGGAGCTATGCTCTGAAATGCACTCAAGACATAATACTACTAGTAGTTTATTCACGTTTGTGTCTTATGAGAGTTTATATTAATTAGGGATAAGGCATGATATATATGGACCCGAAACGAGCTTGGCTACCAATACTAATGCTATTAGTAGTAGGACCTGATCAATATGGCTAGAACACTAGTAGTCTTGAGTACCTACAAAGCGAATAACCGATGAGGAGCTGACTGAGTAGGTAATGAACCAACCACTGCACTCGTTACCGGTCTAGAATAATTAGACAAGTGTCTCAGGCGTGAAGAAACCCCACGTAGGCTACCATCGAACTGCCCCCCACGGATCACAAGCCCGGTTTCCTTTTACTAGTAGTTTCGGTAGATTCGATATTCCTGAGCCCCTGTGACAAGATAAAGGCAGTGTTCTGTATATATTTTCAGGAAACTCTTCAAGTTGAGGGCTTGATAAGATCTCATAGGAAAAGGTATACAAGGCTACCTACCTAGGTATGCTCGAGAGTAGTTAAAGCTGGCTGTGCAGCATGATACTAGTTGGATTCGATTTCCGAAGAGGTCTGAGCAGGTGAAATCAAAATATTCTATAGATTCTGCGAGACAAAAGATGGCCGTTGCAAAAGTAGTAATATTGAAGGGAACTGCGATAGTGCTCGGGCAGCTAGATATTGGATTGATGGGAATTGCGACATTTTTCATTGGGCTGAGTAATATCGTTCTCCCCCGCGTCTCGGGGAGAAACTTCGGCCCCCCCAAATGCAATCCCCTTGACACACCCGGAGCTATTCGTGGAATCCGCGCTGAATTTTAATGAGCTGAAGTTCAATGAATTCAAGCTTGAAAATATGACACATTCTTTCTCCTCGGTACCTCAGGTTGATTATGCTCGGCTACAGGACAAGACCACCCGACAAGAAGAGCTGGATAAACTTCGAAACGCGATATTTGTCGTCGGATTTTTGTATTTGACCAATACCGGACTAGAGGTATGAGGTATAGGAGATATACCAAGCCTCCGAGACTGACGGCGAGCTAGGGTTTGATCCGCCACACTCATGACGAATTGCCACAGCTATTCGATCTTCCGGCAGAGGTGAAAGAGAATTGCAACATGATACACTCCGCCTCATTCCTTGGCTACACCCGTCTTGGCGCGGAAACCACGGCATTAAACACAGATCTTCGCGAGGTAAGTGGTGTATATTATTTGACCGGCGGATTGATTCTTCCTTGCTGACCGACCAAGCAATTCGACTTTGGTACTCCAGGTATGACAACGTGGACGGAGCAACACCCGTTCTGGCAGAGGCTAGAGGGCTCCAACCAGGTATGCACATCTCTTGCGTTGTGATTGCATCTAATTCTGATGACTGTGATATAGTATCCAAACAAATCGGGAGCCCAGGAGTTAGTGGAGAATTACATCTCCCAGATTGATAGACTGGCCCAGGAATTTGTCCATCTGGTGGCAGAATGTCTCTCTCTTCCCGTGGATACATTTGATAGCTTCAAGGGCAAAATGAGCCGTTTGAAGTTTGTCAAATATCCTCCATCAGCGCCAGACTCCCAGGGAGTCGGCCCACACAAAGATTCTGCCGGGCTATTCACTTTTCTCTCGCAGGACAATACCGGTGGGCTTCAGGTCTTGAATAAAAACGGGGAATGGATCGACGTGCCACCCATCGAAGGAAGTCTGGTAGTGAATATTCAGCAGGGATTTGAAGCCATCACTGGAGGTGTTTGCGCAGCCACCACCCATCGAGTTATCGTAAGATCCCAGCAGTTGCCCAATTTCGCCTCGTTGATCAAGGCTAAAATTATACAGGCGCCGACCTCGCAAACTCGATATAGCATTCCATTCTTCTTGGGTGTTCGGCTTGATCTGACACTATCTCAGCTGGAGGAGTCGGCAGCGCATATTGTCCAGCGCATCCCGACATCTGACGATCGGAAAAAGCGAGCTGTTGATGTTCCGAGCGAGTTTCTTTCCCCTCTATATTCGTGTGTAAGTTCGTCCGTCTTTGAATGAGGGAAATTCTCTCTGACCGTATCTAGTTTGGTGAAGCCCATTTACGGAATCGCATTTTGAGTCATCCAGACGTTGGGCGTCGCTGGTATCCCGAGCTTTTTGAACGGTATTCGAAACAGACATTGAAATAAGTTTATAGTTGATCCTTAGCGAGCAAGAATGGTGATCTGGTATGAAGTCGAATTTGCTGTAACAACCGTCAATGTTTGGCTTCATCCATCAAAAACGATATACTAAATCAATGTGTACCCTCTACATGTCAAAGAACCCGACAAGTCTGCAGCCAGTGCCGCTGTATGGTGTTTTCTGCCGTGCAAGAGCGTGCGTTACAATACCGACTCGACATTAATTCTTTCTCTATGTTCTACCAAATGCCTTCTAGTGGAGTAACCTCGCATTCCACGGCTCTTAGGTTCTAGCACCTAGTTGGGACTGGTTATCATTGAGAGACCCGATAGTTGAGACTTTAGAGGAATGCTTCAAGTGTCTGGAAAGAGCATCAAGTCCAGAGGACTCTCTTATACAGAATCTACCAATACAACCAGAACTCATTATAACTTTATTTAGAATTTTCCATGGCGAGTCCTTGTGTTGCCAATGGAAGATATCTTCACTATTGATCAGTAGTCAGTGGTCAGTGGCCAGTGGTCACACATGCTCTCTTCACCCAAAGTGGACAATTTCACCTCAGAAATTCCACTCCTCCGTCATTTACCAATCAGGCTATGAATATTTTGAATTTACTTTACTCCGCCTCATACGCGATATATCTTTTGTTGAATTCGATTGCCAGTCTCACAGTCCAACCTGATCCTGGAGGTTACCACACCGTCTCAATGTAACTAATCCCTGCCTGTGTATCCCTCGGATCTCACATAAACTCAAAGTATATTCTATTCCTGGAAGTAGACTGGCCTTGTACGCCTGAAAATTATGCTTCACTCACGAAGAATATTAGTAATGAATATCGGAACGTTCCGTGACCTGCGTTCGCCAAAGTCCTCAACCCATGCATGTGAAGGGGTTTGCCGACAAACACACTCGCTCAAGTCTGAGCTTCATGATTGGAAGTAGAAATTGTTTTGAGGCCAGCTGTTTTTGAAACCCCGATGGGATAGAAATACTATGTAGTGGGAGGTCAGGGCACCGGGCATATTTCATTGTTATCGCTTCCTCTTAGTACTAAAGATTCTAGTTATGAGCATGCATATATACCGCCTCTCAATAGGTCAAGTTCCGAAAATGAAATTCTAGCTCTGGAGTAGCCCTGTTCACGCTTGACTATTCACTCGGACCTCGCGAGTGAGAGTTGCGTTTACCCCGCCCACCTGGGCAAGCGCGCATCAGAAGCCCTGAATACCCCACCCCTCAACCTTCACTCTTCAACCCCTTGCATATCGCATCGAATCACAATGACGACCATCAGCACCTTTGCCATCGACACTCTGCGTAGTCGTTTGACGACAGCGATCATTTATACGCCTGGGACGGATGGGTATGAGGAAAGTCTGGTCCGGTGGTCGGATACTGGGAGGAAACGCGCTGTAAGCGAATATACTCACCGAAGAATGTATGGCAGAATTTTTGAATGACTGACGGATTAACTGTTCGCCCGCTCAAGGGAGTTGTGGTTCAACCAATTGACCCGATAGATATTCAAGCCGCTCTGCTCTGGGCACGGGAAGAAGACATCGATATCGCCGTCAAGGGCGGTGGTCACTCAACAGCTGGCACCAGCTCCAGTGACGGCGGGCTGGTTATTGACCTATCACGAATGAACAAGGTAACTGTGGATTGCACGAACAACACTATCACAGCGCAGGGTGGTGCGACGTGGAAGGAAGTTGACAATGGGGGCGCTCTTCATAACCTGGTCACCGTCGGAGGCACTGTCAATCATACCGGCGTTGGGGGTCTCACTCTGGGTGCAGGGTATGGCTGGCTATCGGGTCAGCTTGGCTTGACGATTGACAATCTGTTGTCTGTGTCGGTTGTCCTTGCGGATGGGAGTCTCGTCAAGGCTTCTGCGACCGAACATCCGGAGTTGTTCTGGGGTCTGCGAGGTGCGGGCTACAACTTTGGCGTGGCTGTGGAATTTACTTACCAAGCTTATGAGAGAGCTAATCCTGTCTATGCGGGCCTCATGGCTTTCCCTCCTCATCAACTAGAGAAAGTGATTCAGCTATTGAATGGCCTTCTGGCAGAGCCAGACTCTCGCGCCGGTGCCATGTGTTTCTTTGCCCAGGCACCCGATGGTTCTGGACCGATGGTAATTGTCATTTGCTTCTACGATGGTACGAAGGAGGAGGGTCAAGCGCAATTCGCTGGATTTCTCGCCTTGGAGCCTGTTCTCAATACTGTTGACATGATTCCATACGCCACAGTCAACACCTTGCAAAACCCCTCCGCCACCTATGGGGACCGCAAAGCATTCAAGGGGATATTCTTCGAGCCACCACTGGATCCAAAATTTGTGCGGTCTATTTTTGACGACTTCATGGCTAAGTTGAAAAGCGAGCCCGACTTGAAGGCCTCTGCTATCATTCTGGAATTCATTGACATGCGCAAGATTTGCGAAGTCCCGCTGTCTGCTACTGCCTTCGCCAGTCGAAACTCAACCCAGAATGGATTACTTGCTCTTCGATGGACGGATGCCAGCAAAGATTTGGAGCACAGGGCGTGGGCGCGCGAGGCCCAGGCTAAGTGGAAGGCGGAGCTAGATGCGCAAGCCAAGGGGCACGAGGCCGGTGAATATGTGCCTCAATACATCAACTATGCCGAGCGTGAGTATTATATCCGAGACCAATTTCCTTATTTTTCACTTCTTGTCATAAACACTAACACCTTATCAGCGGGTGACTCTGTCGTACCGAATATCTACGGTGAGAATCTTGCACGCTTACAGAGGGTCAAATCCCAGTACGATCCGACAAATGTTTTCAACAAAATGCATCCCATTTCGGTAGCCCCTTCCAATTAGATGGAATAAATATCGAGCATACATACTAGTAAGACATGTGACCAATCTTCAAGTTGAAGTGAGCAGGAATTATCATGATAATGATGAATGATCCCTCCAAATTTGTTCACTTTGAATGGAATAGAAAACAGCGTATAGTATTCTTCGAAGAGTCAAGCTCCTGTGACTGCTTGTACTAGTGATAGTTGAGGTTGGTAGCGGCTTAGCGCCCAGGTGGTACTATACCATGTACTAGTTACTAGTAGAAGCAGTGATATTGGGAGAAGGAATTTATATTTACTACAAATAAAGAATCTATGATTTACAGCCGAGGAAAAATATGATACTTGACTGCTTTGACAGTCGTCCACCCATCAAGAGCTTCCTCGCCCATATCTCGTCCAAAACCACTTTCCTTGACTCCACCAAATGGGACATTCGGGCTGAGCATGGCCCACGCATTGACAGTCACTTGACCAGACTCGATGGCTTTGGCGACTCTGTGGGCTCGGCTGATGTCGTTGGTGAAGATGGCGGCACTCAGGCCATGAAGGGAGTCGTTGGCTTTGGCGACGACTTCTTCCTCGGTGGAGAATTTGGCAATGCTCTGTTCCCAAAAATTGGATTAGTTGGCCAGATCAGTTTGCATCGAGGATGGGACGTGCACTCACCGCGACGGGGCCGAAGATCTCCTCGCGCATGATTGTAGCGTTGTCGGGTACATCGGCAAAGGCGGTATTTTGGACGAAATACCCCTTCTTTCCAATCTGTTCACCTCCGAACAGCAGTTTCGCGCCGGACTGCTTTCCCTGTCGAATATAATCCATGACCTTCTGATGCTGGGCGCAGCTGACCACAGGACCCTTCGTTGTTGCAGTGTCCAGTGGGTTACCGGCCACCGTTGGCGCGTTTGCCGCGGCTTGCTTGTATGCCTCGATGAAGCGATCGTAAATTCCATCCTGGACATAAATGCGGGATCCTGCCGCACATATCTGGCCGTTGTTTGCTGTGATACCGATTCGTGTCCACAATAAGGCATTCTCCAAGTCACAGTCATCGAAGACAATCGAAGGGCCTTTGCCCCCAAGTTCCAAACTCACCTTCTTCAAATTGGTCCGCGAGGCCGCTTGCATGATCTTCCGACCAGCAACCGAGCTACCTGTGAAAGCCAACTTCCGAACCTCCATATGCTCTGACAGGGCCTGACCCGCGGAAGCTCCGTCGCCGGTGACGATGTTGACCACACCGGCCGGAATCCCAGCTTCCTTGACCAGTTCCGCCAGCCGTAGGGCATATAGTGGTGACAGCTCCGAGGACTTGATGATCAAGGCATTTCCGGCGGCCAATGCAGGGGCCAGCTTCCAGATAGTAATCATACTAGTCGAGAATGGTAAGCATTACGCGGTTGACAATAAGAAATCGATCGTAGAAGGTGATGCTTACAGGGGGGCATTCCAGGGGACAATGGCAGCACACACCCCGATGGGCTCGCGGTGGGTATATGCGACGCCACCATCCATTTCGAGTGATTTTCCATCCATCTTGTCAGCCCACCCGGCATAATATCGCAGGCAGCCAACGGCCTGCGGAATGTTGAGGCCAACAGAGTCAGTGTAGAGAGTGCCGGCATCGACAGCCTCTAGGGATCCTAAATTTTGAACATCTTGCTCGATGAGGTCCGCCAACTTGAGCAGGAGACGAGCCTTCGCTGGGCCTGAAACCGACTTCCACGTCTCGAAACCTGCTTTGGCAGACTGAACGGCGCGGTCGATATCCTCGGGGCCGGCGGCTGAGATTGTTCCCAGGGATTCACCAGTGGTTGGATTTTCTACGGCCAGAGTTTGACCGGTCGTAGAGGGTGCGAACTCATTGTGAATGAAGAGTCCAGTGGGAACTATGTACATATGCGGCAGAGGTATTAATTAGCAATCGGCTTTCACTGGCTGAAGACCCTTTGGGGAATCGGGACTCCGTACCGGTAACCTGTCGCCCCTGCACTCCAATAATGGTCAGCGAAGGAGACATGTTGATTGAATTCAATCGAATTCAATTCGAGCGGAGTAGATAAGATCAGACCAGACCAGACCAGGTATCTCGGCCGCGGCCTTTGCTTTTCAGTCAGACGGGAGAGCGTCAGGCTGCGGGGAAAGCGCCGGGATTCCGCGTAGTGATTCCGCATTCATTCCGAGTCCGAGGGTCATTCCGAAAGACCGCGGGGTGCATTCGAACTGTTTGGGAGGTAAAGAGGACCAGGGAGAGAAAAGAATTGACTTGAGGTCGAAGCTTCTTGCATTATGATGGCGACACGCATTACAGCCCTGGAGTGCACATTTTATAAATACTTAGGTCATGATAACCTCGCGGCATACTCGGGTATTTAGTATAGATGGAGTTTAAAATAAAGACTGCCTACCTAGGTAGTTATTATCATTCATTGGCAATTCCAAGGTTGACCTTGAATATTTTAAGCAGATAGCATAGAAAGGACTAGTTAACTAACTAATAGTCAATCAATTACACCTTGAACTGACCTGAGAGTCCCGACCCCCTGCCAAGACCTCAACCTCTCCTCTCTTCTTCTGCTTCTTCCCTGCTATATTCACATTCAATCTCACCCTTTTCTAGTACTAGTACTATATTCCCGCCTAGGCACCCCTCCCATTAATCTAAACCGTCGTCCAGAACCCCCAAACTCCTGCGAGAACAAGCTTGAGCCCCCCCCGACAGCCAGAGCACCGGCACGATCTGCTGCGTCGCCTTCGTCATCCATCCGCCAATAATCGCCCCCACCAGCGTGAGCACAAAAGCAATTACCCTTCGATCGCGCTTTTCATTCCGCAGTAGAAATAGCTTCGGATCCGACACAAGATCGCATAGAAGACTTGTGATCACCACTGTAGGGATCTCGTTGAATCCTAACGTGCGACTCGCCACAATCTGACCCGCCGACTGGAGACTCAGCAACACAATCGGAATCTCTTCATTCCAAAGATGCGTCCCCTTCGGATTGCTATTTCCACCCCCCGCAAGAACGCTAGAAACCACCCCACCTTGCACCAGTCCAGCTGTCAGAATGATCAAGCCCGCTTGAATCGCGAATGACAGCATCAAACTGCCGCGTCGTCGCGCCCCCAAGGTGCGATGCAGTCGTGCAAACAGAAAACTACCCACGACAAAACATCCAATCGCTGTGAGCGACCCAGCCCATCCATACGCCCGTGACCCTTGGCCAGAGGCTCCCAATCCGACAAAGATGGTGTTCCCTGGATTATAAAAACTTCGCATTAGCCGAGCCTACCCTATGAGATGAGAATGAGCTGAAAACTTACCCGTCTGCATCGACACAAATGTCCTGTACGCTGTTATGGATCAGCAGGGTTGACTACAAGGATTGGCGAGGACTTAAACCACACCATTATATGTGGTGCTGTCGACTAGCCCCGACGACAGACAACACCCGAACAATATCATCTCTCCATGACGAGGGTCGATCTCGGCATTGAGAAAAGCGGACACTCGTGGCGGTGCTCTTTTTCCACGTTCTACGCTTGACGTGGGTAACGACATCTGGAAAAGTGTACCGCTGGCGGGAATGATTCTGGCGGGTAGGCAGGATGAACAGCACAGAGATACAGAGATAGACGAAGATGAAGAGAAAAAAAAAACCGATCCTTGAGGGAGACAAGACGTATCCTCAAAGCTGGCCAAGGACTGGGCTTTTGTTCTTCCCCTCTTTTCTGATTGCTGTCTCGAATTTACAGGTTGTATCGTCGTTGCGCCGGACTTATACACCCCCCCGGAGCCTGGAGGGTGGAGATAGGAGAACTTGGATTTCTGCATGCCAGGAAATACTACTGCATAAGCGGCGGAAGGCCCGCCACTATCACGCCTTGCCCGAATCTCAAAACTCCACGGAGCCTTCATGTATTTGGGCCGCCGGATGCCAATCACCCCCCTCTTAATGTGCCAAGGCTCGGGGGGGAATTGGTCGCAATGCCGAGCAGCTTGGCACCGCTCCTCTCTGTCCCCCGATATCGACTCGGTCGACCGCGTGTGCGACATCCCGGACAATGTCCACGAGGGGCTTGTAGGACAACCTGTGCTTATTGTCCCCCCACTCGCTTCTGCTGGTACATTCCGCAGCGGGTAAGTTCGTCAGATTTTATATTCCCACCTCATCAAACGTATCCATCCTTCATCCGTCTCTTGTTTTCGGGCCAGATGGCGGCGCGGACTGGGCGCCTAGAGCGGGCCTCTTGCTGCCTGCTGATCTTTCAACACTAGATCGATGATTTCCCAACAAGAAAGCAACTAGCGCAAAACGGAAACAGATGGGCGAACCAGGGGCAATTCTTCAGCATTGTCGATTGGTCCCTCAGCCTTGCGGGGGCAACACTCGACTCTTCATGGTCCACATTTTGTCTCATGTCATATCATGTTATTCGTCTCCTGCTCGCATCTCGGTCTTTTATTGAAGATGTGCGCTAGTCCCATGTTTTCTTCATACATGCATGCAAGTACAATTCTCCGCATGATCGGCGCAGTGGATTCGTCATTCCGTTTTGTCATCTGAATATCTCCGGTGCACATATAGCGCGGCGGCAGTGGCTCTCGTCGTTTCAACCCTTGTCTTCGCATTGTTCGCGCCACTGAAACAAACGTGTGTTATCTCTTGCATTTGCGCATGCTTTAGTCACTGCATAGAGAGTGGATAGACATATCGGGGCGACGGCGTCAAGGTCCCTGGTTATCATTTCTCGGCGGGGCGTCATCGCGGCCTAGTCGTTGGATTGATTGGTACGACTGTCCAGATTCTGCGAAGTACCAGCTGCCTAGACTTGACCGCAGCAGATATGCCTCATTGGGACACTTTCTAGCTGGTAGTGGCCGGTATCTATACCACATTACCTTCCGCCCAGTCTACTAACAAGGCCAATTTGGAGGCAGTATACTGCAGCTATTCGATTCTTGGATTCATGCGATTGGTGGAATTTCAGGCTACTCAGGTACTCACTCCCTAAACTTACATTTCAGAATCTAGAATTCAGATTCAAACACCCAGCTCTTTCAATTCAAATGAAGGTATTTGTTTCCATGCAATTGGAATAAGCGATATTGAACTTGAAACATTCCTCATTCAAATGTAAGTAGTCCGGACATTTAATATTCATATCCAAGCGATTCGAACATGAAGTGAATCCAATTCTAGCGGTTGCATGAGGCAAGCTATCTCAAATTGCGAGAACCCTTTTTACCGGGAGATCGACATTCCACAATATTCTCCCGAGGACCGCCAAGCAAGTCCCGTTATTAGGTAAATACGGTATCAGCAATTGCTTCTCCCAAAGGATGTCTAGTACAAACTTAGAAGGGCAATGCATCCAGACTCCACTATGTCACCACCTGGGATATTTCTTGTCTTGTTTCCAAGGTTACTGATTGCACCAAGCCTCCCAAATTGAATGTGTCCCGATGATACATATCGGCTGCTGTAAGCTGTCTTGGCGCATGGCGATATGTTGCATCTGGAAAATGCCAAGCCCGTCCGTGTTTAGCCATCTTGTGTGATCATGCATGATCATCAGCTGTAACCATGCAGTATCTTTAATCGTACTCGGTGGAAAGGCCCGTCATCGGCTTGTCCTCGCAAGTTCCAAAAGCCCTTGTCAAAAAAAATATAAATAACCGATGTTGAACCCGTAATAGATTCTCCTTGTACAACTCAACAATTCTGCCCCTACAAAGTCTCCGTTTCACATTGCCGCCTGCCATCATTCCTCGCATCAACATGACTATCACTATCACCGTTGAAAAGGATGGATATTATGAGGTTAATGGCAATCGCCAGGAGCCTACTGTCAATCTTTATGTCATCCCAGCCGCATCTAAGTTGCAGCGGATGCTCAAGGACACCAAGGATTTGATTGTTTGTCCGGGTGTTTACGACGGTCTTTCTGCTCGAATCGCAATGGACTTGGGCTTCAAGGGTCTCTATATGGTTCGTACACGTCTCGAGTCCTCGTCTCAAGACCGCAAATATTAACCTCTCGAGTAGACCGGGGCTGGAACAACGGCGTCACGTCTTGGGATGGCCGATCTTGGACTGGCCCAGCTTCATGATATGAAGACCAATGCCGAGATGATTGCAAACTTGGACCCATTTGGCCCCCCCATTGATTGCAGATATGGACACCGGTTATGGCGGTATGTAGAGATATTCTTCTCCCATCCCAAAATCCACGTTTTAGTTCGAAAGCTCATGATTATCTACTAGGCCCCCCTAATGGTTTCGAAGTCCGTCCAAGAGTATATCCAGGCTGGTGTCGCTGGATTTCATATTGAGGATCAGATTCAGAATAAGCGCTGTGGGCACCTTGCAGGTAAGAAGGTGGTCAGTCTCGAGGAATACATCACGCGTATCCGTGCTGCGAAGATAACCAAGGACCGGCTGCACTCGGACATTGTGCTCATTGCACGCACTGATGCTCTTCAACAACATGGTTACGAGGAGTGCATTCGTCGACTGAAAGCAGCGAGAGAAATTGGTGCAGATGTTGGCCTTCTCGAGGGGTTCACCTCAAAGGAGCAGGCTCGTCAGGCAGTTCAAGACCTGGCCCCCTGGCCCCTGCTCCTCAACATGGTGGAACATGGAGCTACCCCTTTGATCACCACTAAAGAGGCCGAGGATATGGGATTCAGAATAATGATCTTCTCTTTCGCCTCAATCACCCCTGCCTATATGGGTATTCGATCCGCTCTGACGCGCCTGATGACGGAAGGAGTTGTAGGAATCCCTGAAGGTCTAGGGCCTCGGAAGATTTTCGAGGTTTGTGGCCTAATGGACGCAATGAAGGTGGATACGGAAGCTGGAGGAGATGGTTTTGTAGACGGGGTTTGAATACGTTCCTCGGAAACATGCAACTTCCTCTTAAGGGGGTAATTATTGAGAGCCAATGCACTTTCTAAGCTACTATCAAGATACATACTCAAATTGATTACACCGATCTCTGATCTAGTACCGTATCACATCCATTATTTATTGATCAAATTCTCCGGAGTGTCATGTGTCATGAACCAACTGGGGTTCCGGACTGTGAGAGCTTCGGAATTTCAGTTCCCTTTGATGGCCCGGACTCGTAATGACTACTTCCTTCGCCAGTATAACCCATTCGTCCGGAAGTTGTCGGTAAAACATGGGCCATAACGTTCGTCCAACCTTCCCGTTGGTCGGGTATTGCTCCGTGATACTGACCATGCGCTCCTCGCGCAAGGCCGCTCCTGGTGGACTCCACCAAAAATAGAAAAGGTTGCCCTGACATTCCAGTTTTTTCTTAAACTCTAAACACTTCCAAACGATCTCCCTTAACTCCTTCTGTCTTTCCTTTGAGCCGGTCGTAGACATCTGTCCAAACTTTGCTTCGGTACGGTGCATAATTCCGTCACGGGTTCTTTCTAGGCTTTCCTTTCCGTGAGACGAAATAGCAGTGCTCAAGACGGACCGCCAGTTTTGCCATACCTGAGCCGGGCCTTTATTTCCCAAATTTGAATCCATATATTAGCTTAAAAGATATTTTCAGAAAGCATCGGTGGCTTACATAGCTGTTGTACTTCCTTGTCGATCAGTCGCATGTGGTGATCCAAAGAAACGTTACTCGTCCCTACTATGAAAGGGGCCAGGATGGAAGTGAAGAGGCGTTCGAAGATTTCCCCATGAATCATGTGGAGTGTATCTGGGCAGTACTTAAAAGGGCCTGGGGGGTGATTCGTGTAATCGTGGCTTGATTGTGCATCGTCGGAGTTCCTTGTGAATGACAAGCGAGTGTAGTGTCGGTCAACCCAACTTTTCAACTCTTCGTAAATAAGTTGGAAACCATGGGTGGCTTCACTATCATCCAATAGCTCTGGGCATTTCTCGCGTGAACCTAGCTTTGTTGAGGACTCTTTGTTCCGCGCCAACGCTATTCTCGCTGATGTATCATGAAGAAAATTTTGCGGTTGTCGCTGTTCTTGGTCCGGAATTGAAACCTGGATCGGCCTTTTGTCATCTTTGTCAAGTGATTTTCGAATACCTTCCAAAATTATACAAACTTCCTCGAGGATCTTCAGTACCTCCTCGACCAGATCACTTTCCATGTCCATGTTCACTTTCCATGTCCATGTTCACTTCTGACAAGAACTCCACTTGCTTCTGAAGAGCACCTGACATCTCACCACACAGATCCAGCTCTCTGTGGGCGTTGATATTCATAAGCAGACGATACTGCCTATACAGGTTGTTTAAATCCCTACGGAAAATTGCGGTCAATGCGATATGACGTACAGAGGGATGAGATTGTTTGTTCGCATATTGATTTTGATTAGATAGCACCGATGACAATGACATGACCCCCATACCCAGGTACTTGATATCCCTTAGCGCACCCCCGACACCTTTTACGGAATATAGCTGCCAGCGATGACGACATCCCGTCGGAGCTTTGCTTTCAAATATTTTAACGTATAATTATACATTCCTTCTATACTAGAAACGCGAATCCAAAAAGTTATCAAATCAAGAATTCCGGCTAGACTTCACTGACTTTTATTTTCCACCAGCAACTAGTACGACTAGTATCTACTGCCTACTGTTAACTACTTAGTACTAACTACTAGTAGATATTACCATTCGAATTAAGGTTGGTGGTCAGTACTAATAGTAGATAGTAATACCTAGAAAATAGCACAGTCTAACTCGAAGTCAACATATATTTTGCGGTCACAACCTTGGAACTTGAATAAGACCTTACCCTTGAACCTTGTTTGAAGGTTACCGAGTACCTAGGTAATAGTATTTACATCTTCAAGTTGAAAGAGATCCAACTTGAACATGAAGACCTTGGGATCCACCATGGACCTCGGGACACTCCAGGGCTGCTAGTACTACTACTAGTACTAGTAGTAGTTCAAGTTCGCTCAGCCTGGAACCGATCCTGAGGTTTCCGATTCGGAATCAAATCAATGCAGCGTTAGCTTTTGTAGACCTTTTCCACGGATCGTTTGAAGAGGAGCAACAAAAGCCATTTGGCTCCAAGAAAAGACCGTATTCTTTCCACCATAGACGAAAACTTCGAACCGACCCGCAAAGTCACCATTCACCCAGACCCTGCTGCCTACCGACTCGCTTGTTGTAATCGTTATTTTGGCCCTTTGAGGGACTTTCACAACTTCGTGGCTGGAGCTAGTTGCATTGGCCCATATCCGGCCCGGCTGGGAAGGATCAAACCCATCTTCCTGGGCAACTGATCGAAGGGGATACGGCCATCCATCCGAAGTAAATGTCAACTGACCATCTTTAGACATGGTGAGAGCGTCATCGGCGCTCTCGAGTGAGAATGGCCCAGTCACTGTAAGATCCAGAGTATAATTCATTCCTTTGCTGTCATGGCCAAGCGCATATACTCCGAGGGGATTTTCTGTTTGAGGTCGTTTCCAGGTCAGGCTGGGCTTAGAAGCATGGGGATTTCGTCGCTGCAATCTTCGGTCCAAATTTTGACCGACAGCTTTGCCGGTCAAAATCTCCAACGAAGTGTCCAGACTTCGTTCATCAAGCCTTGAGCCGCGACTTCCTGTCCATGCCCGAGATGCAACAACTGGGATTCCATTGCGAATGGCGTAGTAAGCCTCCAGCTGTGTTGTCGCATCTGGACCATTGTCGTTCCATGCAGCAAGAATTGCGCCTCGAACGGCTTTTTGGTCGGGTTGTTCCGTCAGATTCACCGGGTTGAAGAGCTGTGGGGTCCATTGCCAGCCATGTTCATCTGCGAAGTTTAGGACACGGCTGTTGTTAAAAACTTGAGGATAAGGTGCCGGGCTGATAGGAACGTGGTCGTTTTTCAACGACATGTAAGCCCACCAGTCTTCCGAATTGATGATCTGATAGCCGTCTGCTGCAAGTTGTAGAGGATCGGACTGGCCATACTGCCAGTGCTGAATTGTGATATTCTTATTGATTGTCTGCGTCTCAGAGGGCTCATAGGTGCCCCAGATCCGAATTCCCTTTCCTGATTCTTCAGCAACAAACTCGGTCATCTCATTGACAAAGCTAATATAGTCGTTTGCAAGAGTCGAATCATACTCATCAGCACCAATATGGACTTCCTTGCTATGAAACCAGGGAAGAAACTCAGACCATATAGACTTCACCAATGGGATGGTATCGGGATGCGAGAGGTTGAGAAGATCATGTTGGCCCAACGCCAGCTCAGGTCGCCATTTTGTGACAGATAAACAATGACCGGGGCTTTCAATCTCGGGCATCACCGTGACGCCACGCTGCGCACAGTGAGTTTGGAACTCATCGAAATCGGCTCTGGTCAAAGTCTCATTGATTCGCTGCACCAAAGGTAAGAGCTCGGGGTTTTCTGGACGCAGGGCGAATTGCGAGTAGACTTCGTCCCATGAGACATTGGGTCCTCTACTCAAGGGATAGTTGTCGGTTGCATGGTAATGGAACTCGGAAATTTTGAAGTAAGATGCGTAGGTGCACAGGTCCTTCAGGTAAGGCAAGGAGTACCATTTGCGACCCGCATCTAACATGAATCCTCTCGTGGGATATGCAGGGGCGTCTTTCACAGCGCCGACTGATATTGAAAAGTTTGGATTGAGAGCAAGCTTCTGAAGCAAGGTCCGAGTCCCCCACCACATTCCTCGAGCACCAGAGCCTTCAATGAAGATTTGGTCCTTCTCGACCCGCATTTCATAGCCTTCCTCGGTTGAAGTCCCGTCCTCGTAAACAAATTCAGTTTGGGATTTCTTGGAGCGACCGAGAAAGATCCCAGATTTCGATTTCGGAAAATGACTGACGGTTCGAATGTCCCACGAAGAATTGGTCAGCTCTTGCAGATCATCACGAAACGTTTGCGCAAATTCCAATGCTGACGGGGGAATCAGGGTTAATCCATTGTGGTCAACCCATGATGCGAACCCCTTCTCGATGTAAATGATTCTTTCCGTTGTCCCGAGTGAGAAACTCTCGTCTGTGGGGGTCTCAGGCGCATCGAAGTGTGCCGGGGGGAGTGTCTGCAGGGCAGACGCCACAGACGCGGCCACTGCGATCAGAAATACAGGCCACCTCATATTTTCGCACACTTACTAAATTCAAAGCATTCGCGATGTGTGGTTCTTATGTTTTTCTTGCTGATGGCTCCGCAATGGCAGCGTTACATTCCTACCGATCGGCAGTTGATAGGTGGAGACGTGGGATGCCACGCAGAGGCGGGGGTTGCCGAATATCTTAACTATCTTGGGCGACGCCAACGGGATGAAGATAGAGAAACAAAAACAAAGAGTATCATTTGCCTTATTTAATGATACGAGGTTGCAGCGTCAAGTCATATCGAGCTCATTGGCTAGCCCACTATCCAATCCTACCACGATGCCCCAGTATCATCGTTATTTCCATGTTTCCATTCTTCGCTAAAGCTGTGTCAGGTGGCGTGGCTTGCGTGCCGGTATGTGGAACCACGATTCCTCAAACCCTACATGTCGAGGCCATCTGGCAGTTACTCGCTGAATTTCGTGCGACATGAGTCGGGGATATTCGTACTTGGCGCATATCATCTCGGCTTCCCGATTAGCAGTCTTCTGGTTAAACTCTTCGCCTGAGTCGACCACTAATATTGTAAGATTTCATGTAACCGAATCATATCAAAAAAAGGGAAGGTTTAAATGCACATACCCATGTGGGCGATGGTCAAAAGCTCGTGTCTTGATTTTATCGCGAAGCTTGGATAAGAGGAGAATAACTTGATATCCTCGGCAGCCGTGGCGATCGCACGAATAAATTTCACAAGATGCCCATCGTCATTATATTCGCAGGCTCGATGAAAGACTCCCGGCCACCCAGAGGGTATCTTTGGCTGATATGAGGTCAATTCCTCCGGAAATAGCTGTGGAGCCCCGGCCTGGCAATAGAGCATCAAGTCGGATCGACCTTTCCATTCCAGCAACCGGCATTTGTTCGCTGTCGAGATCCAAGATGCGCTGTTTAGAGCTGGCCACAAGGATCCGGCAGTGATAGAATGCATCAAGAAGAAATCGAATCTGATCTGCTTCTCTGGCCGCTGGGCGAGGGCTGTCCAGTAAACTAGTTATGACACACGTTAGCCCAATCCAGGAGCTGGGGGTACTCTGCGCCTATACTTGTAGAATTAAGCAGCTCTGCGGTCTTTTCCTTCATCTCATAAAGGCTGACTTTCCAGGAGCCGATTATACGTAAGAAGTCCTCCTTTGCATTAACGAGCAAGTTGTCTCGGATTTGAAAGACACCATGGTCGTATTGCATCGTATTTCGAATTTTTCGGTTGGTGTAGATCTCCTGTTGCAGTTCAACCATCCCTTTGGAATCGGAGGATTCTTTTGAAGCATTTTCTACCATATCGAGAATCTCGCCAAACCCCGACTCGTGAACTGCGGTCAAGGCCAACGCCTCAGCGGCGACAAGCGGCTGGCCAAATTCAATAGCATATCCTAGATGAATTGGCGAGTGCAAGAAGCCTGGGTAATGGGAAACCCGTAATCATTAGCCACGCTGAATCCGTGAGATATTCTTTAGTTTTCTAATTAGTAACTAGTGGCTTGCAGGAATACTAACCACTAAAGAATCTACGCAGCATATCTTCCGCTCGATTATCTCCTTTGAAAAGGTATTCGTTAACGGTGTCGGGTACGCCCTTTTCGGCAATTTCCTTCTGAAAGAACGCAAAGAAATCATCGTAATATTTCCCTTTCCCAAGGAAGGTCTGAAATTTCAAAGGATCGGCAAGATCTAAGACTCGGCGGGCATCCGGTGGACGGGTGGGCCGTTGTGACCCAGTAGCTAAATCGAATGCTTGATTGAGTTGTTCCAGCGTCGCGCCAAGTGCATAGAGTGCTAGTAGGTGGTGGAGAATATGGTCTGCATATTTGAATCAGTATTCGCGTACATAGTTCTAGCCACGAGACTTCCTACTATGGAGCCCTAGGTTATGGATGTAGATATGATAGTTGTCATGGTTTCTTTGCAGAAGCTGAGATACTTCGGATGCATTGTCAATATTGAAAGGCCGGAGCTCGAAAACACCCGTGAGTGGAGTTTCAGTCCCGACTTTGATTCTCTGAGGGGTCCCCATTGTCGACCGGCCACCCATGTATCCATTTGCAATGGCTATCTCTCAATTTTGTACCCACTCAGCCCTAAATTAACTCTGAGCGAGCCATTTTCGAGCGGGGAAAACACATGTGGCGCAAACCGCTCGCATATAATTTACCGAAATGCCGAGCCCCGCGCTCCGGACGGCGTATCAAACCCCTCTCTGGCACGCCACCGCTGTTCATGTGTTACAGCGGTGCCAGTGGCTGTAATCCACCTGGGCAAGGGTTCAGTTCCGTCTCGACGGGATCTCAGCGCGACTCGTGCGTTTATCAAGAACTTGAATATTCGGCTTCTAGCCACAAAAGAAGATTCCAAATGCCAAATATAATCATTTCCAAGGTTCGTTTAATATCGTATACAATTCTATATTGTTTATTTCAAGAACAAATTCCAAACGCCCGGGAATAGAAAAAGAGGTGGCTGGTGAGTTCTACACTGGGCAACTTCTGAGATCTACACAGACCCAAACAACTCATGCCCGTCATACAATCGACCTGTCTTCCTCGAGGTTAGCTGTGGCTTCTTGCACATGTGGGGGGAGAACAAATGTATCCTCCAGGCCAGCCCAGTGCATAGCATCTAATCGTGCAAGTCCCAATTTGACGTGGGGAAAACTCTGGCTCTGACATCGAAGGACTTGCAGCCATGACTCCACCAGATATTTCCCTCGTGCTGCATGCGAGGCGTTGGGCGCCTGGACAAGTAGGAGCATGAGAAAGTTCGAAACAGTCGCGAATCCAATACGAGACCCTATCATTGTATTAGTTTCGACTCAACAACTGCCCCTGGCAAGAACAAGACTGCAAAAGTGCAGGGGGATACGGAATGACTTACATGAATACCAAAATCCCGTGAAATCACTAGGTGTAAGCCTCCGGGTGAAGTTCACCAGGATTGTTGCGCACTTCTCCGCCGCGTGAAGAGTTATTTCGCTGGTGCCACTTACATCAGACATGGAGAGTTCGGGGAATGACTCGATCCCAGAGGCGTCGGCAAAATCCAATGTCGGGTCGTCCACGGGCAGCGGGGAGGTGGCCGCCATCTCTTCTAGGTCGAAGATCATTGGAGGATCTGACGATCGCGCCATCGGTCGTAACATAGCCCGGTACACATACACGGCGAGTAGTAAATATGCAAAGTGAATAGATGTCGGATAGGGTGCTTGGCCGTGTACTGATTTGCTCCAATTAGGGAGACGAAATGTTTCCGGAAGAGTAGAGTACCAGGTGTTCAGTTTCTCCAACAGGTCTCGCCCAAGGTCTGCAGAAGCGTCAAAGTTTGCGTTCAGGATCTGGGAGGCTCGCAGGGTGCTGCGTAAATGTATCAGCGAGTGTCTTTCGCGTAGCCAGACGGGCCATGGGGTCAATGGGAGAAAGGAGTACTCACTAGAACGTTTCATGGATTTCCTCTGCGATTCGAGCGAGGTTAACCAGATACCGAAAGGGGATTTCTGTGTCACAAGAAGACGTCGAGAAACCCTGTCGCGGCCCAACCAAGAAGTCACCCTCGTCTAGTTCACTGACGTCCCATTCGGCTGGGTGGATATAAGGCGGGCGCCCCATCAATAAACTGCGCCATTTATCTTCGGCAAAGACAGCCCACCATAGTCGGCGTCGGAGACGTTTCTCCCAAGCCGGAATCCCCCACATGCGACATTCAATATGTACGCCAAGGGAACAGGCCAAGCCGACGATTTGCCCCACAAAGGACCAAAGAAATGGGGTATCGGCGGTTGTGTACCTGGCCTCGTCGGTGGGCTGCTGATGGAGGTATAATAAAGCCGCCTGGAGAACCGCAAGACGCGGAGTGTGGATTTCTTCACTCACGAGCTCGTACACCATTCGCCACAGTCTTTGGACGGGAGATGAGTGGTAGGTGTTGAGGACACATAGGTAGTCATCATGAGCGACGAAAGGAAATGCCGATGCGTAGATAGCGGCCAACAGATGAATGGGGACTTTGGCCAGCACGGACAGCTCCGGGAGCTGATACGAGGGTGTGGTCAACCCAAGTTGGGAGCGAGATATTACCGGCAGCGCAGGAAATACATACTTGACGAATCTAGGCCAGCCAATGTTAGTTAGTTGGATCCACTTTGGGGGCAACGCGAAGAAGAATTTCACATAGGATGTCGGGGGGTTGGACTCACAGCGCGACTAGTCTCCTTCCATACTCGGGGGGGCACCAGACAGTCAAGATGTTCCCGTGTGACTTGGCCGAGACCTGCCCTGGTTTCCTGCTTGAGTCCGTCAGATAGATCGCCGGATGATATCATGAAATGGACAGGAATACGTTGAGCAGTGGGGACGCCACCGGCATTCCGAAAGTGGATTTTGTAGAAATACTTCATTCCAGAGTCGTCGAAACGGCAATGTCGGAGTAGCCACGGATCCGACTCGGCGGAAGCACCAAACAACTGCGCATAGCCATGTTCCAATCGGTCGATGCTCTGGACAAATTGAGTCGGCGGTCGGGTAGCAAGAGGAATTCCCGGGACCGGCGATGGACCACTGACTTGGCCGAACTCGAGTGATGGGAAGGGGGACTGAACACTTTCGGAAGGGCTCTTCAAGTGGGGGATATCCGCGACCAAGATCTCCCCAACTTCGCCGTGCGAGGTGGTCGGCAGATCATCAACACTTGAGATGCTGAAGGAGAGCGATTCCGAGAGTCGTGCACGTTTAGGGGGTGGGTTGTCGAAGGTACAGTCGATTCTGGCAGCTCGGCATCGTTGACAAGGGATGCCGTCGCCCGTCTGGCATCCCAGCTTTCGGGATCGGCATTGATCGCATGGCCGATGTCGTTTGGACCGGTACGGACGAGCGGAAGGAGGCAAAGACATGGTGAAAGCTACGGCGTCGAAGATCGGCGAAGACGACAAGCATTGGGGGGGGTGGTTCGTTTTAACGTCCAAACGGTCAAAATGTCACAGTCACAGTCAAAAGCGTCGGGGTGGCGCGAAGCACGGGAATTCTTCTATCTCTCGGCATTCGGCCAAGTTCTTCTCGGCGAAGTCAAAGTATGTTACCAGCTTGGACGTGGGTTGGGCTGATTACATAGAAAAAGCAGATGAGAGTGGCGGGAGGAAGTCAATTGGCTCGGCGAAGTATGACCCACCATCGGCGGATAATGTCGGCAAACAAAAAGTAATGGTAATGGCAAATTCCTAGTAGAATCAACTAGCCAACTAGCAGGCCCTCGGCCACCATCGGCGAATGTTGGGTCCTGACAGAATTATTGATACTCGTCATAGAATTGTTCTATTCAACTCGGCCAGCCGTTCTCTTCAGAATCTCTCACGCTGGCAGGCAGTAGTTATAGCTGTCTACCCGCCGGCGAGATGAAATGCTCGTTATTCTTTAATCTCCATCTTATATGAATAAGGACTCGCCATTCAATCACCAGATCATCAATTTTTGATTCATAATTCTCCATTAACCGGTAACAAAATACCCCCTCAAGACCGGCCGAAGCAGCATGAAGTCCGAGTCTGAACCCAGCCAGTCCTCCAAAGGGTCATGGATGAAGGCTATGTTCTCTCTCCATGGCAAGGAGAAGTCCATACCCGATGATAGACAATCCGAAATCACACTCATTCAGAGGTATGTCCATACTATTCCAAGATTTGCCGTTCAAAATTAGCCACTCTAATACCAGCGGCTCAACAGCCCAAGCTAACATCAGCCTTGCACAGGTCCGAGCAGAGTTCCGATTCAAGGCCACAGAAGGTGGCTCCTCCAAGGAATTTCAACGGTAGGTACTCCAAATTGACATCAAACTTGGTAATTTTCATTGACTGACAATCCATGAATTTCTAGCCGCTGATATGTGTTTTGGCTCCTGCTGCAGAAAGTAGTAGCGAGTCCCGTAACGCATCTGGGCAGCTGGGCAGATGGCGTAAGGATAGTACTGGTTGCTATATAGTTAATAACTACCCAGTAGTACCTAGGTACTGGGTACTAGTTGCGATATCCCGGCATTAACTCACTTACCATCCACCTGGACACATGATATTATAATGGATGCTTTCAAGTCCGAGTACTATATACCAACCCTAGTAATATGATTTTTCAAATAGAAAATAACAAAATCCGTGTATGATGCAGGATTCCAAGGTTCAAAACAATGTTTTGAACTGCACGGTCTCGTGCGTGTCCGGGCGTTAGCTTCCCGGGCGTGATCCGATCTTGGATATTGCAACTCCCAGTCCTTCAGGTCAGAGGAGCGACATAAATAAATTGGACTCGAATATTTCTCTTAGGTCTCGGATTCTGGATGTTATCTTAAAATGAATACACACGTTATTGATGGCTTCAGCTGACAGAAATGGCCACCTCTGATCCGATCCAATCCCAAGGGGTAGGAAGGACCCCACCCAGAAGATGATGGATTTGCTCGGTCGCAGCATCGCATTTGGAGTAAGATACCCCGGCAAAACAGTCACCGAATAGAGAGAGATCTGACGAGTCAAGCCTTTGGATCTGACAGCAATGCGACCGATACTTCTTCCAGAGATTGAAAAATTCTATTTGATGACGTCACGATGAACCCGAATTTGATTATACTAGTATCCATGAACATCCTGGGTACCTAGGTATATGTACCACGTACTTGATATATTTCAAGTAAATCCAGAGTAGACAGGACTTGAAATTGAACTTGAATTACTATTATGCAAGGTTCATTTATCAAAAAGAATGTTGGTAAACTAGAAGTACCATTGAGCTTGAAGCTCTTGCTCAATCAACACACCAGGATCTAGGGAATTGTTTCAATTTAGCCAATCTGCGCAACGAACACCCTTTTCCCAAGCTGATCTTCCTCATTTGGGTCTAAGTTGGTGCTGGACAAAACGACTCGCACTCCCGTGCGAATCAGCTGAGATTTCTCACGGGAGCAATACGGAGTACAGTGAGATTGAACTCAGACCTCATGCACTGCGATCTCCATACGCGTAAATTGGGTTCTCTATCTCATTTCATTTCCATTTCCATTTGAACGTGGGCTCATTTTTTCCCGCGTACGCGACTCCACTTTCCTCGTGCGGGGAAGCCGCAAAGTCCGAGGTCGATAGCTTAATATCGAGAACAATGCAAGGGAAATATGAATGGGGCCAGAGGGAGGCGTGTCTGCATAATATCCAATGCATTACTCCGTAGCCAGTACGGATTACCCCATGTTTTAGCTTTAGCCTTGTGCTGACGCGGGCTCAGCTGCAACCGAGTTCCGAGCCGACCACACAAGAGAAAGTAAAAACATATAAGGAAAACAGAAAGAGGCGGGGCTCAGCTGAAGCCGCGGACCGCCATATTTGACTATTTCCAGTCAATCAGCTGACGATCGTCCAGTGCAGGTCTGATCCTGATTCCTTAATCCCGGGACCTGCAATCCTGGTTGCAATCGTGGCCGCGAAACTCTCGAATACACAAATCTCCATCACATCGCCCTTCCTTCCGACCTTTTGTATCTTGTTCTCGAGGCTTGGCTTCCATTCCGCTTTTCCAAAACTAATCCCATCCACACCTATTTCGCAATGATTTTTGAGCCGGCCGAACGCGTTCTGCTGCCTACCAAGGACCTTTTGTCTTTCATTTTTGACGCACCTCCTTATGATCAGGAAAAGCCGGTACGTCCCGCCTTTTCAAAGACTTGTTACCTTGACCAATTTCCGAAAATACTTGCTGACTCTTCCCTCAGATTTACATTGACGCTCAGAACCCTTCGCGTTCGATTTCCTGCAACGAAGCTCGAAAACTAATCCGTCGTCTTATCGCTGGCTTCAGAGCTGCTGGTTTACGGCAGGGCGATTGCGTTCTTATTCATTCGTTCAATGATGTAGGTTCCGTGAATATGAGAATAAGTCTACATGAATCTGTCGACTTTATACTTACATCTCCTATTGTTTCCAGATCAACTATAGTATCCTCGTGCTTGCCATCATTGGAGCTGGTGGAATCTTCACGGGATCGAACCCAGCATACACTCCACACGAGCTAGCTCATCACATCAAAGCCTCAGAGAGTAGATTCCTGATTTCTGAGCCGGAGATCTTGGACCCTCTTCTTCGCGCGGCTGGAGAAACAGGCATCCCTGACCGTCATGTTTGGGTGTTTGACAACCTAAACCAGCCAATTCCTGCCAAAAGACAGTCCTGGAAGGAGCTTTTGAGTTTTGGCGAAGAGGACTGGGTTCGATTTGACGATATTGAAACAGCCCAATCGACAACCGCCGCGAGACTTTTCAGCAGTGGGACAACTGGTCTTCCCAAGGCTGTTAAAATCACGCATTACAACCTGATTGCCCAGCATGAGCTCGTGCTCGGGGTGAACACTCGCCCGTATCCTGTGAGATCTCTCTTCCATTTGCTTTTTGGGCGAGCAAAAGAAAATAGCCCCTTAACTGACAATCTCCTTCTAGATCTCGCGTATCATTGCCGTTCCCGTTTTCCACGCTTCAGCTGCTCCTGTAACCCACATATCCACGTTGAAGGAGGGAAACACGGCCTATATGATGCGAAGATTTGATCTTCAAGGATTCTTGTCCGCAGTGGAGAAGTTCGACGTCACCGATCTCGCCATGGTACCGCCCATAGTCATCGCGATTTTGATGTCCCCTCTGTCCCAGAAGCGGCCATTCCTTCGCAAGGTTCGCGCTGCGGCTTGTGGAGCTGCGCCTTTGGACAAGGATGTCCAGGCCCGTTTCCGCTCAATGATGAGTGATAACAGCCCCTTTACTCAAGTCTGGGGAATGACAGAAACATCCTGTATAGCAACTATGTTCCCGTTCCCGGAACATGATACTACTGGATCTGTGGGGCGACTCATACCGAATTTGGAGGCCAAGTAAGTCCTTCAGCCTGAGAACTCGCTTTCAAAGCTAGAAGTAAAGTACTGATGTTATCCTGAAGACTCACAGACGATGATGGCAATAATATATCTGCCTATGATGTACGCGGAGAACTGTGTGTCCGAGGACCGACAGTAACTCCCGGATACCACAAGAACCCGGAGGCCAATGCCCAAAGCTTTGATTCGGATGGATGGTTCAAAACTGGAGACATTGCATACTGTGACAAGAACACACGGAAATGGTACATCGTCGACCGGAAGAAAGAGCTCATCAAAGTACGGGGCTTTCAGGTAGCTCCGCCAGAGCTTGAAGCGGTCCTACTCTCGCACCCGGAGATCATCGATGCAGCGGTGATTGGTCTCACCATCTCAGGTGCCAACACTGAATTCCCACGCGCATATGTAGTGCGGCGACCGAAGAAGGATGGGGCTGAGCTCACCGAACAAGCAGTCAAGGCTTATGTACTGGAGCGTCTTGCCCGGTATAAGGCACTCACTGGCGGGGTCAAATTTGTCGGTTCGATCGCTAGAAATCCTAGTGGTAAGATTCTGAAGCGAGTTTTGAGGGAAGATGCAAAGAAGGAGATTGAATCTGGGGCCATTAAGCCTCATCTTTGAAACGGAAGCATTTTCGTGTGATTACTAGTATTATTTGATCAAATATTACATACAAGAGCCGCTAGAACAATCCCTGAAGAGAGCCCGATTTCTGAGCTTGAATTTACTGTTTGAGTCAACAATCGCAGGACTTGGAACACTACTATTTATTTCCGCAATGTTGAAGACTGATAATGAGACAAATTCGGCTTAGATCCATGGACAATGTTGCTTCAGTGTATGCTATGTTTTGCTAAACCAGAGCCCTCATCGCTTGAATGGTAGAAGAAATATTCGTTGAACCAGACAAATCCCCCACAATGCTAGTCACGTTTCGGAGGACATTTCCTAGAGACGAATTCTTATTGTCAAGTAGCCCTTGAAGGGTGTCACCCAAGACCCCGAGAACTGATACTCTCGTGGTGAGGGTCAGATTGCCCAGAATTTCTTCGTAATATGCAATGTGAATTTTGTTAAATATGGTCGAGTTTCCAGAGGCAGAGAGTTGGATATCGCCATCTTTTAGCGCATCGCTTTGCGCTTCCATAATATCCTCAAGGTTATCGAGCACGGTATTAATATTCAAGGTTCCCCTGAGTGATACACTGTTGTTTCCCGGGCGGAGCAAGACATCTTGAATAGTTGCTTGGCCAATAACTAGATCCGAGCTCTTCAGGTTGAGAGTTACATTTCCCTAGAGATAATGAGCATGATGCTGGGTAGTATAAATTGGGATTTACACGTACAAGTGCAAATGTAAAAACGGAATGATTCGGGAGATTTGCGGAACCAACGATGTTGGTACCGTCTTCTTCCTTCGGCAATAGAAGCCTGGCCGATTCAATAGAAAATCCACTCAGCCTATCCAGACCTGGAAAGACAAAAATGAGTTATGTTTTCAAGAAATGTTAAGCACTTAACTTACCATCTAGTTCAATGTCTTTATCCAGGGTTAATGGCGCCTTCAGAGCTCCGAGATGGCCAACGGTAGAGCCTTTCGCGGATAGTGTGAACCTTTTATTGTATACAGCCTTTGTAAGGGTATCAATGAACTGGGCATGGTTCAGAATTTTTGTGTTATTCTTTGTCACTGTCATATCTGTCTCTCCTTTCAAGTTATATGCTGGCAGTCCGACAGTGAGATATGGCTCCATAGGCGTAATATCTCTGTTGAAAAGGCTCAAATCAAGGGGATCTGTATGGATTCGGAGGCCCATTGGAATTTTCAAGGATGTCCGAAGGGTAAAGCTGACTTCTTCGGGTTTCGGATCAAGGATCTCAGCGCCATAAACAGGAAGATTTGTATTGTCCACAATTCTCTGCGCAATTGCCGGCACTGCCACCAAAAAGCTAGCATTCCAAACTGTCAGCAACATCTCTGTCGATCCAATGTGGGCACTTCACCAACGTTGAGCTTACAATACAGGTAGAAATATCGCTAGAAATATGATACTAGCGATTGCGTAAATGCACCAGAAACGTCGCCAGTGTCTTTGGCAGCTATCACGGGCTTTTTTGACGCGCGAAGGAGTCTTTTCAAGTGGCTTCATTGTCTCAATATGGTCCGCGCCATCGTTGTAGGCAGTAGAGACTGATTTTCTATCCTCTAGATGTTTATCCGACTGGGATAGATTGCGGTTATTACCGATCACGAAGTGCTGTTTCTCAAATGGCATGATAGTTTGGAAAAATGAAACAACTATCAAATGAAGATATACGAAAGATGATAGCGTTGGATATTGATTACTTCCCACATTTTTCGAGTATCTACCATTTATATCAAGTTGAGCAGTCACCAGTATGGCGCCCGGTCCCTTTGCATTAACAACCCCTCGTTATCTACTTGTGGATCAAATGTCAGAAAAATTAAGTAAATGTAGATCCGGGGAAATATGGCTGTAGCGTGAAAGGAAAAATTCCAGATCTCTCACTTTCTTACTCCATTCGTAACTCTCACTTAGCGCTACAAAGCCCCTCTAATCGCATGAATCGAGAATCCTCGGTATGGCGGCCCGCGGTAAGCTGATACTTTTGCTCGTAGACAAAGCTCCGCAAACACTAGTTCTAAATGATGAAGCCGCCCGGTCCGCGGCAGCGTCTTCTGATAAATGACGCCCAAGAGGATGTATAGGCATGGATATGCTACATACATGTTCCGTTCAATGATTTAGAAGCATTACAGTCGAACTCAAAGTCAAATTCCACCATACATACATGATATTTTACTCCGACAACACGGTCCCTTTTAAAAAGCAATATCAGCCACCACACTTTGGTTTGAAATCATTCACAAGTTACCCCTATAAGACGGATGGAATATTCAAAACCAGGTGCCAAGAACTGTATTATCATTTACAGACCAGCGGATACTCGTGACGATTCATAGTCATTCTGAGTATGTATACCGAAGAGAAGATTGGGGACACATCCCCCAGCTCAGGATTGCTCGATGCCCTGGAAAGGCCACAAAAAATCCACAGAGTTGTCCAGGAAGCGATTCTACTTGCGGGTGGTGCCGTTGCCATTCTGCTCCAAGTCGCTGACCCTGGAGTTGCGCGAGGCGTTGACGACCACAGTAATTTTGCATACCGTCCTCTAGATCGTCTTCGAACCACCATGACCTACGTCTATTGCGTTACCTTTGGGACGCGTGTTGAGAAAAAGGCTGTTATAGAGATGGTCCATCGTGCCCATGCACCGGTGAATGGACCCGGATATTCTGCAGATGATCCTAAACTCCAACTATGGGTCGCTGCAACACTGTATGCAGTTGGGATCGAGCTTTATCAAGAGATGTTTGGTGTTTTCGAAGATGCCGACGCAGAGGCTATATACCGAGAATATTCAGTCCTTGCCCTTTCTCTGCGGGTTACTCCTGATATGTGGCCTCCAAACCAGAAAGAGTTCTGGAAGTACTGGGATAACCAGATTGCGACTATGGACGTTACCGATAATGCGAAGAGTGTTGCCAAGGACCTTCTACGAAATAAGGAGGCCCCACTTCAAATCCGTCTCGTATTACCACTCGTGCGTCTTACCGCTGCTCAAATGCTGCCCGATCGACTCCGGCAAGCCTATGGCCTCAAGTCCAGCAAGATCCGACGAGCCTCATATCGGTTGCTAATGGGATTTACCAAGGCAACCTATCCATGCCTCCCGAAGACCATTCGCACTTATCCGATGAAATACTACATGCGAGACATGCGGCGGCGACTTGAGAGTACGGCGTGATAAAGTTTGCTCAGCAGTGGTGGTAATTTATCATTGCTCATTCGTACAAGCCACACGAATCTTCATTGATGAGTTTGGTCAAATACGTATTGTTTCGGTCGTCACTGTGAAGAAGTCCTTTCTTTGCTTGTTGTGGAATATCATATATTTTTTTCTCTGTATATCGCTGACGCGCATATCGCAATCTACAAAAACCCCAAACCTGCAACAACAAGCATAGCTGATAATATTCAATGCCAAAAGCTTGGCCTGTTTCGCAAGTATCTGCATTCACTGAGTTCCCCCTAGCCGAGTTCCGCGGCACCTTGCCCCACTCATTGCGGGGAAGGTGGTCCGGGAGCTTGTGAAAGCGTGGGGCTCCAGTTGCGCCCCACTCAACAGGTCCATCCCCCGATTTTCTGCTGAGGAAAGACTCAATTGGACTGGAACTTTGAGAGTTGTACATAGAGTGGGACGGGTATATGTTAACGCTCTTGAATGGTGCGCTTTCAAATACGGGAATAGTAAATCACTGATCTATCAGACCATATAGCCCTGGACGGCCCGACCTACGCACACTTTATCTCATTCTAAAGCTGCCTTGCGTGGTCATCAGTATACCCGGTCGTTCTATTGTTCGCCTTGTCATTTACCCTCTAAATGACCTTTGAATTCCGTGTCACTTCCAGGCATTATGTTATTAGGCTATATCCCGTAATTAGAGCCCAACCATATAGCCGTCATGAATCGTGCGGCATGCGGGCTGACCAAACCCTGGCATGTGATTGCCTTATGCTCGACCAAATTTGCTCAGATGATTTTATGCTAGCGTAATGATAACTCACACCGGCTCTCAATTTCCTTTGGACACCAACGGTACGTCACCGGGGCAGTAAACCCCACTTGACGTCCATTTCGATTTGCAGCAGGCTTCGGCGCTGAATCCCCTCAAATCGTAAATCATCGCCATAATGTTGCGAAGAACCAGGAGAGCACCTGCAGCTTGCTCTTGGTGCCATCATCGCAAGGTTCGATGCGACGCGTCAATATTAGGATGTCCTTGTACACGATGTCGACAGGATGGGCGGACAGATTGTGTTCTTCGTGTGAAGTTACCAAAGTAACGCATCATGCTCCAGTATCATAGGATCGGATCTCTAAAACATGATAGCAGACCAAGATCTCCGACAACTTTCCCCTACCCGTCCTCTGAGTACTCCTCTGTGAAACCCGATTGCTCGCAAAGCATCGATCTCGGTGACCCTGCAAAAACTGTCCCCAAATCAGGCATATATGCATCGCAGTCTAGATTTCGAACGAGCCCGGAAATTGAAAATACAGCATTTGAGGAGTATCAGTTTCTGCATCACGACTTGCTCTCCCTATCATCCGAAGACAAAGCATTTCTCTTTACCAAAGGTTCATTTTCATTGCCAAGTCGAGAGCTCGCAACATACTTCGTCGAGAAATTCTTCCAGCGAATCCAACCAGTTGCACCTGTTATTGACGAGGCGCAGTTCTGGAGTATATGGGAGGGCAGATCCGAGGAAAAGTTTTCGCTCTTCGTTTTCCAGTCATTACTTTTCGCAAGCTGCCCCGTGCGTTATTGGAACCATAACGATGGCCCAGAACTTCCAGACCATGTGCTAACAGAATTTTGCAGTTTGTCCCACTTGAAATCCTTCAAAAGTGTGGATATACCAACAAGAGAAATGCCCGGAAACATCTTTACGAGAGAGCAAAGGTAATATCGTAAATTTTATTGAATTGAAGGCGTTGTGGGCTAATGCTATGCAAGCTTCTCTTCGACTTGAATGCCGAGACGAAGCCCTCGGCTAAAACCCAGGGTGCCATACTTCTCACACACCATACCTCAGCCGAAGCACCCCAGGCCGGAAGCTTATGGCTAGCGCGTGCAATTGAAAATGCCATGATGATTGATTCTCATCCATCTGCTATCTTCGAAAATTTCCCCCGGCACCTGAAAAGACGTGTTTGGTGGACCATACTGCTGCGTGACAGAAGTCTTTGCATCGGGCTGCGCCGCCGCCCGCAGGTGACCTCAATAGACATATACGGATGCCGCGATTGGTTGAACGAAGATGACTTTGGCGAGGAAATGAATAGCTCAAGAGTTCATGGATATGATATCAAAGTACAACTACTCGTTGCGCTTCAAGAGCAGTGTGGCCTAGCTGTTCTACTTACAGACCTGGTCTGCTTAGTGTTTTCCCCCGGGGTGACGGCAAGAACCAAATCAACCGTCGCTGATCTCTGCCGAAAATTGAAGCGAGTCGAACACATCAAACAATCTCTTATTCGATGGGAAGCCAAAGTCCAGCCTGCACCAAAGCCAGATCCTCATTCAACCTTTGAAGATCCTGCCGGGGCTTTGAGAAATTTGACTTTTATGTACTATCGGTAAGAAAAAGCCCCCCAATTTCTCAATATTTAATTTCGACTTGGGATAGAAAATGGTATTCTAATAGTATTTCATATCACAGTGCTGCTCAGGTCGATCTTGCACAGTATGCTGCTCTCCTTCTGGAGGAACAAATGTCTTGCTCGGCAGACCTATATGAGCAGTCCGTAAAGCAGATTTCAAGCGACCTAGCGATGGGAATTTCAGGATTGACAGATGTGATGGAATATTTCAGTGTCAATGGAAACGTAGAGCACTTGCCACTTAGTGTGTGAGTCTACCACAAACGTGTATTGCACTCATACTCCAGCTAATGCTTCGGTCTTTATTTATAGGTTGGCATACGCTGCCATGCCACTTGTTTTGGCAGCTATTGATCTCAAGCTTTCGCCATCCAATCGAGAAACCCAAAAAAGACAAAAGCGGTTGGACTCTATCAGCCGAATAATTCGACATTCGGAAACGCTTTATGATGTTACAGACTTCGTCGCAGTTGGGACTAATCAAATCTTACAGCTGGCGTATTCAGTAACACGCAACGTATTCCTTTCGCGTGCTTCTCATCTGCGAATCAGCCCGGAGAGCGACCACCAAAGTCTCAAGGTCCAGAACCATCATGCTCTCGCTTCACGTGTGCGGGCCAAAAGTTGGTTAGATGCTTTTCTTAGCTGCCCTCGTGCGTATCTCTTGATTTCAACTTCTGTGGATTATAGTCTTGCAGTAGGTCGTCTGCCCTGTGGGGACTCTCTTCCTATATCAGTGAGACATTTGTCTCCAAGCAGTGGCATTGCTCGGTTGCCATGGTCAACCGGTAACACTGCAGACGTTGGAATAATCCGTGAGATAGGCGGAAATGACGAGAGAAACTGCCGGGATTCGCCATGGGTAACCTCCGCAAAGATAGTCGCTGCGACTGAAGGTACAGCGATTGAACATCATCATTTGGTCCAAAACGGCATTAGTCACAGCCGATGTGAACAAGGATATCAAGATGAAAAGCTGTTCAGCGCAAGCGAATGGCACAGGTACCAAAGGGCCGGATTAAAAGATCAAACGAGCGATTACAACCCTCCGATGACTGTCAATCTTGATTTTCTAGAGCTTGATGGCGGACTTAGGTCACCGGAACCATCTTCTCTCTGGCATCTAGGAGTGTCGGACCGCGCCGACTTTACGACGCTAGCTTTCATCAACAGCGCACACAACTGCTTGGGACAATTTGATTATAGGCATCCAAAAGATGACCTGGCGCGCCAGGATGCGACCCAGAAATTTGACACGTGCCTCTACTAGTACCGATCGGTATTTCATGATTTGCCACAGGGCGAAAAAGGGACGGGATTATCACAAATACCATCCAATTGACCTTAATTGAAGATAAAAATAATTTTATACAACTTGAAGCAACCAAGAATGTGATGTCATCTAGGTGGCCTTATAAATGAGCCGTCGGGATTCTATTCTGGGACAGATGGCGCGCCCGCTGTGCGTCTCCAGCACTCTTGGATTATTGCGAAGTTTGCGGTTTCTTCTAGCAACCGAGGCATATAATTTTGATTCTTCTCCAGTACCTCGGCCGCACATATTTTCTATCACTCTTTTGCATGCCAGAATCAGTATTGCGACCAAGCCACATCGGTTTTGAACCGGTAAGCGACGCGGTGCTTTTTTGTGCAGTAATTTGGGTCTCAATATGAGTCAGCAGCTCATACATGACAATATGAGCCCTGAATTGGATAAGATGACTTGAATTTGGTGAATTAAGGGAGAACATCTCGTCAAATCAGCCTCTAAGTCATGTCACAGATCCTTCAGTACGTCCAAAACGGCATGGGTATTCAATAATTTCAGTGTCTTAATTTTAATGTGGCGGCTATTACTCAAGAAACTCAAAAAGGAGCACCCGACAAAGGGCAAATGAAAAAGATTGCTTACCGTTAATCCAAGCAGTAAAAATTAAACGATGATCATATCAGATGATAAAAATATCATTGCCGAGTACGGCAGGCCGAGTTTGCCTCGGCTTCCCGACCGTATCAACCTCCCTCCAAATTTGATTTGTTTTATGCAGTCACAATGATTTGCACATATCACCGCAAGAATTTTTCTCTTTTCTTGTATTTCCAATCGATTACCAATAGCACAATACAGACAAAACGGTCACGGTGAATGTATCGCATTTGCGTCGAAAGCCCATTTCTGCTCAAATATCACAAAGTCGCTCGATACGTTCAGGATTAATGACACCTGTCAACATGATTGAATGGCTTTGGACTTTGATTCAGTACGTCGGTCATTGGAGGATTCTCCTGGCAATCTTCCTTGTGGTCAATCTTAAAAATCTGCCACTAGTGTTCCCCGTAAGTGCTCATTGAAAGCCTAATGACAAGCTCACAATTCCAGCCTTCCCTCTCCAAACCCAGCCTACCATCAGCGACGAGCTCTTTTTCGACGAGAGAAAGTCCAGGATAGTGCCATAATCAGATCTGTTAGCACAAGCTTCAAGAAAAAAAATTCGATTTTTTCAGCAATACGAAGTATGGTCTCGGATCCTAAAATGGGACCAAAGTGGCTCTATATTTTTACACACTTTGTCCAGAAAGGAAGCGTCAAGCAAACCGATCTTGTCACCCATACGTTGTCTACTGGAAGAACTAGGTGCGCCGGGGCAGGAAGTGAGAATGGCGTGAATGGAAGAGGATTTCTTGTTGTATTTGCAACTTCTGTCTCAAAGTATGTTTTCAAGAAGGGCAGATTGACCGTGGCGCCGGAACGGCTGTTGAGAGCTTCGGGTCTGCTAGGCGAAAATGAAAAGATGTGCCTTCTCGCCAAACATCAAGGCCCTCGAGCGAGAAGTTTCGGAGCTACCATGAATCAGAAAAACGAGAATGGGCCCAATCTAGAGATCGGTCAAGTCATCGAGAAAGAAAGGCTCAGGGGGGATGAAATATGCCAATGCGTGGGCTGAATTGGACTCCCTACACGGGGAGCTGCTCGGAGAAGCGATTGTGTACCTATCATTGGCCACTTTGGAGACATTGCTGGTTACGGTATCTCTTACCGCTAGATTGCCACTACCGTACTAGTAGGACTTCGTTGCATTTTTCAAAGAATCAATTCAATATCCGTATAGTAAGTATCTGTTTCCAAAGGTTTCCAAATAACCGAAAAATATTTCCATTATATTTTCCCTAGTAAAGCTAACCGCCCTCGGAGCCTCCCGTAATACTTTTCCAGTTTCAAAATTACTACCTAGGACTGACTTGCAGACCTTTAGTTTCCCATTTACTGTCCTTACCTAGGTATTTGACTTTCGGTCCTCGGAATTACCAGCATCCGAGGCAATCTATTAATATTACTATTCTTATTAGATTTAAATCTAATGTAGTAGTTAGTTGATAAATCTCTTACTACTTAAGTATCTTCTCTTCGTTTATTAAAAAATGGGCTTCCCTTCTGTTCGTTTATTTTGTTCCACATCCAGTGGACTATTGCTTTCACAAGTTGTTGAAATTCACGTCTTTATTGCTCCCTTTTTGGCTGATACTACGGTGATAGTTGTGATTCTTTGTCTTGTTGGATAGGCGATTGTGATGACTCATATTCTTAGTATCCTTCAGAAAAGAAAGGTTCAAAACCGGAACGGTTCAGAGTATCGGGAAGAGTCCAAGAGAAAAGAGCAAGCCTTAGATTCCGAGAAAGGTCGTTTCGTTATTGAAGTATAATAATTGCTTGTGGTTATGTGGAGGATTCGTACTAAGTTGTCGTATCACGTTGGGCTAGTGATTCAGTCTGGGGCTTTTTCCTCTTTAGCGAGTATGTATTCCTTTCCCTCTATCAATATCTTGCTCCCGAGCATAATTATTTGGTGGTGTGGTGCATTTTCGTGCTTGTCGCGGTCGGGCGTCACAGTTAGTATGGCCATGACGTTCTTTTATCTGGTGGTAGCCTCTGATTTAGTGCTAGTCTCCGAAATACCTTCCTTCTTGTAACCATTATTTGAAACCGGTAGTTTCTTTCCTTTTTTTTGGTGAAGTTTGCAGGTTCCAAAGGAGGAGGACAAATCATCCGGGGCCTCTCACTCTACAATTTTTCCGGAAGCATGCGACTCTAGACCCTTTTTAGCCTTTGCCAAAGAGAGCACGCCATAGTCCAGAAAGCGGATGCGGCGCGTACCGTCTACCACCATGGGATAGGATATGGTATAGTAGGTAATTTCTACGTCGATAAGACCAAGCGCGATAATACTGACATTCGCCTATTTCACTATAAATGATTCCATCATCAGTGAAAGGGAAAGGGGGCCCGACACAAATCCACGAAGTTGAATGCCGTCTTGCCCGCTGGTAATCACCAGTCTATTCATCTATGCTTTCTGGATTCCAACACAGCGTGTCACCTCGATTGCATCCTACATTACGGTGTTAGCTCCAAAACGAAGTCCATAATAGCTCACTGGTCAGAAGCAACTTACCCGCTCGCCTTCTGGTTGTCGGAGCACACTTTGATACACGATATTGGGGTTTCCAACCGTCTCCAAGAAAGGCACATCTCCCTCGGGCATCCAGGACTTGACAGTTCGTTCCAGTAAGCCTGTGGTGTTATAACCCTTGACTGGCCCATTCTTAGCAACATCGCGCTTTTGCTCAACTGTGCTTCTAACATATTCCAAGTATGGGGGGGTTACCCGGATAAATGACATTGTCTGCAAGAAGCAAAGAACCGGGAACAATCATGCCGTGGTGCTCACACTGCTTCAAGTCGGTCAAATAAGCAGGTTTATAGTGGTCGATGAACATAATCTCGATGTTTGTGACCTGGCCATCTCGGTAGAGTTTATCTAGAATCACATCACTGCGACCGACAATCACTTCTACAAAGTCTTGCAGCTCAGCTAGCTCGATGAGGTGTCTTGCAGCAGCAGCCCACTCTGGGTTGAGTTCCAAGCTATAGTAGCGCTCCCCCCCATTTTGGCGTACTGCTTCACCAAAGAGAATGGCTGAATAACCGAAGTAGCAACCCAACTCAATCATAATCTTTGGCTGTTGTTCCTTGATCAATTCTGTGACAATCTCGCCTTTAGGCTCGCCAACTATCATCATGGAATTCTGGATAGCAAACTCGTCCACAAGTGCGAGAATTTTGTGTGGATTTCCTCGGGCATCGTCGAGTCCTTCATGATTGGATATGAAGCTGAGCAGCTTGACCACTCGGTCGTTAAGAGTCTGGCCGTCGTGGTTAGCGGAGTTTTGTAACTGCGTTTCTCGCTTGCCCAGGAATCTCCCCAGGAAGCAAAGACTTACATCCTGTAAGCTCATCATTAGATTCAATATGGGATACAAAAGTATTTGAGTGATGGGCAATGCAAGAACAAGGCAATAGCGGCTGGGAACTCAAGCCGTGGGGAGGTTGGGACACTTATACAACGCCCGTACCCCAAAGTCTCCGTGTGCCCTTTATTCTAACATACTAGTACTTAAGATAAGAAGACTTGATATTGCGTAATTTACTGAGAGCCAGATGAGCCAATAGGAGGGAAATATGAACGCAAGGGAGAGAGAAGGCCAGCTTAATTTCGAACTTGGTATTACAAGAAATGGTCTTGCATTGATTATTGAAATCTTGCATTTGGCTAAATTGGTCACATTTCCATCGGCACCTGCTGGGGTACAATAAATTGCTTGGGGAATGTTCCACGGCTACTAATATCTATCATGCAGGTCAGGGTTATTCATGTTGACAATGGGTAAATTTTTAATTATTGGTTGAAAGATAAACATAAACCCCTCTGGCTGAGGCTGATGTCTCAACAGATATTGTACAGTCTCCAATCACATTTATCTGTGCCCAGGTGACTAACTGTATTGGTCTCGTATTAATGGTAGAACACAAGAAAAGCAAACAAGAAGTTGCGCGGGCTTTCTGGCATGGCTTTGCTTTTGATAGACGCTGCAATGCCACAGATTGAGCGAACATGGCTAGATTAAAGAACGTGCCGCATTTATATGCGGCAAGAGGAAGTACACTTGGACCATTAACACTCGGAAGTAGGATTTTTCTTAAATCAGACGCTACTCGTACAATCACAACCTTGAACTTAAATATGGGCTAGTGACAAAACTTGAATGAGTTCCCAAAAGGGTAATTCTCTGTCGTTCAAGTTACTGGCTGCTGAATCTTCTGTGAAATTAACTTCGGAGATATAGCTTCTGTGTAGCTATATTCATAGCAATAATCTCCTCTTCGAGGGTGCATTAACTCACTCATCTTCTTATCTCTCCCTAGAACACCGAAGCCAAAGTTCGTGTCTAGCGTCAACTCCGGCGTCAAAGGAAGATTGTGCAAGGACATTGTTCCATTTATCGCCCACCGATAATTCTCTTCATCTAAATCCTGCCACATTGCCCATATCCGATCAACCATCCCGTGGTGTAGCATGAAAACTGGATCCTGGGGGGGACGAGAAGAAATCTCGCATGGTGCCCATCATCGCTTCATGCCCGGCTGCATGGGGACCATACCCTCGCGCCCGAACCGTAGGGTCCGCACTGATATCAATGCGCTCTTGAAAAGTGATGATATCTGGCGAGGCGAGAACACGACGGATGACGGCAGCATTAGCAAATCCTGCCGTAGCGGAGGAATTCATGTAGCGACTCAGGCAATGAGGCGTGTAGTCGAATATGTTTGGTGGTAGCTTGAGGTTTGGGCCATTCTTTTGGCTAAAGTGGACTTTCATATTGGCCAAAGGACCGGTGGTCACGCAGCCATCTTCGTCTTGATCCCCGTCGCCGGATAGAGAGGTCGGGGAGCTGTCAAAGAGGGGACTTTCAGTAAGATTGGCGTATAAAGACCAATCCCAGTACCTGTTTCATGAGAAAATTAGCCGACCTATCGATCCCAAGTTTCCGAGTGAAGTTGACATACGGAAGGTACCCTGGGTACCCGCATTCTCGTCTCAAGGCTTGCTCCCACAGCCAGAGGAACTCACGATGCCATGCCAACAGTGCTCCATTCGAATGAATATGAGGAGCAAAGCTGATATGCACACTTTATTTTAGAGGTCGTCAGAAATAAACATTATTTTTTCAAGAAGGACTCGGAGGAAATGGTGCAGCGAGCATACACTGTGAAATCATCCATTCGATGACGAACACCTGGATACTGCTCGCTAGAGAGAACAGAAGGAGTGGCTTGCATGCAAAGAACAGCATCGATGTATTCTCTGCGCTCATTTCCAGAGAGAGAACCCCTAGAAGCACGTCGTGGCTGTTAGGTCAAACGTACACCTCTCGTTTTAAACTGTAACGTTTCTTGGCCTACCATTCGCGCCGAGTTGTCCTGGTGCTGGGAGTGCAGCTGAGACAGTGTACTGGCAGAAGGAAGAGGAGGATGAGATAAATCATTGCCACTGAGGCCAGAGTGATTATACTATGTGGTGATTTGCGTTGGCAGGAAGGAAAGAGAATATTACTATTATCTGCTTTGTGAGAGGCCGTTGGACTGTCCCGGAAACTAAGACCAATCCGATCATCTTCTACCTAAGATCGCTCACATCCGATCTTCAAGCATGGGCATGGGTGATCGCATATTTGCCTCCCTGCGGATCATTTCGGCTCAAAAATTGGAAGTCATGGGGCTACACGAGATTGCCGCAGCTGGTTCATGCACATGCATTGCTTATTGATTGCCTTGTTGCACCTGTCCCCTGCGTCTAATGCAGTAATTAACACCAATGAAAAGACTCCCTAGTCTTTTCAGCTTCTGGAAAGAAAGAGCTATCTCATTGGCGAAATGAAAGCGCCGATCATCATCTCCAGGGTCGCATGTATGTGTCAAGGTACTCCGTATGGAGTACTAAATTACCACCAGGACAGGGGTTATACCGAGTAACCCACTTTCGTAAAGTGCTTTTTTTAAGTTGTATTAATTATTATTCTGAAGTTCAAAATACACCAGCACCCGTTCGTTACAAATGCAGTGTATCGTGAATTGGCCCCCCCTTTCCGAGAGACGACCGCGAGTCCGATTATACCATCGCCCCATTCCTTCACAAGACAACCCTGCTGAGAGAAAACTGACTTCCAAAGCTTCGCAGTATATACTTGATCGGTACGCTATAAAGGTCGTGTAAATCGGGATTTAGCCCACAATCATAGGTTCAACCCAAGACTAGATTTTGGGTTCTACAAGTACTAGTATTCGATATATTTAAGTTCTAAATTGAACAAGTATGTGAACTTCTTTGCTTATCGGGACATTTTCTTGCAATCACTCATCATTGAGTGAGGTCCTAGGATTACTACCTAGGTAGAATGTATGTGAGTCGAAGAAAAATTCTCTTTAGCATCAGGCTGACCGACGCTTTTGGGTATCCCAGCACAAACAGATTATGACAGGCATGTCGCGGGGAATAGCCTACTATTGTAGTGACGGAAAGACGTTTTCTATCATGCTTGAAGGCTATTTATCATCTCAAAACACTGATTACTGTAGAAGATTCCTCGATGAAGCTATGTCTGGTCATGAAAAGCTTTCCCCGCTGTAGCGTTTGTCTTAGAGTTCGAGTGGTAGTTGACTACACCGGGCCCTAAATCAACATTCATTCCACTCCACGCTCCTCCCATGCCTTCTTTAATACTTTGTATAATCCGGGAACATTAGGCTGCCTGATTAAAGTCGAATGGCCTCCGGGGACTACATGAAACTTTATATCCTCGGAAAATTCCTCCCATTTCCTTATATCCTCGTGGGGCCACTCGCCTTCAACCTTCGCAGGGTCTACATGGAAGATGTCCAAGGTTGCCACACTGCCCGCAGGATCATATTCTCGAGCGATCAATTTCATCTCATTGGCCAGAATCGCCCAATTATCCAGGTACTCGGGTGACATTCCGGCATCCTTCACCCGGGCAGGTCCTGCGTGCTCCATGATATGAGCCAAGACCTCTTCGTGCGTTTTTTTTTGCATTTCCGGTAGCGCACTCTTTCGATAATCCGCGTCAATGAGATTCATGTAGTAGGAAATGGTCATGGCCCCATAATACCAGTTAGTGAGCTTAGCCCACCATTTGAAGTGTGGAGGTTGATCGATCGAAGCAAGGAACTGCACTTTGTCATTATTCGATTCCATGATCTTGGTAATCTCAAAGGCTGCGATCGATCCGAAAGAGTGGCCAATGATAGAATATGGTCCTGTCGGCTGCATGCGCTTGATGGCATCATGGTAAGTGGTGACCATTTCGTCGACGGAGGAGAAAAATCCTTCCCCGTCGAACCCCCGAGCGCGAATCGCATAAACAGGGCGATCTTCAATGTATCGAGCCAAATTCATGAAAATCAGAACTTCACCAAGACCTGGATGGATTAAGAACAAGGGAGGTTTTGGCCCGTGCGCCCGGAGGACCACGATGGGGTCGTAGGTCTTTTCTTTCTGCAATCCATCGAGAGCCTGGCTAAGGTCGCGAAGAGTTGGGTGGGAGAAGAAGATGATCATCGGAATCTCGATGTTCAGAGCTTTTTCTAAATAGACTCGCAGTTTCAGGAGGTCAATAGAGGATACCCCGATCTCGAACATGTCACTATCGATTTGAATTTCGATTCCCAGCTCCCCATAATCGCTCGCTAGAAGGTCATGAAAGACCTGAAGAACAGCCTTCTCCGTTGTGGTCATTCCCACCGCTTCCTGGAAATTCTTCCGTGAAGTTTCCATGATAGCCATATCCTCATGCTCGTATTTCCGATACTCTCCATCCTCGAAGGCTAGTTGCATCTTCGACCGAGACAATTTTCCCAGAGAAGACTTTGGGAACAACTCCGTGGGTAATGCGATGATTTTGAATGGTCGAGATCCACAATGCTTAACAACTGCTTTAGAGATAGAAGCGGCCGTCGCAAGTCGGTTCTGTTTATCCTCGACCGAGTATGTTGGTAGGTACGCAATGCAGAGGGTCTCTGTTGGCGAATCCTTGGGGCGATGAGGCCAGACCACTGTAAAAGAAGAGGTGACTCCAGGGATGGCAGCCTGTGCTATAGCAGCCTCTACACTCTCGGATGAGTAGCTGACACTGTGGCAATTAGCCTGGTGTCAAACAGGACAAGGAAGAGAATGAAGCTTACCCGTTGATGACAACCGATTCCTTACTGCGCCCTGTCAATCTCAGAGCCCCTTTTGAATCAAGAAGCCCGACATCTCCAGTCCTAAACCACCCGTCGGGTGTAAATGCTGCATCGGAGGCTTCTGGATCATTCAAATATCCACTGAAGACGACTGGACCAGAAACCTCGAGAAGCCCTACTTCATTCTTGGCAGTCTCTCTTCCATCATGGCGAACAATTCTCATACGAAGCCCGGGAATGGGTACTCCAACAGAGCAAAACTCTGTTCCTTGTGCGATGTCGTATGAAGGACAATCTAGAGCATGAATAGAGCCTGCGCAGGTCTCGGTCATCCCAAATCCAGGGCTTATGAAGGATCTTGGCGCGCCATATTGGGCCAACAAGCGGGTAAGCTTGTCACATGTGTCGACGACGTTGGACTCGCCGCCGGATAGTAACGTCCGCAGGGATGAGAGGTCCAGATTGGAGATGGGTTCTTCGGTGGCTCTCAACTTGTTCACCAAAGCTGCAAGGAAGAAATTCGGAGCAAAGGTCACGGTGACTTTGTGCTCACTGATATTTTCCAAGAAGTGACATGGATTTGCCATCACTTCTGCTCCCGACAGGTGCAGCTGAGTTGCCACTAAGCTCACCGCATGCAGATGTATCTGAGTGAGATTTGCCACATGGTCAAGTCCAATCCAATTCATGAAAATATCATCACGGTCGGTGCCATGGTGAAGGCTCTTGCCTTTCAAAGCCGCCAAGAGCTGACCGTGTTTCAAACAGACTGCCTTGGGATTGCTCGTACTTCCCGACGTCAGCATAAGGACAGCTATATCTTGTTCCTTTTTGCTGCTTCCTGGCAAGCATTCAGCCTCTTTGCATAGTTGCTGCTCCACGTGCACAGATTCCAGCTCACCTAGACCACGCACCCAGACGAATTAGCTTTAGGAACAGTCAAATATCCTTTCAAGGGAGGTTTATATTTTTTGACTTACTGGAGGACATCATCTGGAGTCCATTTAATCCATCGAACTCAGATTCCAGCGACTTACTTGTCACTATAAGAGGATTGTCCAACAGCGTTCTTAGATATGCGATCCTCTCCTTTCGCTGCTCCCTATCCTTGGGAAGGGGTGGGCAGATACACGGCACCGCTCCGGCGACGATAATTGCCCAGAACCATACGATATTTTCCAGGTGATTCACCGAGTTCAGCAGGACCACTTTTCTTTCAATTTCAACACCCACCCGGCGCACTAATTGCGTCGACCGTAACTTCGCAAGGTCCAGAAGCTCCTTGTAAGTGAGCAGGTTGGAAGAACCGACACCATCTGCATTCTTCGTCAAGATACCCTTTCCGGCCCCAATATTGGCGGCTCGGGTCAAGAGGCCAAGTAGATTTCCAACTGACATGGTGGCAGGGTTTGTGATTTATTCTCGAGCTGGAGATCGTCTCAAGACGAATACTTGGGGAGGGTTCACAGATTTTGAACTGAATCTCAAAAAGAACCTAAATTGAAGTTGGAGGGTTTGTAGAAGCGGCACAAGATTAGTCTTCGATTGGAAGCGTACTTTATATCATTCATGCAAAATTTGAAAATCTCTAAAAACCGGCGGCAATTTCTACTTATTATTATGTGAAAAGGGCCATTGGCTATGCAAACTACATGGAGGATAAAGACATCATGATGCACAGACCTTCCAATCTTTCAGTATGTATTAATCAGTCACAATATTAATTCTTCTGCTTCATCTACTCGATCGACTACACAAGCTGCGCGTCGTGCTACCATGCATGGCCTTTGTATGTGGTAGCTGAAAATCTCACTATTATTACCCCATTTCCCCGGAATTGCATAATCTATAGGCTTCACAACATGATTGTCGAAATACGATGAGAATGAACCTTACCCTACTGAAGGCAGCTATTGGGTTCGCACTCCTTTCTGCATGCATATTCAACGCTACACAAGCTGCATCCTGTAGTACGATATTGAAACTTTCCACACCAGTCAGAGCAACCTTGTGAAAATAAGACACAAAAGGCGGAGAAAGAAAGAGAGATGTGCCAGCGCTGATTGGGTAGCACGTAATACTCAAAAATCACATCAGATCCTATTCGGTCTTTTTCACTTCCGTCATTCATACATGGTTTAGCGAAATGATCATTCAGGGAGAGCCTTGGAAGGTATTATGAAAATATAAGCCCTTCGCCTAAATATGCTGTCCCCCGAGCGTAGAACAACCTTGCACCCATGTTAGTTTTCTAGTCTCACTTCAAAGTGCAAATTAGGCGAACTGTAATATTCAAGAAAGATATTATTTGGCCCTCCAAAGGAGGGCCAGCCAATCAAACGCCAGACTCCCGCTTTCTTCAAGACCATAGTTGTGGTCATTATTTTGGGCGCTGCTCTGTACAAAGGTTGCGTAATAATCTAGAGGTCGAGAGTTGGGTCAATTGAGGTGCGGTGTGGTGCCTTAGGCAACGTTGCATCGGGAGCCAGGCTGCCGTTTCCTCATCTTAAATAGCTTCCCTCTGGTCTCTTTTCCTCTGTTGGCAATAAGAAGTGGATCCTTTACAGTTACTGTCACTAGTATTTGGAAGTATATGGATGTATTCGCTAGTAGTGGGTTCAGCTCTCCTGTAATAAATTGAAGATACACGTCGTTACGACAAAAGCAACTTTCCTGGTATCAATTAATATACTACATACAAAACAAAGAAGAGAGTTTGGTGATCAATCCTTCAGGGAGTTAAAATCACCCCTTGGGAGCATTAACAAATAAAGGAAACCCAAACCCTGTGTAATCTAAACTAGTACTTATGTACCTCCCTGCTTGTGGGGCGCAGCAAAAAAGAAACTTCGACCAGGCTACATGGGCAAAGGGATCCAAAATATAGAGCATAACTTCAAGCATAATAGTTCTAGTTTATCTCTTCCTTGCCTGCACGCGCATGCATTGGGGTCGTCAGCAGTAGAGGTCAGCTCACAGCGCTGATTTCCAGGCTTGAGGGGGAGAAAAGCAATATGTTATATTGAAAAGTGTTTCACTCAAAATTTCCTTTCACTTCAGTCGTGTAAGAACAAGGTGATCCCGGTAATATTCTTCTTGCATCTCCTCCGCCTCTTCCTCCTCCTCCTCGACGGGGTGCTCTACTTTTCCACTTACCTTACGCCTTATACTGCACTCATCTACTTGCCACCATAATCTACCGTCTTGAAGACTATGGAAGAAGACGCAGAGCCTTGGGGCTACAAATGGCGTTCATCTCGATTGCTGGTCCACACTACTATCACTATCGCCTTATTCACAGGTACGTAAGGCTGTACTTTGGGCTCTGCTCTCTTTTAATAAGATCATCTTAACCATTGTCTAGAGACTTTCCTGGCTAGTTTCCTTACACCAATCATGGGTTATATGCTGGAGGTACGACTGCATCTTGACCCATCGCAAACTCAGCGATACACTACAATCTTACTATCCAGCTATGGATTTGTTGGTCTTGTCTCTGCCCCAGCCATTGCATATTTTGCCGAAAAGATCACAAGTCAAAAGGTGCCGCTCTTGATTTCTCTTGCGGGATGCCTGGTGGGGACTCTGATGGTCGCATTGACTTCGTCCTGTATGGTTCATCCCCTGTGATATGGATAGAGACTACGTGAAGCTAATAGTTGTGTTCAGTTTGGGTGCTTTTTCTCGGTCGCGTCTTGCAAAGTCTATCTGGCTCCGCCACCTGGGTAGTTGGGTTTGCTTTGCTAGCCACCAATGTGAAGAGAAAAAAACCTCGGATCATCAATGGGAATGGCAATGTCATTTGTCACAGCAGGAACAGTCGCCGGACCAACACTAAGTGGTGCATTACTACAGTTGTTTGGCTACTGGGCTACGTGGTCACTTCCTATAGTCTTGTTAACATTTGATATCATCGGTCGCTTGCTTATGATTGAGCCTCAAAATGTGTCCACCCCCGGTTCGGATTTGGCCAAGTCCTCTGACGCTACACCCAACAACGACGACTTGGAGGTCTTGGATGAATCAACCACACTGCTTTCCAATGCCTCACCGAATTTCGAGCAAAATGGTGGCAGATGGGCATACTTCCGAGCCTTTCTCTCTGATGCGCGGGTTCTGACAGGGTTGGCCAACATCCTTATTGTTGCTTCCCTTTTGTCGGGAATTAATAACACCCTGCCTGTTCACTTAAGGGAGGCTTTCGGGTGGAATAGCTTACTTGTAAGCACCATGTTCTTCTGTATACAGATCCCCAATATTCTTCTCGGTGGTATCGCTGGATGGCTTCGTGATCGCCTCGGGCTACGGCGTCCCACCACGTTGGGCTGGCTGGTCATTGTCCCTTTGATTCTTCTTCTAGGTGCCCCAGGAGACCCACGCTTTCCCTGGGCTAGCGGTGACACAGCAGGCAAGCCTATCTTTACAGGTTGCGCTATTGGATTGGGTAGTGTTCTCCCTCTGGTGCGTGGTGTAGGGGCCGTGCAACTAGCCTGTGAGTGATATTGTTACGTTCATGCGGCTATTTTGCTGGCTTATTGACATCTTCTTAGATGTTGTCAAAGACTGGGAAGCTAAGGATCCCCATCTGTTCGAACTGAATAAGAGTAATTTACGAGTGTTTTCGGTAACCGAAACTATCTTCAGCCTTGGAGGAATGCTTGGACCATTATTGACAGGCTCGCTCTTTGAGACAGTCGGGTTTTTCTACATGACCATGGTGCTGGGTAAGTCTCACCATGACCCTGCTAAATATAATATCCCTCCATTGAAAAAGTCTCTAATGCTTTCCAGCTGCCATTTCTCTCACCCAAGCGGCAGTCTCGTGGCGTTGGCTGTCAGATCGGGGAAACTAACATTCTCCTTAAATGCCTGACTTATCCTCAAACATGTTTGAGTATTAAAAGATCCCATAAATAATGCAATATCTTGGTAGGAGCATCCAACTCCTCTCTTGGGAAGACTATATAATATGTGAGGACTCAAAACAATAAGATTCAAGTTGTGTAGTATTAAGCAAAAAGTAGTAAAAGCGAGGAAAAAGGAAGGAGAGATATCTCTTATCGTAAGTATTGTACGAAGACAACAACTCAAGGCGCAAATCTACTTTTTATTACTCAGCTGGTGGCCTGAGTTCAATACTCCATGAGTACAAACTTAGTCCGTTGAAGAGGTGGTAATTGAAGGTACACTCGGGGTTGTCTACTGTGCATAGCAATGCCGAGGTTACGAGTAGAGAGCCATAACATCAAATAATATTATGTGTTTCAGATACTTCCAAATTGTTGATATTACAGGTCCCAGTCATCATCATCGGGCAAAGGCATAGACCCACCCTCCCTCCTCGGCAGGTCCTATTTTCTCTATCGAAGTCCCGCGCCTCGTCTGCCGAAGTCCAGCTTTTGACTTCCTTCGTTTCCCTTATGCGGTGCACCAGATCAATAGCAAAGTCATCCATAGCAAGCTTCAGCCCCTGCACAAGCTCCCATGTCCACGTATCTTTCGACCATTTCTTCCAGATTTGACCTGTATACCACATATCAAGAACCACATCTGCACCCTGCATTGCATCCTTGAGTGTCCCACGGATCCTGTCCGAATTGAAAGACGGACATGATTATGAGCGAAGGCTAGTAAAGAAACTGCTTAAAGTCTTACATTGCGACCATAAGACTCTGAAATTGAAGTAGTCCGATGCAACCTCCGAAGTATTCACGACTAGTTCGTATAGCATGTTCATTTGTAACCCACCAAGTGCTTGTAGTGGAATCTCCCAGCGATGTAGGTATGTCCTGCTGAATGGTGACACGCTACGCTCCACCCATCCCAGCACCATGATAGGTGGTTGTTGGACAAGCATTCGGCGCCAGCTTGCCTTCGGCCGCCGATATTTCTCACTGCTCTCTAGAAAATCCTGCATGTTGCCGGCACCAAAGGCAATGGCACATTACTTCGAATCATCAGCAGGAAACCAGTACGGAGATTCGGAAGCTAGTAGGGTGTTTTATTGGCGTGGCGTGTTGGCTGCTGCTGGTTGGAAGAACAGAATTTGTTGGATGGGGGAAGATCCTCGGATGCATAGGGCCCATTGTCGGCAGAATGGTTGGGCAGGAACGACGGTTTGCATGTCTATTTGCCTGAGAATCGTTTCGATTATCTCGTTCGGCAATCATCGGCGGTCCATAATACTGGAGGCACAGGAATGAGGATACTCGCATGGAGAGACTGAAGATGGTGGTGATATGAAGATGCTATGGAGCGAAGCTATCTACATGGCAGGCACGGTGGGCACCGGCTGACTCAGCAACCTGGGGCCTGAGGCCTCAGTACATAATGTGGGTTGTGGCACCCCTTTTGGAAGTACTGTATTGGCAAAGTTGGGACTGTGGGCAGCAATCAACAACGTGCAATGGACGCACCAGGATTCTGGTCAATCTGAGAGAACATGCAACTGTTATTCAATCGAACTTGGCCCTTTCTTCAAACGCTTTCGGGATCCTACCACTGAAGGACCATTTACTCAAATGTTGATTCCCCCCTGGGCACCTGAGTTCAATCCCCGCCCAAGTCACATAACTGCAGAGTAGACTTCACTTTATAACATAATGCCCAGTCATTCCAGTCAATACTTAGACAAACGATAAATAACGACCCCTCATCAAGAGGGGCAGAGCTGATCTGTAGCCTAGCTCAAACAGGCCTAGTGAGAGTGTCACGGGACTTATATCGAAGAGGGTAAGATTCGAATAGGAGTAATTTGCCCCGCTTTGTATATCATATAGTAGGTAGTAGTAGTAGTAGTAGTAGTAGTAATAGAAATCAATTGACCCGATCTGGCTATCTCAATATATATGTAATATGCGGGTGTTGCAATCTATCAAGGACGTAAGAACAAATGACGGCTAGTGCCCGGGAAAGGTACCTTCCAATGTCCTAGCGGGGCATTGGTGGAGGTATCTCACTACTGTGAGAAGGGAGTAAAATATAAAAAGTAATATATACCAGAAGACAGGGAAGCCAGAGGTTCTATCTTATGTAGCTGTAAAGATCGAAGCCTTCGGTGCCTGCGGCACGTGACCTAGACAGCCGCTCATGTGTAAAGAATTACGATGGGAACTTCTCTCCTTCTTCTTTTCTCTTCTCTCTCTCAGCTTAATACTCTCGTTCAATACTACTGCTATATTTCGAGTGCACCTGATTCCTTACATAGTATCAAGCTCAACCCGTATTCTATTCCTCTCTGAATACCTAAGGTTGTACAGACACATACTTACCTTCTTGCGTGATATCTGTGACGAACCAGAACGCCACCTGATCATATCGGCCGGTGGGTCATGTGCGCAGGCACTAGCTTATATATGATAGTTGTGATGAGAGCTCTCTCTCTTTTCTTTTTTCCTTGGTTTTGTTACTTTTCGTCAAGATACTATCATATTTCAATATTCGAGTCCTCACAATAGGAAGAGTAATATAGTTTCTGCAGTTCCTCAAAGTAGTCTGGTTACTACTACATATTGTGAGATCGATGATTGTATTTCTTTTATACTTGCTGTACGCTCCAGTGTATATTGCGCATCGTACACAATCCCGTTCAAATATATTTACCCACCCTACCCACAGCCCCCCGGTAAAATATATATCAGGTCTATAATTTGAATAGCAACACCATTTATTAATAATATTCTCAGGTATTGTAAAATCAGGTAAAATACATACAAAACAACAAACTAACTATTAATATCTTGTATAGTATTCTCGTACTGCTCGCAAAGCAGTCATTAGACGTGGAACGAGCGAATTAGGTTATCAATAACATTTTGATCAATTTCCCACCAGGCTTTCTTTAGAATATCACGAAATTCAGACCATGCAATTTCGATCCATTGTTTAAACGTAGTTTCGGTCGTATTTTGGAAAATTGACGTTTTAGAAGCCCCAATACAGGCTCAATTAGGCTCATATCAGGTGAGTGTGGCAGCCATTCCATAACATGAATCCCATGTGTTTCAAACCATTATTGTGATTGTTCAGCGGTACATGTAGAAAATGAATTACACTATGATGACACACGAAGACATTTTGCTTCTCCTATCTCTGCTCGATATAGTCGTCGTTTTGCTGGCCGGATATCTTCATGTACTATCCCAAAGGTCTGAATCTCCTGTCCGATTTTGAATCTCACGGCGAAGCCTTGGAGTCAGTTTGATCAGCGCTATGCATTCACTCAGAAGCAAAATAGTAGACCTTCAAATATTTTCCTTTCATCGCCTTGCCTCTTGACTGAGTTTCTAACACGGCCTTGTTGTAATAGATTTTCTTTCAGAGAGGCCCCATCTCGTAAAATAAGTAAGCCGGATTTGTCACTAAATGAAGTTCCATATTCAATGCTGCTTCCAGTACTTCCATGATAATACCAACGAGATGATTGGAAGCATCTAAAACGTCTTTCCTTGAAAATATTTGAGCTACATCATGGCGCTGTAGTCTTGAGTATGAGAGGCATATTCATGTCCATCGTTGTAAAAAAGGTCCAGAATGTTGAAGTTGTCCCTGTTAATTACGATCTGGTATCTTTCATTACGATCGCGTAGACTATGTCGTGGAAGGCCTCAGATTCCGCTAATGGGTCTCACCAAGGGATTGGAGCTTCGTAACGAGATTGATCATGTCGTCCCACATGTCGCGCTCATGATATGGCGGGAGATTTCAAAAAAGGCATATAGTCAGTAGGGTAATTCTTAATAAACTTGGAATGCGCTTCGATTGGGTTGTCAAACACCTGCGCTCTCAGCAGCGACTACAGAAGTCCCAGGCCATCTTGTACGATCTCGCCCGTAGTACATTCCGACTCTCCTCAAAGCCTAGCCCGTTTTTGAAAGATCTCAACTTTTCTATTCCCCAATTGTGCCAATAACACAGCTTGATAACGTAATCCTCTCATTCAAACACCCGCCGCTTCATAACCCGCAGACTGAAGAGGGTTAAAGGGGACCGGATTTCCGTACCATTCATTGCACGTTCCATTTTCAAGTTCCCAGTCAAATGTCTCCAGTAACTTTTGCCTTTTTTCAAGGAATTGCAAATCAAAACCCATAGCAGTATGGAAGCCGGTGTGACAGTGCATTAGCCATACTCCGGGATTATTGGCTTTCCATGCAAGCAACAAGTATCCTCCAGCGCCGTATAGTAAAGCCGTATCACGACGTGGAGGATTTTTGAGCTTGACCATGCTTGAGCTCCACGTCGTATTTCCCTGATATAGAATATAGAAGTCGTGGCCATGAAGGTGCACTGGATGATCGATGGAAGCCTGTGCTGCTTTCGGATCCGGGTTTGTGTTGTTAATTAGTAGATAAACCCACTCTTGACTCTCTGGAACTTCAAATAGGTTTGCTTCCTCGTACGAATAATTCCCTTTAATGTTTAAAATAGTGGGATGCGTCCAGGAAGAACGCATGCTCTGGCCATTGATATGCCATTTAAAAATGGCAGAAGTGTTGGGGCCATTGACTGTCGTGCTAATAAGAAATGCTGCGGCGGGACAAGCTGATTCAGCTGAGCAATTGGTTGGATTTGGGAGGAATGGCGCGTAGGGTGGAATCGGCGGAACATCTTTCTGGACTACTGGAGATAGCAAATCCATGGACTCGTCTTCGCAAACCCCCACAGGTGGGTCTTCGAGAGTTTCGGGTGTCGTGTCGTCGCGATCTCCGTAGAAGAGAATCCCTAATACGGTTTCCTTGTTCCATATATGGCCGCAGCCACTATTAGGAGTTGCTCTAATCCAAAATGGACCATCGTCAGTGCTATTTGCCGTAAAAACGATATCATATCGCTGCCCTGAAAGAACGCTAAACATCAACAATAGCCATGAATAGAGATCATTGGAGGTGACAGACCCATTTGAATCTTCACTGAATGTGTAGTAAAAGGACAGATTGGAACCAAGTCCATTGCAATGACGGTGATGTTGTGGCCTTCAATCGTGAATATGAAATTGTTATCGATAGCAGCGTTTATAAGCCGTATGCGATAGGTTTTCCCACTCTCTACTTCCATCGAAAAACGTCGTCCAAGAGTTCTATTGGGTGAGATACCACTTCTTTTGAAGAAGCAGCTGTCAGGAGAGTGATTCTTTTCCAAGAGACATACGTATGAATCCTCTGTGGGTGACCAAATATTCGTTCCATTCAGGAGTCCATTTGCCAAGACTTGAGGGCCAAATAACTGAACGGTATGAAAAACCTCCTCAGGGGTATGATGAGACCAATCGTTCAAGAATAAAACGCCTTTATCTTCATCGTAATTAGCGCTTGATGGTCCGTTAATGACTATACCACCAAATACCCCATCCCAGGCCTTCAAGCTGGTATGTGCGTGGTACCATGCGGTTCCATATTGCGTAGCCCGCCATTTATAAGTCATGTTGCTCTGAGGGCGAATAGTGCACTGTGTTACTGCCGATACCCCATCATGGGCATTTGTTTCCCATTGATTAATGCCGTGCCAATGTATTGCCAGGCCGGAATTTTCGAAATTCTCTTTGAAAGATTGATTGTTAAACACATGCACGACGATCATATCACCCCAGTCAGCATATATTGTTGGCCCAGGAATACCAGTGCTCCCATTAACAGCAAGGGCTGCTCTGGGATGACCATCAGGCTCGAGTACGCGATTGTCAACTTCGAACCAGTACTCGCGCGTAACACCTGTATCCGGCCAATCCGATTCGTAGTCCGTGAAAATATCTCGACAGCACCATGTTGTTCGATCGTTTGCGGTGTTTCCTTCGCAAAGAGCGTCACAGTCATAGAGCTCCGTATTCCTTGACAGTGTCGGTAGTAGCTGCTGGCAAACGGAGGAATCGTCAGCTTGAATCGGAATTGAAATAACATGACAAGTATTGAGTATAAAACATAAAAGCAAAGCCTTCAATGCAAATGGCTCCATGGTGAAAAATCAGAAGACTCAGAGGCAATTGCTTTAAGACATATAGCTCATATACCTGCATGTAGTGATGCAAATGTGCTGAATTTATTGTCAGAACTTGAAGTTAGTTATAATGAGCTAGAGTTCTTTGTTACGACGATCATGATTTGTCTATGATATTTTAAATCAAACTGTCTACGTGTTACTTCAAAAACTTTTAATTTTCTCAATTTGCTGAATGAGAGTGGAATCAATTGAAGAGATAGACCCTGGAAAGGAGTCCTCGTGAGTCTCGAAGAGAGAGCTTGAATATATTAATTATCTTGGTACACTATTACCTGTACCGTAAGGATTGTCAACTTACAGCTAATTGATGGAAATATCGATTATAGTTGACAGGAGCATTGATGAGTAAATTGAGCATTCGAACGGTTCACAACAGATCTGTGATACCTGCGGACAGACTCAGCGGTCTGCATGGTCCAACCTCACTTCATTGAAAGCCATCGGAAGCAGTTCGCAGAGGCAAGCCAACCACATATTTTTACTACTGAGCATTTTAGTAATTAGTCAATTTCCAGAGCTCTTGTAGCCGTAAATTTGGTTCGTTAGAAGGTAGGTAGAGGTTTTATAGCCCGGCAGAACAGGGTCCAGCATCTCGGGTTGTTCGGAATAGCTAGACTTTGAAAGCTGATGGAAGCATATATAAATATGGTAAATGGCAAGAAACCCTGGTTTTTGCTTATTTGCTATCATCTACTGGAAATATATTTTATTTGGCATTGCATTATTCGAGAATATTAATTCTTGAAAAATGATTTCTTCGATCGTATTCTTTCTACTGCTAGATAGCCTCTTTGCGAAAAGCCAATCAACCACAACACATATTCAGAATGAAGCAAATCTTGAATTCAAGCTTTATGCATATGGCAAAGGAATTGCAGGACAGAGAATGTTTGCAGCAGATGGTGAGAATCATCAACCTTTCTCTAAAGACAATTATCTTATCTTTCATCAGGCCTAGCTGTCGTTGGTGACATCTCATCCTCAAGTGCATCGGAGAAGTCTAATGTCAACGGTAATGAAAATGTTTCTTTCTTTTCGCGGTCGCATAATTGACAATTTTTAGTGAGATTCCCGGATAGCTCTTCAAGGGGCCCGACACCCTGGATGATAAACACCGAAGGAAAGCAAGTTGCCAGCCCCAGTGCTGCATTCACGAGCGATAAATCGGGATCTGGTAGTGTTTGGCTGGCCTTGATCAATAGTACTGACATGACAAAGCCCATTGGTTTCGCTCCAGATCTAAGTAACACACCGGATATGCTGACAGATGTCTGGTGGTTTTACGGTAATTATGCCGAAGTCATTCTTCCTCAAGCAAACTTCTATGCTCGCCGACTTCAAGAAGGGGTTGATGTATGGCAATTGATGTGGAGTCAAAGCGTATCATCATCGTTGGATTACATTCCAATCACTTTAAGATCAATTGGGCCGGTCTCAAGTCTATCTGTTTAACATATTAGCTACATGGTATACATTTCCCTTCGTTGAACCTTGAAGTACACACGACCATAGGGTGTGGAGAACATGGCTTCCCGTCCGCTCAGCCGTACCTAAGCCACACGTCGGTGAGTAAGTAGTAATTATGGTAGTCGACCACACGCGTATCTAAACATGGGTTGGACGGTGGCATTGAACGTGAAAAGGCTATCAAATATGTAATATAATGTACTGTACTGTAATAGGAAGCCAGTGTACTTTTCGGGCACATCCAGCAGCTTTTGGTCTCTCTGCAAAGCAAAAATACCCCCTTTGAACGTATTTTCGCCAATGTGAAGGTTGACATCGTCTTTTACAAATAGCAAAGGTTGTGATGAAAATTTTAAAAATCTCCACCCTGTCTTCACCTTTCACGAAGGATAATTGTTAGGACCAGCTTCTTATAATTCAATCACATTTTCTTGTTCGTGACGATTGCCTCAAGCTGTGCGATGTCCAATCACACATCTGATAGCACGTCCGGAAAATACGCGATACGTGCCATTCAACAGACGCTCAGTGATTGTACCTTCTGATACTTCCTCATACTGGAAGAGTATCAAAATGCATTGAGCTAATTTGGGCAATATTATACGATTCGGCTGTCGGAGATACGCAGCATCAGGCGAATAAATCGTGAGGTGCCTTAACTACATATAAGCTTTCAAAGACTATTGGCTTGTATAATTTTCTCTGCCCGAGTAATTATAAATAAAGCCTTCCACTTCATCATGAAACTCAACTATGTATCCAAAACGTACAATTTGAGATAATGGACAAGTAAATAGAACATAGTGGGGAATTTTAAAGGCTCAATTCGAGCATTGAAACTGTAGTTACAAATAAATAGACACGCTCAGCCGAACATCTCGATGAACTTTATCATTAACGACTAGCGGTAGTGGCTAAACAGTATCGTTTATCTCGGCAACCACTACTTCTACCACAGGCTAAGCCTCGACCAGGGCGCTGAGGAGATCAGGCCCTAGGGGGAAACAAGGAGCTCAAAGAGAAGCAGGGACTTATTTAGTGATAGAAAGAGGCTAGTCACGAGGAACTGGAGTAATCCGAACTGACCAAGGACTCGGAAGGTTCCATGGGCATAGTGGGCGTTATATGTATATTTCCTCAGAATTCAACGATGGATAGAGTTGTCGTAACTGATCGTGGCTCTAGAAATCGACATCGAGCTGGCCAGTCCAGAACTTCAAGATGGTATCTTTGGATAGAAATGAAGTTTAAAGATCCGTGTAAAAATCGACAGGGATTGGAAATTTAATTTAAAAAAATAGGAGATTCAAAAATTGATTCATGAGGCCGTTTCAGGGCTTTACTTCTTACTTATATAGCTTCTATATCACCTACGAACTGCTGTGAATAACCCGGGATTCACAGCCCAAGGCTCGATCGCTCGAAGAAGCTTGTATCGCAAGATGTAGCATCGCGATCACAGCTTCGAGAGCCAGAAATCATGGCGGAGATATATGACGATGTTAGAGGGTAATTACTAAAGATATTCGTTGGCAATTCAACACCTTTACACTGCTTCTCTGATATTCTGTGACAATGAAGCTATAATATCTTGTAGAAGAGCCCCTATCCAGCACTACTGTATCATTACCTAGATGACAACGTCACATAGCTCCTATGGGCTCTTGGTACAAAAGAGGATAGAAATCATATTTTGATTTTTCGCAATTTATATATTCAGAGACCACAAAGACAATAAGGACCAGGTCACCATTCCAGATTATTTAAATACCTAGTAGTACTCTTGATATAGTATGTACATAGTTTTAGTATGATATTTAACCTATAATCACTATTTTCTGAAAGCTGTAAGAGATGTGGCTCGATCTTAAACCCCTAAGAAAAATGAGATAAAAAAAGGTGTTGTGTTCGCCACAAAGCCGCTTTTGCAAATAATACGTACTTAACCAATTCTCAACGCAGTAAGCTGACTTCTGCACCAACGAGAAAACAGTACTAAAAGGTCTGTTAACTTATAGCTCTCAATGCCAGCAAATGAAATCATCATGACGTCAATTAATGATGTCAGAACTTCGAAATCTGATCTGTCTACATAATGTACGTTGCTTTGAAGTTTTATTTTGTCCCTCTCTAGCGAAGTATTCATCAATCAATTTGAGAAGTTATATCATTCGAGATGTCAACGTGCGCACGAAGTTCACAAGTTGAAGATAGTGGGACCGCAGGTAGTCCCCGTACGATCAAGAGCAGAGTCCTTGATACAGGCGCTTCACTGGTTCAGGATTTCACTCCAGTCAAGCAAGTATGCGCTCATTTGCATGCATTCCACGTCTATGCAAACGATCCAACTCGATGCGTTGAGGCCAACCATTATTGTACACATTTGACTGAGGGTATGTGTAGTTCTATTGTTTTGACTTCTTCATTACCATTTCGAATACTGTAATTGCTGACTAAGATGATTTAAAAGATATCCGGCAATGCTTGATCTACGATTCTCCCGATCACAATGCTCGTTTGATCGGTATCGAGTATATGGTCTCACCGCGCGTGTTTGTTACTCTCCCCCAGGAGGAGCGTAAGCTATGGCATACACATGAGTTCGAAGTCAAGAGCGGTCTGCTTATCATGCCAGCACCAGCAGGCGTTCCTACCTCCGTTTGGGAGGCTGCGGAGACAGCTGAGATGAGAGATGTTGTCCCGCTATATGGGAAGACGTATCATCTTTGGCAGGTAGATCGAGGTGATCCTGTTCCAATGGGGCCACCGCAGTTGATGGGTAGCTTCACGACGCATGGTAGTGTAAAAATGGCGCACGAGAAAGGTTTGGACGGACTGCTTACAGGCCGGAATCAAAAATTCGGGGTCGACCATCATCAGAAAGCTAAAATGCGTGAAAATATTCCTGGAGTTGAGAAGCATCCCGGTACGTTCCTTCATGCTTAACGAAATATTCGAACTAAGCTGACAGTCTGGGCTTTGATAGACGCCGACGCGGCGTTGAAGTAAAAACCATTCACTGGCTCGTGGAGTAGCGATCGTCCTTGCCTTCCAAGTTTGAGTATCATGACAATTGCTAATAAATCGCAATTCAACGTGTCTTGATCAAACGAGTTGAGATAAAGTAAAACACTAGCCTCGGAACCGTATTTACTTCTTCTGTGGTCTGTTTTGGGATGTTTCTGGGATGGAAACCGTACGAGCTAGTCGCGGACTGAACTGAGCTGCAAGTTTCATCGCAGCTGCGAAGGGAAGGCCTCCTCTGAGCAAAGAGAAGGCAACCTAGCGCATCGCCTGTCAAGCAAAAAGGATTGGCATAGTGGTGTAATAAGACTGCAGGATTGTTGAAAGAATGCTGTCCGAGTGACGTCCGCTACGATGGAATCGTTTCGGAAAGGGAGACCAGTTTCCCCCAAATGATCTGCGATCTACCGAATGAAATTAAGTATCCAGCCTCGAAAGAGTATTCCGTATCGAAGGAACTACACTAGCTACGTAGTGAAGAGAGTGTGATGATTACGATTATCCATTGCCTCTATGTTACCAGTTCTATTGGGGAGACAAGGGGCCTATGAAAATGTCTTTGCCAACGGTGCGCAGTAAATATCAATATATTATATAATTAAGTTACATGATGATCTATTGTAATGGGTGTTTCCGCTCTCAACATCGGCATCCCGGAGTCATGTGATTGAGGCCTTAGCAACAAGGCCATCGTTTTGTTTCGCGAGGATAAGTAGTATTCGTTCGATAGTATCAATAATAATCATGCATGTTCCCCCTTACGAAATGTTCTACTGAGGCTGCTGAGGTTTCGGTATCGATATACTGCCCATGAAAGGTTCTGTTATTCGTTCTATTGTTCCTCTATAGCGTCACACTTCGTCTAATACTCTCCTGCACTCTGCGAGTGTGGAGTGTGTTGGTTTTGTCCTCTTGTGATCGACCCGTCTGCTTGACAGACAGCCAGCGAGCATTCCCATCTTTCACTATTTAATTTTATTTACTTATAAGATGTTAACTAGAAAGATTATTTAGATCTAAGAAATTCTCTCTACTCTCTAACCCTAATTACTTACTATATTTTTATCTAATCTAATATCTCCCTAACTACTATATTTCAATTACTTTTTTCTTTATTATAACAGAATGTTATACTATTTTATCCCTACTAATCATTATTTATATTATATAACTAAGATTATAAAAAAATATTCATAGACTTATTACTAATAGTTTATCTCGAGATAAAATAGACCTAGTTTGGATTTGACTATGGATAGTAATAAAAATAGATTCTAGAAGAAAGGCTTTAAGGAATCGCCAACACCTCAACTACATTACGAAGATTCTTCCCTTTCATATTGTATAAGCCTATAGCGTGTCATACACGAGCGGGGCAATTACAGTGTAATTTGATCGATATCAAATCAAATGTCACTCCGCTTTACATACTATTCCAGGGGTGATACTGGAGGCACAGGTTGAGGATACTCGCATGAGAGACTGAAGACGGTGGTGACATGAAGATGCTATGGAGAGAAGCTATCTACATGGCAGGCACGGTGGGCACTGGCTGACTCAGCAACCTGGGGCCTGAGCCCTCAGGCCCCAGTAGGTGAGGATAGGGGAGGGGCAAGGACATTAATCAAGGCCGATTCACTATCAAAGCTAGATATTTGGGTGGAATAGGATAATCCTCCGTTTACCGTAGGCGGCAGGCACACAGAGAGACCGATACCTAAAGTCTTGAGGCGGACCCGAAAACCCTAACACTCCGATACGTCCGTCTCTGGTCGTACCTATCCTGTTCCGATGTGTCCGTACTCCCGCTCCCAACCCTCCTTCCCGATCCCGCTAAAGATCCCCAGGAAGGAAAGATCACTAGATCGCATAACCCGCTCAGCGATCGCGGCCCGATTCGACCACCAACGGGGGTCCTGGGGGTGGTGGACGGTCGGGTATACCCTCTAGGGTATTAGACATCCTACCAGCTTTGGCACAATGGACATCATACACTGTGGCGGGTTTCTTGGATAAAGAGGTTTTTTCTAGTTATTAGTTAAGGTGGTCGGTAACATCACATGACGTTCTAGCTTTAGTTTTGTCCTTCCCGTTAAGGGAAGAACCTACCAAATACATCTATCTCTAAGTTATCTTTTACGTCTGTTGAATCATCAGTTGTATGCCATACAGTCTACCTAGCTGGATCAGGAGTTCTTATTTGGTAAGTGATATAGGGAGTAATCCTTATCCTCTTCATCCTCATTCTTGAGCGCCAGTATCAGTAAGTGAGTCAGTGGGTCCGCCAACGTCCGAGCGGAGTACCGATTATCACTATTGGGCCAAGATCAAGGTGTATAGAAGTATTACCTTCTAAGAAGAGTATTAATTTGCTAGACCTACTATAAGAGAATATTCAACCTAAATAGTATTAGGGGACTGCTTTATATTCTTTTTCTATATCTTATATCCTATTATTAATATAGAATTAGTATTTACTTCCTAGAGAAGGAGTATCTAAGACGATAATAATAATACTATTATCTTACTCTTTTCTTAGAAAATATATTAGAGTTATATAATATATATCTATAGGAAAATACTCTTCTTTATTAAAACTGATTATGTCCCTCTAACTATTATATATAGAAACTACCTAATTATAGTTAGATACTTCTTAGAAACTTTATCTTTAAGCTCTATACCCCCCGTTAAATATTAGTACTTAATTTTCTTTAGAATCTAATACCTTAATCTTATTTTTCTTGTCTAAGGAAGTAATAATAATATTTTTATTAGTCCTATCTAGACTTCGGCACGACCCACGGGTACCCATGGGTACCCATACCCAACCCATCGATGGGTTAGGTTTTGGGTCCAAATCTCCGACCCATGATGGGTTATGGGTCGGAGCTCAAAACCCATAACCCATCATGGGTACCCATATGGGTACCCATATTGCTGTAAACAGGGCAAACTACGAAAAATCTCGTGATTGCATAATTAATGCAAATTTAGCTGTAATTTTAGGTATTCTAGTCACATGTAAAAGAACCTACATGATGATGATAATTGATTCAAATTAATTCTATTATTCAAATTCTAGTACTGCTCAAAATTATTGTCCTCTCTGTGTTTACGCTTCCTTGTAGACATCCGTAGCTGAGTCCCATTCTCTGGTAATAGAGGCTGCTGAGGATCTTGACCCTCAACACCAAGATCTATTAATTCAGTAGTAGAAGCTACAACAATATCCTCCTCCTCCTCCTCCTCCTCCTCCTCCTCCTCCTCATTATCACTAATCGAAACTATCTCAACATCCTGGAGATTCTCATCATTCTGTTCCTTTGACATCTCAATCTCATCCAACGTAAAATACTTCTCAAGCTGCTTCATCTCTGCCTCCTGGAGATCGAATCTTGATGCACACAGGAATAGCATGATTTCTTCAATAGTCTCAGACTTTAAACGGCCGCGTCGGTAATGGCAGACATCACGCGCGGTGTTAAAAAGCCGCTCAACACCAGCACCAGTTGCAGGGATTGAAAGAAAATCTCGAGCAAGCAATGCAGTTGCGGGAAACCGAGACTGGTTCTCACGCCAAAAATGAAGTGGTTCATCTTCGACTGGGTCTAGAAATAAATTAGTATAGAATATTAAAGATAAAGACTCTTTATGAAAGAGTTAAAGAACAAGACTGACCACTATCAAGATACTGAGCAGCCTCATCTCCAACAGGTTTTGCTATAGTCTTGCTCCCACTGAGCATCTTGTTGAGTTTTGATGTAGGTCTTGATGATGCCTGGGGTGTAGGTGAGGCTTGATCTCTGGCAAGACGTTGCTGATATGGAAGCAGTGCTGACTGGAATGATTTGCGATATGCAACACGCCACTGTTGCTCCCAGTCATCAGTTTGAAAGAACTGGAATTTGCTATCTGGTGCAACCATAGTACAAATCGCAAAGATATGTCCTTTCACACCATCTGTTTGCGAATAGTAGCCACCAAGCTTCTGTCGGCCAGCTTCAAGTGATTGGAGCATCTGCTTTTTCCATGGAATCCGCTTCTTCTTTAGCTGACCTATTGACTTCTCAAGATGCTCAAAGAGTGCATTGTAGAGCTTGAAAACCAGATGTGTAGTAACCTCCTTTGTCTTTGACAGCTCAGTAGTGTAGTCAAAGAAAGGCTCTGTAATACAGAGAAGATAATCAATCTGACGCCACTCCTCATTATTAAGCAACATCTCTTTACAATCATACTGCTCACAGAATGATATAAAGTAGCTGCGTAGTCGTTTGGCACGTCGAAGCATCAAAAAGGTTGAGTTCCATCGAGTTCGGACATCTTGAATAGGCACTAGCCTAGGTTCTTTAGGCTGAAGCTGGAGAAAGGTCTCTCGCCGTTGAGGACTGGCATGGATGTAAATTGCAAGATAGCGGACCTTGTTCAATGTGCCTGAAATCTCATGTTTCTGTTGTTTTGCATTTGCCTTTGCTGCAGACGATTGCCGATCGGTCCATTTTGTCTCAGCGGCATCATTTTGGGGTACAGCTTTAAGACGATCAAGAAGCTGATTCAGACAGAGCTGGATGACATGGGCAAGACAAGGGATTCGGATAACAGTGGTCTCACTAGAGAGTGCTTGCTGAATTGTATCCACCAAAGTTTTGTTGTTTGTCGCATTGTCTGTTGTAATTCCAAAGACTCGATTTTGGATGTTGTGATGGGTCAAGGTCTCAAGGAGAACTGCGCTTAGATTTGCACCAGTATGTGAGCCATATAATGGCTTAAATCCAAGAAGAACCTCTTGATATACCCAGTTGGCATTAACAAAATAACCAGTGATTGCCATAAAAGCCTGGTTATAGGGAGAAGTCCAACAATCTAGTGCAATCGATATTTTTGACTCAGGAGGAAGGGTTTTGAGAGTAGAGCGTTGTTTATCTTGGATAATATCTCGTAATCGTCGCCGAATCGTTGTTGCAGAAGGTATCATCGGAGGAGAA